ACAATTACAACCTATTGTCGACAGTAGCACGTTACTGCCAGGATTCATCAGATATTTCTCGCATACGCTAACTGCTCTGACGATTTCATTTCACACTTGCGATATCTCGCTGCCAATGCTACTGGACTTCTTGCCGTCATTAACGCATCTTTCAGTGATGTTTGATGGCCGCACTAACTTATCAGACGCTACTCTTGAACAAGTTGATGGCAGAAGCAGACACAAAAGGCCACCGATACACAACATTATCTTCTTAAGACTGGACGGTGTTCTCAGTTTTAAATACCGGATCCGTCCCTTATTGCAGCGTTGCTCCCACATCAAGTACTTGATATTATCGCCTTACTCACGATTCAACAACGTATCTCCAACCAACATCTATACAGCTTATGAGCTGTGCCCTCTATTACGCTACATTATGTGGGAATGCAGCGAACCAGTCATAGCAGACAGATGGATTTCACTATCAAGAAGCACGAGTGCTTATATTAAGTAACTGAAAGGAAAGCATCGAATGATGGCGAGGAAGGCAGTATGGCTTATGAACTGCTATTCAACGGCAAGGGACACGAGAGGATCATGCCGATAGTAGTAAAATCGCAGCCGATACTAGAGCATTTACGTATAGTCGCCTGTGGTCTTTCTGATATTCATTGCTGGGATGTCTTGGCACGCAACCAATTCACACAGCTGACAAGTTTGGGGTTGACGGACATCACTGGTATGTCAAGCGAAGATTGGTCCCAGATTTTGCTCATGCAGCAACAAAATGAGATCTTGGAAGTTGGAAATCGCGCTGGAATAACGCAGTATCTGAATAGCATTATCGCAACCATCGGTACGCTGCAACGGCTCCGTATACTTTCCTTGCGAAATTTCCTTCACATGTTCAGCGAGAATCCTCTTTGCGATCTTACTCCGCTTCGACGTTTGCAACAGCTTGAAAAAATGCGTCTCACGAACATACCCATCGACAACCAAGGTCTAATGCAGTTGTGCGAACCATCACAGCACCCACTAGTCAGGAGATTAAGCTTGAACCCGCACATCACCGTACAGTAATAGTGTCGACGACTTTCTCACAGAGGCAGGATGGATTGTGTGGGCACAACGACTTGAGGAAACCAAAATACTGAATCTGGAACTGACAGCCGTGAAAGGTGTTACTGGTGCTGTCCTTGAGCATTTTGAACAAGTCGAAAGCTCGGTGCTATTGCGTGTTTCACGGATCTATAGTCTCACCAATGCAGGCATCAATGCTTTTCGTATCATTGAAGGATCTAGTAAAAAGATTGAAGTCGTGGGGTGTTCAGGATTATCTCGGACAGATGATCTTCGTATGCCATACAACATATTTTTAATAATTGAGTACCATTGCGGTGATATTTGCAGTCTGGCTTGTACTTTTATTTATAATGAGCTGATAAACAATATTGGCAGCATGTTTAATTAATCAGTTTTCCAGGTTGGATTGTTGTGATATCTGTATAGTCAAGCATCGATTTGAAATGTTTACATATACACTTACTAGATCCAGGATTGATGGAAAGGCAGCACGATGTGGATCTGGTCGGCAGCGAGTCTGGTGCCCTTCAAACCTGAGCGAAAGCACAGACTAATTTTTTTTGGTTACCCTATGCTTTCCTTATATATCAGAAATGCTTGTGTACCTCTTTTCGTCACAAAAGGGATCACCTCGCACTCTATATGATATAGTCTCTGTGACAGAAGAGAGAAAAAAAAATGAAGTGAGAATATTCTTTCTTCCGTTGTTGAATAGAAAGACCATCGTCGCCTCCTCCCCTCTCCCTTTATGACCAAAAAAAAGCAGTCTGTATGCTGTATGTATGCGCATACGCGCGTTCCTGTTCATGTCGGGCAGTGGATTTTTAATGCCCGGTATTTGGATTTCATTGGCCAACGTGCTGCTGCAACTATACTCGAACCGCTTTGAGAGTTATACTACGCAGAGGACTTATTGGAGTCAAGTTTACTGACAAAGGTCAATATTTATGGTAAGCGGGAACATTATCATCTTCCACATGCTAGGATATATACGGGATCAAGAACATCTTGAAATATAGCGATTCCCGGAAAGTGTTCCTCATATTTTCTGGGCAAATTCTAACTACAGTACTTTGTCTGTTTAAACTCTATATGTAACAAACTCATGAGCAGTTGTTCAGTAAATGAACCCAGTGTCTTAAGCTTGATGCTTACCAAACGAGCAACAATACGATAGCAAGCTCAAAACGCCAGAGAAAAGGCAAGCCTGATACAAGACGCTGGAGTGCTACTGTGTGCTGTCAACCAAGATATAAACATCACCCTAGTAAGCTTCCTGGATCCCAACTCCGCTCAATGGATTGGATAGCATTGTAATACCCTGCAGATGCGGTAACGAATAAACAACAGCATTCAGGATGTCTAGATTATATAACTAAAGTCATCCTGGCAATAGCAACATAGAGAGCAAAAGCTAGTTCAGTCTTCCTTACTCTCAAAGAAAGAAAAAAAGAGATGCAAACGAATTATTGAAAAGTAATATGCAAAAGGCAACCATGACTGAATCAACCCACACTTGTGACAAGCATTTACTGTATCGACCACGTCATTTTGTTCCGTATACAATAAAAGGATTTGTTCCTTTTCATTTTGGCTCAGTACTATTTTGAAGTCTCTTTTGGTAATCATGAACGATAGATGTAGTATTTATTGGTGCATTGATCTGTATGTAATATTGAATTCGCAGAAACAGAACACTACTAGAGCTTCTCAACTTATTAAGGCCTTGACAAATATGCCAAAGAAGGATACACATTGCTAGAGCAATAATTCGGAGAAAAAACTCACAGCTTCCTATACACAACAAAGGTTGTGTTTATGCTTCGGGACGAACAACAGAAGTAGAATCTTTCGTACATAGTAAGAAAGCGAGTAGCATATCACGACTTGACATTGCCATTTAGCTTACATTAAAGAAGTTGTGTTGCAAAGGAAGCTTTATATGTATGATGTAAAAGAACACATTATGTAAAGAGTTTGAAGCCAAATCAAGCAGTGAATCCTCTATCTCTTTTCTTTAAGCGCAACTCTCTGTATGAATTTCATGAGTTTAGCTGTTTAACTGTGGTTTTCTTTATTCCCCAGCCATAAAGTTCGTTACGGCTTGTTTTCATTGCATTGGGCAGCAATGAATTGTTATAAAAAAAGTTAGATCATATTATGCCCTTGTAAGGAGCAACCTCGCTCAAGTTGCTGTTGTTGGGACGGACAAAAAAAACAGTGAAAGGGCGTAGGCATCACTATAATCTACACTACTATTAGAGAATATCGTTACAAGCACATAACACGAAGGAAGATCGTCATCTGTGCACTTGAAATTTGCTCCTTTGACATTGGGTGGGAAAAAGAAAGCTCTAGTAATCGGTTGCTTGATGCTGAGCTGTTTCGAGACCAAAAAGTAAGAGATGCGCGTGCATACATTACTGAGGTGATGGCGTATCAAAAGGTGTTGCGCAGCTTTACCACGCCACGCATCGGTGTATGATGCCGGTCTGTGAAAGAGCCCTTGTCTGCTGTGAAATGGTCGTCGTCGTCAACGTTTTACTTGACTAATATAAAGAAGGAAAAAACTTTTTATTCGTTGATGCGGTCCCTGATCCCGTGTTGTAGTATCGGTAGTAAATTGCAAAGACCTTCGTAATCATAGTACGCGTGGAAATACTTTTTTTTTTATTTTGTTTTCCAATAATCTGGTTTTTTGGTGACCCACGGCTCGGATGAATTGAGTTCCTTTAAGCTTCACAGAGTGGCACTAGTGGCCAGAAGCCATCGATAATTTTTTTTATCATTGTAAACATCGCTCCGATATGCAATTGGCTGTCAAGTGAACATACCATTTGAAATCTACTGATAATGCCGCGCGCACCAACGGGTCATCTCTTTGATGATTTAGCCATGTAACAGTGATGCAGTATTGCTGCGCGAGCGCTGTTTGTAAGGCCCTTTACATAACGTTATTTCGGTCGCATGACAACATTTGGCTCTAAAACATTTTGACAGCCCGGCAATAAGTTTTAAAACATCGAACTTCTTGAGTACAGTATGATAGTACCACGTCTCTGTTATGAGTATTTTCCTGTGTAGCAATTGTATATCACCCTAGGAACTGTACCTTTTACCTCGGACCCCTGCAAGCCGCCCATGTCAATATGTACTCATCAATTAGGCTCGTAAAAGTACACAAAGTGTAGAAGGGGTAAGGATTGGAAACTTTCGCTCGCCTAACCAGGAAAATTGTGCTACTTACTCGTCATTTTGTTCCTCGGAAGTAAGAATTCAGTGCCCGAAATCGATCATCTGATATTTGGAAGAAAGAAGGTGAGCGAAACAACCATGCTTCAGTCGGTTTCCAGGAAAACAATCACCTGTTTGTATCGGTAAAACATTTTCTTCCGGTTAAATGCAGCATAGTATATCCGACTCAGTTGTGGTGGTACGAAAAAGAATAGCCAAAGAGTACGATATCGCATCAACAAAACGTAGACCCTGAAGAAGAATGGATAACAATCGGCAGCAATGTTGTATCCTTCTTGTAAGAATAAAATTTACACTGTTCACTGCCTTTGAAACGAATTGCTTGACAGCGCATAGTGCTGTCTGTCTTTATGAAACTTTACTACTAGCAGTACATAGCAAGCACTAATAACCAAGTGCTACTTTGAAAAATGTCAACACATGAGAAGTTCATGTAACCTTACACAAAAGTGTTGCTAGTATTAAAAAAGCTTAATTCTGCAGAGGCCCATAGAAACGGATCGACGTCTGATTGTGACTAGGACCGGACCAAGATTTTGCCATGGCGGTTGATTTCGTGTTCTGTTATGATGTTTGTGAGCATCAGCAGCGCAGCAGCAGCTCAGACAAACCCACTAAGCAAAACGGTATATAAAACTGTCAGCTTTTCCACGATTTCAGCTGTTTATAAAGATACTAATACCAGTACCAACACAAACATACAGCACTCACTCTTCTATTATCTCTTCTTTTAATCTAAACAACAACCCTAATCATCATGGACAAGGACCTCTCTCTCTTCGTTGCCGATGGTAATGTTCGCTTAACCTGGATTGCCTTCTTCACTCAATTTGTTCTCTTGGGTGCCGTCTACCTCCTGCGCCATGTTGTTGGAGATGCTGAGAAAACCGCTGCTACCTCCGAGGATCCGGAAACGGCTGCAAAGAAGTCTGCTCTCAACTTGTCCGCACCTGACGGCTTTGCTGCGCGTGTGGCCCATCTTTACCGTGTCTTGCAAGAAAACACTTTTCTTTTATTGTGCGTGCTGGTTCTTAACACCTTTGGCAACGGTTCGACTCGTGCAGTGATGATTATTACTTGGATGTAAGTAATAAGGATCATTATACACGTTTTTTTTGGGCAGGATGACGTTTTCCTCGTTTATAAACAGTTGTTTCTAAGATTATATGTACTGCTTCTGTTATTGTCATCATCACAACAGTTATTTCGCTTTTACGGTCGTTTGTGCCTTCAGTGAACTTATCTATGCAAATCGCTTTATCCGCCTTGGTTACAGCGCCATCTTCTATGCACTCACCCTTGCCATGGGTGGTCTTGCATTTGCCCAAGGTTGGTAAAAAGACAAGTCAAAGCTCTCAAACAAATGCTGCCACTACTACGACTTCTTTCAATTTTGTACAATCCCCCTCTGTAAAAATCATGTATAGTTTTTCCTCTTTCTGGAAACGTCTTCCGTTTCTTTAGTATGCTACTTTCCCACCCCTGTTCATTCCTCTAATACCTCGTCGCCAGAATACTTTTTACATTAATCACTTAAATCTAAATAAATATTTTATCACTATTCAACATGCTTACATTCGCGAACCATATCGTTTTCCTTTGTTTATCTTATATCATAGCACGCAACTGGTGTTTCAAATCATCGTAGAAACTTGTAGAAACTTACTAGTTTCCTACATGAGTATGTACGTCTGCACGGGTAATGAGTGACCAAAGATAAACTATGTATGCGCTGGCGCTGATTAGTGAGTGTAAAACAGGTAGTTGTACATAGCGCGTAAAGTACTTTCATGCTTTACTGGGAGACCGTGTCGGGCGCGATACAACAGTGGTTTCTCCTCCTCCTCCCCCTTTAATTTCAACTTAAAAAGGGCGCTGAAAAAGCTTAGGGCTGATAGAAAGCGAGTGAGGTTATAGCACAACTGTATACATGAATTAATTAAAGGCTGATACTATTGAAAAGTCAAACTTTACTCGGTGCATGTTTAGTCTTTGGTGTATATAAGGCGACTGTTGTGAAGCATGTAAAAAATATTCATCCGAGAAATTCAAATCATATAGGTCTGCGGAATACTGTGGAACAAAAATATTCAACGTCCACATTGCCTCATGTGGTTTCGGCATGTATCCGGACCGAAATCCCCGCACGTGCCATTCTCTGAATCCCAGACAAGTAAGGGAGTTAAGTAAGTGAGGGCAACGATTACAGTTGGGGACCCTCAACTGACACATTTCTGTCTAATGTCCAATGTACGACCATTCTGTCAAGGATACGCATACTAGTAAGTATGATAACTTTACGAGTAACTGAAAGTCAAGCAAACACGTATTCAATTACTGCAAGTGCAAGATGGCGACGCTACGACCACTACTGACGACAACTTGGCGTGCCAAGATGCCAACCATTGCCGCCAAGGGGGTGCAACAGAAAGCACGGCACAGGTCAACTGCTGCCAAGGAGTAACGCATACTAGCAGCAATAACAACAATAACCAACAAAACATAAACACGGAGAGTTCACAAGACCCTTTCAATCAGCCCGGACTCCCTCCTTTACAACGAGAAATGTCCATTGAATGTGTTGAACCTGCGAATTCATTTCAAAAACCGTACGTCGCACTTTTATTTTCTTTCGCTTTTCTTTGAGGCTCCCCCTGTCAGCTATTTGTCTTGTCTTATTATTTATTCACTTACAAACATACGCAATCACCCACTCACGACTATACAATAGAAAATCCGTATCATCGACGTCAGATAAGTTAGAAGAAGACGAACAAGACGATTATGAGCACTGCTCTTCTGACCAAGAAGCCGATGCTACCGAAAGGGTCCAACAGCTGTTTGGCCTTACATCAACCGAACGACTTATTGCAGGTATACATAACAACAGCTTTCTTTTTATATTTCTCGAAAATCCTTTTTGCTGATAAATTTTCTCCGTTTCTGTTTCTAGAGTATCCATGCTATTTGCTGAGATTAGTGACTCTGCCCGGATGGTTGTATATCACGAATCAAGGTCTTTGCTTCTATGCAGCATTACCTGGAAAAAAGGTTAGTATTCCGGTTGGATACTAGAGAAGGCTTCATACACACATGTTACCCACATGAAGAAAAAATGCAATTGCTAAACAAAAGAAAATTGGATTGCGTTGGGCGTTCGGGATGGATAAATTCATGCGTTTGTCTTGCTATTGTCATAAAATTTAGGATGACCTACGGAAAACTGGCTATCTGTTCAGAAAATCGCACCGCAAATCACCATTATCTCAACGAAGCTACTTTCAACTCAAAAATAACGTCCTTTCATGGTATAACTCGGCCGAAGATAAATATGAACCTATCGACAGCATCGACCTGAAGCAAGCAATTGACGTCCAGGATTCGACCACTCGAAAGTTTGGCTTCCGTGTTGTGGGGGAAAGACGAGATTGGGCTTTTGCTGCGGATTCCGATGTTTCTAAGAAGGAGTGGTTAGTATGGGAAGGGCATTGAGGGTGAGGTTATGATAGAGTACATGTTTGCTCACGTGCGATAAACCTTCTGCTTGTATAGGATGGATGAACTGCGAAGAGCGGTCTTTATAGCGCGCAATTCTGGTAACAGTGTTCGCATTGTGCTGCCTTTCGCTCGGATAGCCAAGATCAACAGAACCTTTGCCTTCAAATTTGCCGAATACATTCGCGTGAAATTGAGCCACAAGAATGACATGGATAATCTGGATGACGAGGTATTATATGAGGCGCTGACATGTAACGTGATGATTGGATGAAAGAGTATGAGAGGATGCTAACAAGAACTGCGCTTTTCTTTCATAGTACTATTTCTCGTTCTTTCCTGACATAGATAAGGCGTATCGACAAATTGAAAAGTTATGGCAAGCGCAGACACGAACTCCAGGCGTGCGTTTTGAACAGAATATCAGCGAGGACAACAGTGCGGAATCATCTCCTTTTCCGAGCCTAGACAATGTATTTAGCAACGCTTCCGGCATGTCCGCCATGATCATTGGTGCACTCACAAACCCTACATCACTATGGACAAGCAATGGCAACAACAAGGCTAAACATCGGAACACAGACAGCTCAGGAGCAGCATCAACGGCACAGCAAGAGAATAACGAGGAGACATCCTCCAGTAGGCGCTCGACACTAAGTTCTGGAACGGATGAGCCTCGTAATAATGAAGAGCCCGTATCGCCGGCACCATACAGCACTTTGGCATTGAATTCTGATGACACTGTCCGGCAAAAACAACGCAACTCTTGGTCGTTCGGATGGCTTTCGTCTGCACCAACATCACCATTGCCTGAAACGCCTTTACAGCAAGTTCCACAATTAACATTGCCGAACGTATCAACCCAACAAGTGATAGAGCCACCTTCCGAAAGCAAAAGCGGCAGCACTACCACTAGAAACACCAACAACGTACCACCAACATTAAATCCTGGACAAACTGAAGCTGCACCCAAGAAAAAAGGACGATTCCGGAGCAAATCAACTGCATCCATCAAACAAATTGCACGCAGTACTCTAGGATTAACAACATCCCCCATCCCAACGACGACGACGACAGGATCCGCTACGGCAACACATCCCAATAAAGAACCACAACAACAAAACCAACAATCACAACCACAAAGTCCCTCATCCCCTAAATATTCATTACAGCATTCATCTACTACTAGCAGTAGCGGTGAAACCAATCATAGCGTGGAAAGTAGCAGTAGCGGTGGGAGTGGTAGTAGCAGCAGCAGTGGTAGTAGTAATGGTAAGTTACTACTCTCTCCAACCAAGACAAGACATATTCGATCTAGCAGTTTTGGTAGTGGATTAAAAAAACATATTCGGACCCCATCCAATTCGGACTTGCATGCTCTATTATCATCAGCAACAAGCATTCAAAAGCTGCAGCACCAGGCAACAACAACAACACAACTTCAGTCAGCATGGATCGCTCCACAGCTTCGAAATGTGCTGCAACAAACGTCCATGCCTCCAAAGAGCAGTAGTCTTCAAGACACTGCCACGACCGATATGGATGAATCCCAGAAACGATTGGCAGAGCACAAGTTGCATGAAACGTTTCCAATGTTGGGTGATTCAGAAAAAGTTGTTGCAGGTATGAAAGAGGATTTCCATTCTTGCTGTTCGTTTTCCCCCATGGTTCTTTTCATTTATGTTTTTACTCTTAATGTATATTATTGAATAGCATTCAGCTCTGCGCTTTGGAGAACATTGCCATATTATGGTCGGTTGTATTTTACATCAAACTATGTCTGCTTTTATTCCAAGGTGCTTGCAGGACGTCAAAAGGTCGGTAAAGTAAACCTTCTTTTTCTTGTCTCTATTCCATGTTACTTTGTTTACTAATCATCATGTCGCACACAATGGAACTTGATAATACATAGCTGGTTATACCCATTGCAGATATTACAGCAGTACGACGATTCAAAAGTCGAGGCTACTACCTCCTTCATAGTATTGGAGTTGTTGCCAAGGATATGCATGAGGAGGTTAGTGAGCGTGCATAGCACTCCATCTGTCTTTATATTAGTTTGAATTTTGTTATTGTTGGAAGAATAATTCTTACCTAAAGATCTGTAAATACTGTACATATTATGTCACAGATTTTCCTTGAATTTTCGTCATTGGATATCCGAGACTCTTGCTATGCACTGTTGTATATCTTGATAAATGATACAAAGACGGATGCCGACATTGCGTATAATTTCACACACAGCGACAGACGCCCGCGTTCGGTTAGAATGAGTGATATTTTGGCCACCTCTACAGAACATGTCATGCCACCTTTGGAGTACAGTAAGTTCTTTCTTTGTATCCGAGTTATTGATAGTACCACAGCAAGCCAATTGGAAAAAAATTCTTCATCGTTTTATTTCTTGTTAATAGACGGACCACCGTTGCTAGCGAGCTCTCCAAAACTTGAATCATCGTTCCATCAGCCGTTACCACCAAAGAAGAACATGCATATTACATGCTTGACTATTGGATCAAGAGGCGATGTACAACCCTATATTGCACTGTGCAAACAATTACAAAGAGAAGGTCATCGCTGTCGAATTGCATCCCACAGTGAATATCAACCTTGGGTGGAAAATCATGGACTTGAATTCCGTTCAGTAGGAGGGGATCCTGGAGAACTGATGGTAAGTAGCATCATTCAAGGTTTTTTTGAGGGATTTGCTTTCTTGAAAAATAATTATTCACCTTCTATTCTATAGAAATTGTGCATCGATAATGGATTCCTCTCATACTCATTCGTCAAAGATGCGTCCAAATTCGTGAGTATGCTCTCTTTTGTCCGGCAAGAAAGCAACAGGCTAAATCTGTCTATATGCTCTAGTTCTATACCTGGTTTGACAAACTGCTAGCTACGGCTTGGGAGGCATGTCAAGGCACGGATCTACTTATTGAGAGCCCAAGCGCTATGGTTGGAATACACATGGCTGAGAAATTAGGTGAATATAACAGCGCATATATGTTTTTTCTCTGTGTTGACAACGGAGATCCTGTTTTTCTTTTGATATATACTCATCAGTTGATATAATGCTGCAGAGATACCCTATTTCCGTTCGATGCCATTCCCCTGGACACGCACTACAAGATTCCCACATCCATTTGCGATGCAAAACTATACCTCTGGACGACTCCTCTATAATGATATGACCTATATTATGATCGACATTGCTTTGTGGACAGGCACCTCAAAAGCAATCAATCGATTCCGACGAAAAGTTCTCAACTTGGCCCCTACTACACGAGAAAAGCTCGAGCTATGGAACGTACCATACATTTACTCTTTTAGTTCGTCTGTACTTCCACCTCCAAAAGATTGGCCAGACTATGTGCACTGTACCGGCTACTGGTTCTTGGATAACCCGGATTCCTCTTGGAAACCGAGTGAGGACCTCTTGAAATTTCTGCACCAACAAGCTGACGATCCGCGACCTATCGTATACATTGGCTTTGGATCCATCATTGTGCCAGACCCGAAAGGCATGAGTAGCGTGATTGTGGAAGCAGTCAAACTGGCCAACGTGCGGGCCATTGTGTGCAAAGGCTGGTCATCGCGCAGTGTTGACAGCAATAGTCAACAGGAAGAACGTCAAGTCGATAAAGAAAACGAGAATGCGACAGACATCCTTCACGGTCAAGAGCATATTTTTAATTTGGACTCGATCCCACACGACTGGCTATTCCCACAAATCCAGGGCGTTGTGCATCATGGCGGTGCTGGTACTACGGCTGCTGGCCTACGTGCAGGCTTGCCGACAGTGATCAAACCGTTTTTTGGTGATCAGCGCTTTTGGGGCCAACGTCTTGAGGAACTCAACGTGGGCGTTTGTATTTCTAAACTGACAACTGATAAATTGGCAGAGGCATTGGTCGAAATCACGCAAAACTCTGTGATTATCGCCAAGGCTACAGCTCTGGGAGCAACGATTCGACAGGTAAAGTAGTGAAATCATTGACTATTGAAAGTCTTTAACATGAAACTCAATGTGCTTTTTTTAGGAAAATGGAGTGAAAAATGCTGTAGATTGCATATACCGCGATATCCATATCGCTAAAAGAGGAGCGCGTGAGAGTCAACAGCAATGACACGCTTTGTTTGATACGCATGAATAAGCAGTGCTTATATACAATCACATTTTAAAACAATAAATATTGATTAGATCATTTTTAGGGTATATGGCAATAAAAAAACCCCAAACTTGTACTGTAGACTATGTGGTTTGTTCTATCTGTCATATTAGTTTTGATACTGGGGGCCGCCGTCTTGTTGTTGTTGTTCTTGTACCAATTGTTGTTCTTCATCTCCTTCATCGTCTTTTTCGAAAAACCAGTCGACTTGTTGGATAATGGCTTCAATCACTTTGCTCTGCAGATCCGTCTGCATGATACCGCTCAAGTCGTCAGCAGGCGGTCGCAACAAACCCACGGAAAATATTAAAGCGAGATTGGACGGCTCCATTTTGTTGATTTCACAATGTTCTGCGACTCGGTGCAAATGTCGCATCAGATATTCCAATACAGTAAAGTTGGCTTTGGGAAGAACGTGGATGGTTGCTTTTATCCTGTACATGCGATCATCATATTCGGGCTCCCCTTGGTTGAACATTAAAGAAAAAGAAAGACATATTAGAATCAGAAGAGAGAAGAAAATTCAATATAGCCATTATTGGTGTATATTGGAAAAAAGAGAGAAAGGAGGGAGGGAGGGAGGGAGGGAGGGAGGGGATAGATGGTCATCACCCAGAGTGGGAAGGGTAAAATAGAACTTACTCGCAGCATCGATGAACCAGTCATAGTACTCAAAGGTCATTAGCGGATTCTTGAGTTCTCGGAAATAGAGTTTGAGCAATCCTGTCACAGCATTGATATCTGCATCTTCAAAGGACACCGGTTCGTCTAAACCAACGTTGGCGTGAGCTATCAATGAATACTCAGATCATTTGTAGTATCTGCATGGCGTGTATACTTACCACAGTTGAACGCTGTTCGATATCGCTGGATACTTGAAGCAGGGCCAGACAAGCGATAAATTCCTACCGTTGTCAATCCTACATATGTATGATACAAGCTTAGTGATTACAGATAGTAACCCTCCATCCAAAATAAACAAAACAAAACATGTATAGGGTGGCCGAACATTACCTCGTGCTTCTACCTCTTCTACACACATGCGTACAACAGGTGGCACGTCTCCCTCCTTTGTCGTAATCAAAAATCCGCCAAACAATTCGTTTCCTACAATACCCAAGATCGTCAAAAAGCTTGATCCAAAGATTTTGAATAACAAGTATATAGTTTGTTACCTAGGGGCTGTTGAGGAGCATTTCCAGCTATACGTTGTGGTGGTAACTTGTCTGTTGTTCGACCAGGCTTTCCAAACCAATTGCCAATCTTTTTAGGTCTGCCCTTCTCGTCCGGTTCGTTTTTCAGTCGGTGTCGCCAATCTCTGTCATCCGTTTCTAATAAGAAGCATTTCCAATTGTTTGTCTCTTGAGGATATTATGTCATGATATGACATTGTATAGTAAAGTTTCTTTTTCAGCAGTCATTACCTTTCTTTCTTGACATTTTACGGTTTACTTTCATTTGTTCAGAGTCTGAGGTCAGTTTCCGCAATAACCGCAAAATATCTAATGTTATATATCCTCTGTGTATTAGCCAATTTGAACAACGGACGTGGTGTCCTTGCCTTTTCACGTGAAAGCTTACCACTCTCCTAATAAAATAAAAGAGAGATACACAGATACATTAAGCTTCATACTTTATACTTTTTCCACTGGCGGGTTATATAGCTTTACCTCATTTTGATTTTCTTTACGCGCAATGAGTTCTCGCATAATAGCGTCAAGCCATGCAGAAAGCTCCTTTTCGCTTGATGTTTGAATATATATTGTCACCTTTCTCGGCGTATTGATTAGGAACGAGTGTTTCCGCTTCGTATCGCCTTTTCCAGCAGGCTCGATGCGACAATCGTCAAGATCAAAACATCCAACAGGCGTTAATGGTTTGCTATATTTCTATAAAGACAAGGTGATTGGGCAACTAGTGAGTAAACAATTCACTCCATGATGAGGTGATGGAGGGTATGCTGCATTCCTCTCAAACCTTCAAAAACAAACCTTGGCTTTAGATAAGCTATCCTTGTAAAGAATAAGGAATCCTTTGGAAAGCACTGCATGATATATCTTCCATGAACTAAGCTTTCCACCGCCATCCTCTTTCTCGGCTGTCATTTTCATCTGGATAAAACCTTGCTGACGAATCCATTCTGGCTGAAGTTGATCTAATTGCTGCCCGAGCCCCATTTGTTTGTTTTTGGTTCAGTATATCGTTACTTGTAGTATTATACAGCCCACCACCCCTTCCAAAGGAAGGCAGTGTTACACTCACCAGTTGCTTTAATTCAAAAGGGTTCAGTTTTTCAAGACCACTCTGTAGTTCCACTTCTTCATCGTGTCGAGGTGGTGGTACGCTGCGAGTAGATGTAGTGACAGCTGCTGTAGTTGTTGGCGTAGTAGCTGAAAGTGGTGGTGACAGTGACATGGTGTGGAGTTGTGTTGTCATGACGTTGTCTCCATCCGGTCTATCCCAACGCGATTCGCCGGTACGTTCATTGAAATAGTAGATTGCACCTTGATCGTCTGGATAAAAGCGATAAGATGAGAGATTAGCAACAAAAAGTACCGCCAAAAGAATATCCTAGCTTATTTCCATAAACCATCATCTCCTCGGAAAATGTGTTGTTTATTTGCTAACCATATGCGTGTTGCCACCCGTCGGGTAACGTCCCGGGACCGCTGCTGCTATTACTGCTGTCAAGGATGCTATCGTCTACCAGCGATTTCTCGCTACTGCCCGGACCAGCCGTTTTGTTATTAATACTATTACTGCTGTTGTTATTGTTATTTTTGTTGTTGTTGCTGCTGCTACCGCTGCTACGACGTCGAGGTGGTAATTGTGGTTGCTGTTGTTGTTTGGTGCTGTCAAGGTCATTGAAACCATCGGCTTGTTCAGGCACCAAAGCAGATGACATTGACTCTGTTGAAGTTGTGGTAACATCTTTTACTCGTGTTTCGCGCTCTAGAATACACGGTTTCTTTTAAGTACGCCATTTTCTTTTTTCTTATTACCACACAACAAAAAAAAACTTTATACCTGTAGCTTCTTTATCAGTTTCGAGACGGATTCTGTTGGCGGGAAAGAACCCAATTTCATCGTCAAATTCGCCTAACAATTGAAAAAAGGCCAGTTTTTAGTTTATGTTTGCTCGCTATAATATGACCTTCATTCAAAGGTGAAGGAGAAGATAGAATCGTTATTGGTGTCAAATAATACCTTCCCACCTAAAGGCATTGGAAGGTATCAATGTCAGTCATGAAGACGTTCCATGCATACATTATAAAAAAAAAGACACTATGGTTAGAGTTTTGCAGGAATATCAAAGACGCAAAAAAGCTCCTTTTACCAATCGTCGTTGTGTTTTTCAAGAAGCTTTATTCTGTCTCCTTGCTTGAAGGACAGTTCAAACTCGCCCTCGGCAGCATAATCCCAAAGAGCGATGAGGTACTGAACCATATGTGAGTGAAGGAAAGAAAGGATGTTTCAGTCAGTTACTTGGGTATCACCACCCACTCACCAACAGCGGTTTCCCAAACCCAAACTGGCTGGTGGGGCATCAAATTAGGGCGTGTGTGTAACATGGGAAAAGAAAAAAAATCGTGGTGGGATTGATTCGCAACGCGTGCCCCTTATTATTATTTAGCTGTTACTACTACTACTACTGCTACTACTGCCACTACTGCTACTTTGCCATCCCGTTCATGAAACCGTCTCTCTCTCTTTCTCTCCCCCACACACGCACGAATAATACGGAAAAGTAAAAGTTCTCCTCAAAAAAGTCATCTTCCCCTTCAGGCAAACATATGAGCCGTTCCTAAAATTCTCTTTCCTTCTCGAGTGCACTCTTCTTTTCTCTCTCTCTCCCTTTTCCTTTGGTCTTTTATAAGGATTACTGCGCTCTTAATAAACTTGTCGGTGTTCGGTAGGTTCGCTCCGCCTGTTTGATGTAACATTCAACTTTTATATATCATCCAAAAACCAACTTTTTTTTTCAGGCCTTTTGTTTTTGATTCTACTGTTTATAGACCAAGTGTGTACGATATATACGATACGACCCTTTTTCGTCTGGAAGATAAACGACAAGTGTGAGCCTCAGCACCATAAAAAGGTCTAAACAACAACACTTTCTCTACGCCATTGACTTTTTTTAACATCATCTCTTGTGAAAAATAAAAGAGTAAAAGCCTTACCATCACTAAGGGGCTTGGAAGAGAGAGAAAGACGGTGGAAAGAGAGGAATCCACACTACAGCAATCGTTATAATTACAACATTACCAATGATTGGACCATTACTACCAGTACTACGAATACTGCTATCGCCACCACAATTATTATTCGCCCTCGTCACCGCTCTACTACTCCATTCTACGCATGCCCTTGATCTACCGGACGTTCGACTAGAAGCCGTAGGCCAACTCGGTTTTGCAGGCGACTATGCAGGCATATCACCTTACAAAAGCATCAAACAATTCGAATCAATATCTGACCCCGGAGCCATTATTTTGCTCAACAACGATACATATGAACTTTTGGGCACTGCAACAGACGGTCAGATCTTTGCAACATGTCTTGTTCCATCAACAGCAGACGCGACAACGTCCGATCTGTATGTCGGCGGTTCGTTTACGACGTTGAATGGCACATTCGTCAACCGTATTGCACGCTACAATCCGACCCACGATACATTTGAAACACTCGATCAGGGTCTTGATGGACCTGTGTATGCGTTGTATTGCGACACGGACGCCGTCTATGTGGGTGGCGATTTTACTGTACCTGTTGGCGCAACGAACGACAGTCTGCCTTCTTTTGGCGGTCATGCAGCTATCTGGCATACCGGGAATCGAACATGGGGTCCAGTGCCCTGGAGAGGATTCAATGGACCTGTCTATACGATCACGCGCAATGCACTCATGAACACGATTCTGTTTGGCGGTCGATTTGAAGCTACTGGTGATGGATACTACTTTAATGCCATCTCGAGTCAAGCTGTCAATCTCGGTGCGCCTACGGTAAATGACATGATCATCACTGCAAAAGCTTTTTGTTTATCGTTGATTTCTTATTGTTTGTCGTGTGTGTGTGTGTGTGTGTGTATTGCGTAAATGGAACTGATACTGTTTATTTTTATATATTCTTGATTGCGATATATTAGCAAGTTTCATCAGGAAACGGTGCTTTGGCGGGAAACTTTAGTGACCCGAGTAATGCCGTGTGCCAGAGCAATCAATCCGGTAACAGTCAACCGTGGCTGCTTCAAGACGGTGTCCCAGGCTATTGGGATGCAAACTTTGCCTATCCTATCCAACCATCCGTGTTTCGTATCTCCAACGTGAGGCAATCGGACTATGGCACGCGTACTTTTAGGTAAAACACACCACAAAAGAAGACGAAAAACTATTACTAAAACAAGCAAAAACAATAAACACAATACAACAGCATCATTACACTGGGCACGAACGAGTACTTTGAGCTGTCCTACGTAGATCCTACAACTCAACAAGTAACTACCTGCACGACCGACTGCCAACTCTCCAACGACGCTAATGTCGAATACCAAGACTTCACGGTGCTCAACTCAATGTCTGCAACGGGCATCCGAGTTCAAATTGACTCTTGGTATGGCCAAGGCGGTGGTCTGAGCAACGTCCAGATATTTCAATCAGGTTAGTATTTCAAACAGCTAAAGAATCAGTCTGCTTCTCTCCTTTTTTTTTCGTTTCCGTGTTGATTGCCGCTGCTGCTGCTGCTGGTACTGCTAGAAGAGGGTGCATGCATAATCACTTGGAACTCACCTCCATATTCCTGCCATCTGTTGCAGATATCGCTGTATACGCGCATACAGGCGCTTCTGGTAGTGCAAGCCCATGCGCTTCCACACCGTCTGCTTCAACAAACACAACGGGCAACTGGGAGGACCGATTTGTCTATGGAACATACCAGAACTTTATGACGGCGACGTTTCCTGCTTCGGAACTAACCACATCGAATACCTCGGTCACCTACTCACCGTAAAGTGCCACACAACAAATTATATTCAAAAGAGCAAAAAAAATTAATATTATTCGGTTAATTAGATATGTTCCTGTCCAGGGCCAGTACGCCGTTTACGCGACCACGCCCGGTTGTATCGGTAGTAGCACGTGCAATCAACGAACTCAGGTCGACTTGACGATGCAATTCACACCTGGCGGTGAAAGCACGACACTCACCATTGATCAAACCAATTATGACGACAAGACCACCTTGATTTATAGCGGTTTTGTTGCTGCATCAACGTCGGCGTTCCAGCCTTCGATCACGTTGGCCGTAGCACAGAATGCTACGGCACCCGCCAGCAGCAGCACAGTTAGCATTGTGGCTGAGTCAATCCAGTTTATTCGCAACGGTACCAACGCAACCCTTGTCAGTATTTTGGAGTATAGTCCATCCAACTTTACACAGAACATAACTCCAGCATGGCACCCTCTTGCAGGTAAAAATTACAGTAACAAGCCTTTTTAGCTTGACGAATTGAGGGAACTAACATGATCTTTGACAGAGCAACTTACACCTGGTTCAATTGTACGATCCGTTGATGCAACCACTGGAAATCTATTGTATATTGGCGGTCAGTTCTCGGGTCTAAATAGCACTTACCGAGGTGCTGTATCCTATGACTATCGTCAAGGCAACGGTGGTGCCATGGTGCCCTTGAACGGCGGCGTTAATGGCACGGTATACGATCTGAAAGTGATCGGGTCATGTGAGTGGTGCTTTGATTTTTTATTATTGTTATGAGTATCATCATGCATATCGAACCCTGATCTGACATTCGCAACGTTTTTAGCTTTGTTTGTTGCTGGTGAATTCGATGGCACGTTGACAGCGCCATCAGAGTCGTTTAACAATGTGGCCGAGTTTGATATCAGTTCCTCTTCGTGGAATGCCATAGGAATGGTAAGTAAATGAGTGGAAGTAGGAGAGTCAAAAGGAGCAACTCGGTTGCAATTAGAACCATACGGATCATTCTCTCTGACAAAACAAACATGCAGGGTGTCGACGGTGCGGCTGCCAATGTTGTCCCATCAGCTGATAACGCCACAGTTACCTTTTCCGGAAACTTCTCCCACATCTTGCAGCAACCAACACCTGGCATGGCCAATATTCCATCCTTTGGCAATGCTGCTTGGAACATCACAGAACGACAATGGGCACAGCCCAAATCATTGATCGTCGGACAGCTGGTCTCCTCACATGCTCTTAACGAAACCACCCAAATACTTGCCGGTGGCATTCTAGGCGCCCAGACATACCGTGCAGACGACGCTGCTGTGATGGACGTTCAGCAGATCTGGTCGCCTTATACCTTGGCATCAAATTCCCCAATCAATGGTACCGTGCATGCCGGTGTATTTTGGCACAATGTCACATCAGATGGCCAGAACAAGACTGTCGTTATCATGGGCGGTAGATTCACGACCAACAACAACGTCTCCAACTTGGCGCTGTATCAAGATGGCACATGGCGTGGACTCGGCGAGTTGGATGGTGAAGTGAGCTCGCTTCATATTCTGCGAGATACCTTGTACATAGGTGGCCGTTTTCACGGTACCGTAGGTGACACGCGCGTCACCAGTTTTGCCATCTATGATCTTGCACACCAAACAGCACAAGACGTGGGCAGCGTCTACGGTTCAGAACAAGGATCTCCAGGAACAGTGAATGTGATCCAGTCGCAGCCGGATGGCACCGTTGTTTTCATTGGCGGTGACTTTGCATCGGTTGGCTCGATGCATTGTACGTCTGTTTGTAAACTTGATACCCAGACACGTCAATGGAACCAAGTGGCGCCGGGTATCAGTGGTCAAGTACGTGATATCGCCGCAGCAAACAATCAAGTCACCGTTGTTGGCGATATTGCAGTGAACAACAACCCAACTTTTGCCGCCCGTACTCAAGATTCATCCAGTTGGACTGCCATGTCGTCGTCAGATGCAATCAGTGGAACACCCTCAGCTGTACTAAATGGACCAAGTAACGTGATTGTAGCAGGATCCAACGGATCAGCAGGATACGTCGGTACTTGGGATGGTCAGCAGTATTCGAGCCTTGGTAAAAGATTGCGATTCTATTGTGACATTGATCGGATAGCATTTATCTTTTTCTAACTGGCTACCTTTGACTTGTTAGCTCAACTTGGCTCCTCGAGTGATATTCGCCAAATGTTATTTATGCCTATCCAAAACGCTCCCTCCGATGCTCGGTATCCGCCTAATACCGATACCATGCTTCTTTTGGTGGGCCATTTGGAGTTACAAGACCATGGTAATGTTAGTGCAGCGCTCTATGACGGCAATGATTGGTACCCTTATACCATGTCGACAAAATACGACGGAGCGCCAGGACAGCTTCAACAAGTATTCCATGAGACGCGCTGCTGTACTGTGAGCGAAATTATTCGTAAGTTCTGGTTTTCTCTTCGAAATGCACCTTTTTGTCATCAAAATATGATTTATCTAAACAGCAAGGTTATGTTCCATTAGATCATTTGCCGGTGCCAGCAGTCATCCTTATATCTATTGCTATATCCCTCGGTGTGATCTTTTTCCTTGTCGCAGCTGGCCTATTGGTCTTGTTTGCCAAGCGTCGCAACAGCGTCAAAGATGCTCCAGAGCCAATGCCACCGTATATCCCTGGCCAAAACCGACCCTCGAGTTTAGTCGCCATGCTGGATGCAGCACAAGCTGGTACGATTGGTGCAGGTGCCACTGCGGCTATTGCCGGTGCATCAGCAGCAGCAGCAGCGGGGCCATCCAATGAAAAGGGTGTAGTAGACACATCATCATCACCCGGCCATGATTTCAGTGGATTCGAAGCTGCTGGAGCCGCCGCCGCAGCAGCAGCAGGTGGTGGTGGTGGTGGTATCACAGCGTTTGGAGCACTTTTGGCAGCAGCAGCTGGCAATACTTCAGAGGAAGCAAGCGACGATAATCCACGACTCTTTTATGCCAAATACCCATTCGATGCCAAGGAACATGGCGAGTTAGGATTCGATACCGGTATTCCTATTGTGGTAACGGACATGAGTGACAATGTATGGTGGATGGGATGCAAGGACGATGGTTCTGGAAACCCAATCTCAGGCCTGTTCCCCAGTAATTACGTGACAGAGACCAAACCGTCATTGTCATAAGTTAAAAGCTGAAAGACACACACAAAAGACGAGTTATAATATACCCACCACGCCTCCCTTCACGCACAGCACACCACCCTTTCTTTTAACCGTAGTTTTAGACAATATCCACAAACCTACATACTACACTAGCACCACACTTGACATAATTCTTCTTTCTTTCTATTTTTTTTACAGACACACTCACTTACTCACACAAACCATTTAGGCATTTCTACCATCCCCCTTTATTTTTATTATTATTTTCTATTTAAAAAGAATTATTTTATTATTCCTTTGGCCTTCTACTTCTCTCAAATTAATCATTACATAATGTACCTTGTGATAGGGTGATGTTTGATGGAAAGGCGACCATGGTATATATATTCAGGTACTGCCATTGTCTAGGGGCCAGCAATGCATGATGTATATATCTCGTGTTTGTTCACGGGTCGCTCACCATGCATGTGTGAGCACCAAAACTTCGGATTTTACCCTTTTATAGAACAGACATCCAGGGGCTAAGACACATGCATTGAACGGCCGTTGCTGGAAGCGAACACTACTTGATCTAAACTTGTCAGAGCCCTGTTATATCAAAGCCACATTGCATTTTATAATAGTCATGATATAGTGTGTAGATAAAACCAGAGGCTATAAAAGCCGTAACAGGGAGAAATGCAAAAAGGACAGTAACTTCTCTCTTTCTCGTTTATTCCACTAGATTATTCACTCTTTTACACGTTTCCAACATTTTCTCATCACAACAGCAGTAATCAGATGAAGCCAAGTACTGCTATTACCATTCTTAAAAACACCAGCGTCGATTTTTTCAAGTTCAGTAGCCCATACGCAATCTTGATGGGCCATTATCTCGAACGCCACCCACGCAAGTTTGTCCTGACTGTGGGCTTGTTAACACTTGCGTACAAGATCAGCAAAGCTGTTGTGGTCCCTCCTCGTTTATGGCATCTTCCACGCGTCAGCAGCATTGCTTGGTTCTGGAGCATCATCAAGGGCGAGAGTGTCGATGTGCGATCCGAGCGACTGTTGATGTCTTTGATGGACGAGCATGGCCTATGTTTAAAGTATCAAATGGGTCGATGGACCGTTACTGTGGGAGATCCTACCCTACTGCAGGAAGTACTTAAAGACGTTCGAACATTTCCAAAGCAAGTGAATGCATCGCTCGATCCTGTAAGTTGGTGATGATGATGATGATCCTGCAAAAGCAGACATTTTGATGGTGATGATGATGATGATGATCCTTTTTTTACTGATATAAACATGTTTTACTTTAAAAAAAGGATTTGATTTTGACGAACCCTGAACCAAACATGGGCAATTCTGGCTATATTGGGTGGCGACGACAGCGACGTGTGGCTAATCCTGTATTTCATCGTGCGATGCCTGTTCAAGTATTTGGCAACATTGTCTCAACCATGTTTGCGGCCATTGATGCTGAAAAGACGGCTGATATCGATTTTGCCGATTATATGCGGAGGTACATAACGACCAAAAAAGGTCAACAACAATCAAAAGCAAAATAGCTAGGGGGGTGGTGATTCTGGATGAAAAAAAACCTAAGGGGAGAAGGAATTTGCTGTCAAAATAACAAAGAATACCATGCATCATGTCACTCATACAACATCCATCCCTCAGATACGCACTGGATTGCTTGGGACTTGGCGTTTTTGTAAGTACAATTTCATTTTGCAAGCAGCGGGGTTTTCTGGGCAGCAGTTTAGTGATACCATCTACTTAATGGTTGGTAGAACTTTGATATGGGTGCAGTTCGTGATCCTGAATCGCCTTATGCAGTCTTGTATAAGCATGCTTTCAGTAAGTAAATTCTTTATATACATGTCATCCCCTGTTTTCGTTGTACGATCAATCAACAAATTTTGATATCAACATGTTGACTTTTAGGTATCGTGAGAGACCCGCTGGTTTATCTCTTCCCAGCATATACTGCTGTTCCATCCCGCTGGATTCCGTATCGAAATCGAGCTCGTATCGCAAATGAAAAACTACGACGGATTCTGTATGATATTATACAAGAGCGTAAAGATTCTATACTAGCTAACCCAGAAGAAGTCGATGAACACAAGGACTTATTGACGCTCATGATTGAAGCATCGTTAATAACGGGAGAACACGGTGATAATGACCGTTTCCTTACCAATGGCGAGCTGGTGGCCAATCTTGCCGTATTCTTTGTTGCTGGTAAATAAGAATAAGCAGTAATAGTGTATTTTCTCCAAATTTGTACTGACTTTTTGTTTCTCGTTATTTGTTTATTGTTTGTTATAAAGGACACGAGACGACTGCAAGCGCCACAGCTAGCACCATGTACTATCTAGCAGAGCATCCGGATATGCAGGAACGCGCACGACAGGAAGTGATTTCTGTTCTTGGTGACGCATATCAAGATATCCTGCCAACCGCTGACCAATTGCGCCAGATGCCCTTTTTGAACAATTGTATCAAAGAGACGATGCGCATCAACCCGCCTACCAGTGGCAATTTACCGCGTATCGCTGCCTGTGACACCCACATTGGCCACCATTTCATTCCCGAGGGCACACCGATTGCCATGGAACTGTACTGCGCGCATCATCTAAACAAGTACTGGCCGAATCCCAACGAGTTCAACCCAGATCGATTTAGCGGCAAACACGGCGATGGTGGTATCGACACTGACAGCAACGTCAACAACAACAATTTATACATTCCCTTTGGTTATGGCCCTCGTGCGTGCATCGGGATGAATTTCAGTTTGGCAGAACAGCGAGTGGTACAGGCAATGATGCTTCGCAAGTATACGTGGGAGTTGGTGCCCTTGAGTGAGCATCGAGATGGACTCAAGAACGCAAAGAGTGGTGGTATTGGCTTATTGGGACCCGACAGATTGCAACTTCGACTGATGAAACGATATTAATGACAGAGACAATGTTTTGTGGGGAGGATTATATAGTATAAACAAGTACAGGACATGTTATAATAAAATACAATGTATTATGTAAAGAAGATGTATTGTATAAACAAGCCTAGTTGTTGTTGTTGCTGTGGGTATGTTTGTTGAATCGACATCCTTCACATGCACCTTTCCAGACACTGCCATCCTCATACACTTCCTTTTTCCAGATAGGACAGCGATCTTTCAAACGGTCAATCAGATATTCAGTTGCACGTAGACCCTCCCTTCGATGGGCAGATGATACGGCCACTACTACGCTCACTTGACCTACAGGCACGGTGCCGATACGGTGATAGATAGCCACATGTTTCACAGCCCAATTCTCTCTGGCTTCTTTAATGAGGTCATGCAGGACTTTTGTTGCCATGGGTATATACGCCTCATAATCAAGTCGAACCACTTTCTTGCCTTTTTTTGTTTGATTCGCAAATTAGTTAGTTATGAGTCAGAAAATTTACAAGCTTACTGTGATTGAGTGTGTGTTATTTACACACTTTTATGTGACAAGTGAGTCATTCGCTACTCTAAAAGAAGAAGAGAGAGGGGGGTCATTATGAGTCACCTTGGAATGTATCGCGTGTTAATCCCGAAAAGGTAGCGATAGCTCCTGCCGTGTCATCTTGTACAAGTTGACTAACAGTCTCTAAACTGGGCAAGTTATGTTCACTGATTTCAACAATGTCCTTGTCTCCTGATACTGCTGTAGTGGTAGTAGCCATGATATATGGATATATCTCCAGCCATTTTTACTTCAGCAACACTTTTGATAAGATGGTGGCTTGTATTTCGGGAAAGGGGCAAGAGAGATCATATATATACCCGAACTCTCTCTTTTTCCAAAGTAGCTATTTTCTCTGAAAACGAACTTTATATTTTTATAAATGGCTTCACCAGCAGACAGTAAGGAAGCACAGTGAAAAACACAACGTGACATTACACCATTACAATACTAAAACTCGCGTTGTTGTGTTTTTTTCTTAATAAAACAGTTGTGTATGTCGATGAACTTGCCGGTTCCGACGAGACTGGCAACGGTACCGAATCGTCTCCTTTCAAGACGGCTCTCAAGGCTGTTGAAAAGGGTGGCGACAATGCCAAAATCCAAGTAAAGAAGGATGCCGAAGGCTACAAGGATATCTCGGGTGCCGCTTTGAAGAAGGCCAAAAAGTCCCTTCTTGAACAACAGCGCAAGGCTAAGAAGCTGGAGGAACAAAAGCAAAAGCAAGAAGAAGAACAGGCCAAGAAGGCTGAGGAAGAGGCCAAGGTTCTTGAGCAGGCTAAATCCATCGTTTTGACTGAAGATGAAACCCTTCCCAAGGCTGATAAGGTAAAGAAGAATCGCTTTGTGTAGTAGATATGCGAAAGAAGAAAAAATCAGAAATTGATTGTCTGTTTTTTTTTGTACGTATAGATCAAAATTAGACAAGGCGTTGAATCGCGTGGTAAGCGCGTCAAGGTCTCTGGTTGGGTCCATCGTCTTCGTGTTCAGGGCAAGGACATGATGTTCGTTATCCTTCGTGACGGCTCTGGCTATCTCCAGTGTGTGTTGACTGGAAAGCAGGTAAAGATGCTGATAAAAAAGGGCTGGGTTTGCATATCACGCGAAAACTTGGATAACTGAACCATGAGGTAGTGCCACACCTATGACGCTATTACCCTCACCGTCGAATCCACCATCACCGTTCACGGTGTCATTAACGCTCTTCCCGAAGGCAAGACGGTAAGTATCCTCCAAACAATCAACGCATTAGGAAGATGGAGACGAGTTAACTGACAATATCTGGGCAAACGATACTCCAGGCACCTGATAACCACGAGTTGGTTGTTGACTACTGGTATGTTGTTGGCAAGGCTCCTGGTGGTGATGAAGCCTTCAACAACAAAGTCTCTGCCGATGCTGATCCCTCGTATTTGTTGGACAACCGCCACCTTGTTCTCCGTGGTGAGACCGCATCTGCTGTCTTGAAGGCTCGTGCCGAAGTGATCAAGGCATTCCGTGCTCACTACGACTCACGCGGTTACACTGAAGTGACGCCTCCTTGCATGGTGCAAACCCAGGTCGAAGGTGGTTCCACCCTGTTTGAATTCAACTACTATGGCGAAAAGGCTTATCTGACACAATCGTCGCAGCTCTACTTGGAGACGTGCTTGCCCTCGCTCGGTGACGTCTTTTGCTTGGCAGAATCATACCGTGCCGAAAAGTCGCATACGCGAAGACATTTGTCGGAATACTCTCACTTGGAAGCCGAGATGGCATTCCTGAACTTTGATGAAATGTTGGATTGTTTGGAGGATTTGATCTGTGACGTGATTGACCGTATCATGGCCCACGAACCTACCCGCAAGCTGATTGAGCAGCTTAACCCTGGCTTCCAGCCACCTGCTCGCCCCTTCTTGCGCATGAAGTATGCCGATGCTATCAAGTATTTGAAGGAGAATGACATCAAAAAGGAAGACGGCTCTTTCTACGAATTCGGCGAAGATATCCCTGAAGCTCCTGAGCGCGCCATGACTGATAAGATCAACCGTCCTATTCTCTTGACCCACTTCCCTGCCGATATCAAGGCCTTTTACATGCAGAAATGCGCTGACGACCGAGGCATTACCGAAAGTGTAGATGTTTTGATGCCTGGCGTTGGTGAAATTGTCGGTGGCAGTATGAGAATGAACGATAGAGTAAGTTTATCCTTTGTTGAATCTAAGCCCTAGTTGCTTATTGTGCATACTTATGTTATTTTGTTTTGGCCGCTGTAGGAGGAGCTGTTGGAGGCATACAAGAAGGAAGGCATTGACCCCTCGCCTTACTACTGGTACACTGATCAGCGCAAGTACGGTACCACTCCCCACGGTGGTTACGGTCTGGGTGTCGAACGTTTCCTCGCCTGGTTGTTGAACCGCTACACTGTCCGCGAATGCTCGTTGTACCCTCGTTACACTGGCAGATGCACCCCTTAAAAAAGTAAACATGTATAGACTGGGCTTAATACAGTAACAAAATGTGAAATATATCATCTTCCTTTCAAAAACATATGAATGACGTGCGCATACCTAAACTGTGAGCAGTAATTGTTCATTGCGCTTTTGCTTTGTTGATATTATAGCACTTTGACTGTCGATTTGCATGAATCAAATGCTCGTATCATTCTTTGTATGCATTGTCCACAATTCAAGGTTTATGTGGTGTGAATAATTGCAGGATGACCCTCTGCATATAAGTTCGCGACAGTCTGAAAAGCCCCGACACTTTCCTTTTGTTGTCTATTCTCACTACTTTCACCAGCCTAATGACAGCAGAAAAACGTATAGAAATTCCAGGACAAGAGATCATTGCCGGCATTCTTAATGACAAAGGGGGATCTGACAAGCGCTTAGTGCTCATTACACACGGTGCACCGGGTACTATTGCGATTCCTTTTTTTAGCTCTCTTAACCTGCTGTCAGCCTTTTCTGGGGCAGCCCTGTACGTATTGCTAAGCAACTAACAGCAAACTTCTAAATGACACATATTGCGAACCATCAAAACTAGGTCACAAGAATTATTATTTTCTTCCACTGCTGGCTCAAAGACTGCCTTACTCTTCTTTTCGCTTTGACTTTCGCGGAAGCGGTGAAAGTGGAGGCAAACCTAAATATAACAATATGAGTGTAAGCTATCATCTGTCACGGATTGCTCAATTCGTTCGTTGTTCTTTTTATTGAAATACATCTATCTGCTATTACTTATACATTAGGACAATGCGCATGATATCTATACTGTGGCAAACTATTTTAAAGAACAAGGCTATAACGTGTTTACCGTCATCGGTCATTCGCGAGGTATAAAGAATAGTGCTCAGCATTTTGAGGCTCGCTGGTTGTATCACTCACAGAAAAAAAATACCCAAAATAGGTGCTATTGCTGCATTAAAATATGCAGCTGACTTGCGTGAAGCACCCCCGTTGTCACACGTAGTTGATATTGCTGCGAGATACAAGATGGGTGATAGCAGTCGACTCAAAGATTCAGCAAAACAAGATCTTGCTGACAAGGTAATATGGTACCATGTATAGCTAGCAAAAAACATGAGCCAGAACCGTTTCTTGTATCAGCATGCTGCTAACTTGTTGCATTATTGTCAGGGCTACTTTGAATGGCCAGTGGATAAAAATGGACAGCTATTCAAAGTCAAAGTCACTCAGGCAGACGTTGCTGCTTATGCTTCTTGGGATAACTCACATGGTAGTGAACCCTTTCTAGATATACAATTGTATAGATCGATTGCTTTTCATCTTTTGACTAAATAGTGTCCTTGTCACCTCGTATATAGTATCCAGAATTTCCAAGGCAACCTGTGTATTGACATGTCATGGTCTCAATGATACGGTAATATCTGACTTTTTACTAAATTGAAATCTAGGATTCATACAAGTATACTTTTGCGGAATAGGTGGTGACAGCTGACAATGCAGCCATGATTGCCAACAAAGTATCAAACCATACTCTTGAGCTTATACCAGAAGCCAATCATACGTTTGACGGCAAGGAAGAGGAACTGATCTCTATCATCACTAGCCACCTCGAGAAGCATGAGAACAGTGCTTTTGAACGAGCTCAAAAATTTGGCCATCACAATAGTATCTGTATTCCACGTTGGGTTGACGTGGATGGAGTCAAGAACTTTCGTGATATAGGTGGATGGCCTCTCAAAGACGGTAGCGGATATGTGCGTGAGCGTACCGTGTTTCGATCGGCACAGTAGGTTTCTTTTATTCGCTGCAGTCGATATATGTTTGAGCTGACATTATTCCTGCTGCTGCCCCTCACTTTTCTAATTGTATAAATTCCATGTAGACTTGGGGGTATCACGGAACAGGGTATTCAAACGTTACACCACTTGGGAATAACTGCTGTTTTTGATTTTCGATCTGACGCTGAAATGAAGGGCGACAGTGAAAGAATGCCGTAGGTTGCATTAGCATTCACATGAGTGATAAGTTGTGAATGAAGTAACGAAGGTAGAGAAAGAGAGAAAAGCTAAAAGTAGACCTGGATCGTGTGAGACTATCTAGTGACATTCCTGGAATCACACATCATCCTTCCGGTGTGTTTACCGACGAAGATTTTGCACCTGGAAATCAGGAAAAGAATCTCCGTGTCTTCTTCCAGGGACCCGAGGGCGTCTGCAAGGGTAACTTGCAGCAGTTTTAATTATTACTTACAGCACTGTATTAACAATTGAAATTCAACAATTGGCATATTGGAAAGGCTACACTGAAATGCTATATCGTGCAAAGAAGCAGTACCGTAAGATTTTCCTGTACCTACTGGAGCATCCGGACGATGGCATCCTGGTACATTGCCGTATCGGAAAAGACCGTACAGGGCTGTTTTTCATGCTTCTGCTTAGCCTATGCGGTGTTGATGAAGACATCATCGTCAACGAATACGGTTTAACGAATTTGGGTATCTGGGGTAAGGCTCGGTTGATGCCTTCGATAATACTTTTCTTTTTGAACTACTGCATATTTAAAGCAGCTTCACTAATGTATACATGTACTGTAGAGACGAAAAAAAGGATCGAGGAACATGCAAAGGAGTCCAGAATTACACCCGCACAACTTGAAGAATTGTTGACGGCATCGTAAGTGCATGTGTCAGGAAGTGCGGCATCTTGACTTTTTCTATTTCGAGCGAACAGTAAAGGCCCTGAAACAACGGAAATTACGATAGTATGCCTGGAATCCTGTTGACCATAAAGCATATTCGGACAAAGTATGGATCTTTGGAAGAATTTGTGTGCCAAGAATGTAGTTTAAGCGCTGAACAATGTCAGGTAACTATAAAAGCAGCAACAAGATTCTTCTTACTTTCAGGTGCTTTTGTTTTTCCAGATCCTAGCTTACGTACTTTATTTATTACACCACCTTTTCAACACCAATATCTAATGGACCATTGTCCTCTTATTTTTTTGCTATATCTGTTCATGAACATAGACACTTCGCGATCGTATGGTTGTCCCGATCCGTTTTGAAGAGCGGCAATTGTACAGAGGAATTGAACCCTGAGCCTGCTCAATTAGGAAAACACAGGGGGACGGGAGGATCGTTAGATTATAAGGGGAGCGGGGAGGCGAGGGCGCCAAGTAAGAAGCAACCATGTACTATCGGAAAAAACAAATAAATGAATGAAGAATGCGAACATCATGTAATGCGTTCTTGTATCCAAGCTCTTGGGTACCGTCCGATTCTTGTTTCTTCTATTCATCCGTGCATTTTTGTCTTTTCTTCTATTCTTCTTTTTCTTTTCTTCTTTCACCCCGTCCTTTCCTTTCGTCTATAGCCTCTATATTTATCCTTTCCATTCGTTCACTTATCCGCTTATTCGCTTACACAACTCCTGCCCTTACGACGCGCTACTTTTGGAAGCAACTACAGTAATCCAACAGTTAAAGAGAGAACCAATGTATATCACGAAACCGAACATGCCAACAACCACTTTTTGCCCGCCACACCCAGCATTACTCATACCCGAAATTGTGAGCCACATCCTAGCGTTTGTTGCTCCCGACTCCACAGCAACGACGAAAAAGAGGGCTTTTGTTGGATTGCTACAGTGTTTGCGAGTGAATCAACTGTGGCACGATTGCGCAGCGCGACTCCTATGGCGCGACGTTTCTTTTGACGAATCGAATTACGATGCGTTAGTCAAGTTTGCCAACATTGTAGGGGAAATTCCGCACGGTCAGGGCGATGCAGCAAATGATACTCCCGTCAACAGTACCAGTACCAGCACAGCATCTTCACTCGCCGTAGCCAACAATCCAACCATTCGCCGTACCAACCTTTTCTCCAACTGCCTAGAGTTTTTATTTACGCCACCCACAACACCCGTAGACGAGGAGGAGCGAGTAATGGGCGATGACATGCGGCTCAACGACTCCAACGAAAAGCAAGCCGCAATAGCTCCCCAGTCATCGTTATCATCATCATCATCACCACCACCATCCAATATGCCATTCTATCGCTCAGTATTACGATCCTTGACGATACAAAAAGTGAAAAGGAGCACAATCAGCGACCTGCTCTGCGATAAAATAGCACGCCACTGCAATCGTCTCGAGCATATTGAATTGTACATTTGCGACCATGTCAAGCATGCAACGCTGGCACCGTTCATTCAGCATGGCCAACTCACTCAAATATCACTAGCAGGCTGCTTCCAGATCACGGACGAGTGTATTCTTCAAGTTGCTAAGCAATGCTCACAGTTGGAGCACTTGGACTTGCGTGCGTGTGGACTGATATCAGATGTTTCGATCTCGGCGATCGCAATGCAATGTCGGGCATTAAAGCATTTGAACGTGGGTCGTGTCCGTGAAAGACATCGTATCACCATAAAGTCGATTCGGCTTATTGCAATGCACACAAACGTCACTGTTTTGGGATTAGCAGGCTGTCAGATCGATGATGAATGTATGCTACTGCTGGCTCAACATCGCAACCGTCATCTAGAGCGTATATCCGTCAATAGCTGTCATCGTATCACCAACGCCGCCATCCGCGCGTATGCACAGTATTGTCCGAACCTATCCGTCTTTGAAATGAAGGAATGTCATCTGATTGATGATTGGGAGACAATAGTCGCGCTTGCTCAACGAGAGGTGCTCATGACATTGTGCAAACAACAAGATCGCGCATGTTTTGCGTGGACGCAAAAGCATGGTGTTCCTTGGGTTGTGAAATCACCCCGAAGCATCAGCTAAACATTCCCTAAAAAAACCATCTGCTCTTATCCGCCATACAATACCAGCCCCCTTGTACCTCAAAAAGTAGTAATTATTCTTGATTTACTGTTTCTCAAACTTAAATCAAGTTACCATACAGACATACATACACTCTGAATTACGTCCCCTACGTAAAGTCTAATGCTGCACCCTCACGATCCTATCGTTTTGCTAAAGAAATAAAACCGGGTTGATGATGTGGAAAAGGGATGATGATGATATGTGGCGTGTTTATTCATTCGTTATTATGGTGCTAAACCGCATTAATCTCTCTTCAGGGGATAGTGCTGGGTTTCCACAGGCTGTCCTTTCCGGATAATAAAGATCTGCAGGCAATCACCGGTGTAGATATCACGCTCGGTAGCTGATGTGAATGCATCCTTGACGACCGAAATCACCTTGTCCAGTTCCATCGGTGTGTACTTTGAGTTGGCCATATTCTTACGCCCAACCTATAGACGATATTACAGAGCCAATCTCTTCATGCTTAGCAAACAGTTTCGGTAATGCGCTTCATACACAAGGAAGATTGCTTCCTCCTCCTAGTGCCTTTCTCTTTTGTTACCTGGTTATCCAAGAATGGCTGGATCAACGAAGCTGCTGATCCGTTTGCACGGTAGTTCTCACGTTCGGATGAACCAACAGCATCATAACAGTACACAGCGCCAACACCATCCTCGTCCACACCACCCATACAGCAGAAACTGTAGTAAGGGAAGAATCGTTTTTGATAGAGCGTAATAGAGAGCATCTGTGCCAATGCTGTGACAGACATGTTCTTGTCGTGTGCAAACTTGTACCACTGTATCATTTTTTGCGACACACACGGAAACGTGTCCATACATGAGTAAATATGTACGTTTCCGACCAGCCCTTTAACTGTGAAAGACATTTTGCTTTGAGCAAAAACGTTTACAGTACCTTCATTCTTTGCTCCAACACTTTCTTCAACGTCAAACCGTCGGCGTGAAAACCGTTCATGGCGATTACGGCATTGTCGCCCAATTCATAGGCTTTCGGTGCGTATCGTGAGTTAATGCTGTAGCCTGTGCTTTGTCGGGTATCTGAGGCAACGACGCAAAAGTCCTTGCCAGCAATAGCCAAACTCGTCCTGAATTAAAGGCATTTTGTGATGTTACTATTTTTTCCCTCCTTTCACTGCCGCACACATTGATGATAAAGTAGCTACGGGTTGTTGTTAATTAATAACAAGTAAAAAAAAGAAACTCACCCGCCATTATCATCATAAGGTTCAAAACGATGCTCAATGGGTGCTGAGACGTATTCTGTAGGGTTTGCGATAGAGTAGTCCATTGATTGAAAAGTTTAAAAGAGTGTAGAGCAGAAAAAAAAGAAAGGCACCACGTCGCCAAAAGCCGCGTCATTGCAAAGGGCAAGAGGTCCTCTCTCTGTGTGCCTCTTTTATCAATCTCCGACGAATTGAATTTGTCGGGTTGCATTGCGTTGGTTGCTATGACAAACAGACACGCTCTTGCAACAACTGGCTGCATCTGGTAGCTAACAGGATCTTGAAGCATTAAATGTGGCACACAGGTGTATGCTGGCATTTTTCTATTCATTAAAGAGCATTAGTATGGAATCATTTAGAAGAGCTTCGAGCGGTTATTTGGAACTACAGCGCACTTTGGTCTGTAGAGAGAGGATGATGAGTCCTTCTATAAAAGAGTCTCTGTGTAAGTACTCAATGGAGATGTGTATACTAGTGGAGAGAATATGACATGAGCTCGCCAGCATTGGAAAAAGAACAAACGCAGCACGCCTAGGATTTCCACGGTTTCAGATGCCGGGTTGGGCAGGCATGGATCTTTTTTTTTTCAAAAGAAGCGTCCCATGCTGGAAAGTGAGACATTCTTCTATGCTGCCTTTTCTCTCTCTCTCTTTTTTTTCGGTAGTATACATGAATGCAAAGAATGCCGATTCACTATACTACGGCCGGCGTGCCACTGCCCGGAACAGCTGTCGTCGAACCGGGCAACGTAGCTGTCATCGGTTTCTATAGTACGGTCTGCGCATACTGCGTCGAGATCATGTACCGATGTATATTTGTGAAAATGGATTCAGCCAATCTTTTGATACGAATTTTCAAGGTAATAATGTCAATAAGCTTTTTTATCAAGGCGGTCATTTTCATGACATTTAACACGTAAGTGGTGGGTGATTATAAGCTCCGTTGCTGCTGAATTAAGAAACAAAAGCTGATATAAACGGATCGATTGTCATATGCAGCGCCCTCGTTGGCGATTGCAACTCGAGTATCCGCAGTGCCGACTTTTTCTATCATTTTGGTGTAACAGCAGGTGTATGCGTGCTACTGTTACGGCTCAGAGCGGTGCTGCCGTTGGGCTTACTGTCCCACTTGACAGTTTTCCACATTGGCATTGTGCTTTTCCGCCTGGCGATCGGAATCATTGATGTCATCCTCGTTGATTTTGAGAAGCGCGGCCAGTCCCTTTGCGTTTACCTCGAAAGCGCCGTTGCAAGTATGCTATAATGCTATTCGCGGGAAACACTTTTGTTAATTTTGCAATTTTTTACTGACAGTGGGGCCCCGTTTATACCTTTTTTGACACCGCCATCGATCTGTATGTCACTATTATGATTGCATACTTTCTTGCAAGGCATATTCATCAATTGCGTGCTGCCCAAACTCAAGGGAACATCCCATCGTACGTTGGCATTGTCGTACAAAATATACTCCGCACCTTGATATTGACAGTCGTCAATCTTGCTTCGGCTGTCTTTATACTTCGGGTAATATAAAAAGAACCATATATCATCAGGGAGGGGTAGAAGAGCTTAAGGGTGTATATGTGTCTGAGGGAAAATTGCGAAGTCAGACCAGGATTCGTTTAGGATTAATAAATGGACCATGATGTCGCTTATATTGTAGGGGAACTCTCCATATGGCATCATGGTAATCTGGCCTATTGTCAATACGCTTTTTGTATTGCTTATCGGTTATGATGTCGACCTTGCACAAGCTATGCGTAGACTGCACTTTACAGTATACGCACATCGACTGCCGCCTCCGCAAACACCAGCAATGACATATCCACAAGGAGGCAATAATCATAATGTAGACCCTTTCACAGCAATATCCTCCCAGTGTCCCTACTGTGGCCGTAGACGATCAGACGAGTTGGCGACACCAGCAGCCCTTGACGATGAAAGGCATAGGTTTTTTCTCAGACAACGTGCGATATCAATTACCCCTTCCTTTCTTGCCGCTACTACGCTATCATCCAGCAATTCAAACGCTGAATGTGGAAGCCGAGAAGCCTCTTATTCTCCAAGTTATCTCAGCGCTTTTCAGGCCTCATGTTACGAAGATTCGACAGTGGATCTCTCGTCACCTCATTCTCTACAGAGCAGTAATCAAACTTTCACCCACCCTCTTTGTGACAAATGTTTCTCGGCTTAATCGATACCACACTCACCGTCACCTAACGCTTCCACAACACCATCACAATGTTTACGGTCATTCCGAGGCGTACCCGAATAGTGCTCCTTCGCTTGCAGTATCTATGGATAAAGAAGAATTTCCCTATGCCAACAAGAGCTTTTGGACAACGATTTCACAGTGGTTTAACAAACGTATCATAGCAACTACAGTCGATAGAAGATACCCTTTTCACTTATCGAATATACACATACACACATTCACACACACAAAGGTTTAATATACTATGTAGTTTAAATTTCACAATTATGCTCGTCTCTTGGCATTCATGTACATAATATACTACTTACTGTCGTATCAGAATTTATCCGAATGACTAGACTCTTTTCCTTTTTTACATATCATACCAAGAAAATGTGAAGCACCATTATACTAGCACGATTACAGAAAACACAATCGTTGCAAGCAGTGTCCCTTATCAGTCGATTCCAATAGTTAGACGGATAGTAAAAAGAAAATAAGCTCTCAATTACACCTTGGTAACCTCTAACCCCTTTGGGCGGCCGTCTTCCCTCCTATTCTTTGCCATTGTTGATGTATTAGAGCAATTTTGTATGTCCAAGACAACTCTACTTTCTTCTATGTTGTGTATTAGTAGTGTTCCCATCGTCAACGTATCCGTCCTCTTCGCTAAATGTGTCCTGGGGGAACATACAGAAGCACGGATTATTTTTTACTGAGAAGAAGGCACACAAAGGGAAACAGAGGAGATGAAAAAACAGTAATACCTATCTTATACTTGACTGGTCACTTTGACCTAAGAACTCATTGATAATATAAAGATATGAAAAATGGACATATTATATATCATCTTGTGATGGGAATATGAACGAGCACTGACAAAGAAAAGTATGAAGGGCCAGATTTTACTCGAGAACATACATTTCAGTGTCGATCTAGTAGTACCAGTACTGAAGGGATTTGTCATGATGGTTCGTATACATATGCACCTAATGAAGGAGAAGCATAAAATATGTATTATGTGAGTGTTTCCACGGAGTATGGTTGTCAAAAGAACAACAACGCTGTAACTTTTTCATTCTGAAACGAGTAAACGATAACATGAAAGAGTATCTTACAGGTGCAAGCGTCGGTAATGACGCCCATGTCCTTTTAATTCCCTGCAATGACATACTTGGAGGTTTTTTCCGAGGGAAAAGGGTATCTAGGAGGTAATAAGAGTATATACCCCTTTTCTTTTCTAGCACATATCCAATCGCGTGCTCGTTCGTTTGAAAGCATACTATATTCTTCTTTACCATGTAAGCCATGCAATCGATACACTTTCCTTTATGCCTCTAATAATAACCCCCTTTTGCGAATCAGCAGCCATCTAGAGCTTTCCCCTTTCCTTTAGCTTTTATATAAAAGTAAGGTTTACGTGATTGATATAAAAAAAAGAAACGACATACCTATAAACTCCACACAAAATGATGGTGCCATTATTAGCACTGCTGCAGTTTATCTTCTTTGCTAGCCATATGGCCGACGCCATTTCAATCGAGGACATGATTTTTCCGTCGCCTGCTTATACTGGTGATAAACCACCAAGCGTCCCATTGATTTTTAAAGGCGGTGTAGTAAGTATTAACATATAGTCTAGGATATAGAAAGAGATGACTACTACGATATGGTTCCTTTTACTGACTAGTTTCCATTGATTTATAGCCCACAGCTGATTTTGCTATCGGTAAATCACTGAGTCTTTTTAACTATCAGTAGTCCCACAACGAATACAAACAGAAAATGTATACTCACTTGAATCTATTGACTGTGTTATCAATTATAAGGTACGCCGCCTCAGAATTTCACCGGAGTGTTGGATACAGGATCTCCTATTACATGGGTTATGTCCACTGAATGTCGAGACACGGGCTGTGAAAACGTGCCCATGAGTGAAAAATTTAATCGAGCAGCATCAACAACAAACACTGCATTTCCCAGTGAAATCGAGTTAAGTTATTTGGATGGCACACATGTGCATCTCAAGCCAGAATTGGTAAGTTATTGTTGTTCCTAGCTTCGCTCAAATGCTCGAGAAGGGGGAGAGAGAGAACCGAAAGAGAAACATCAAAGGAGGAAGGAAATCGAAGGGGTGAGGATTAGGGAAAAGGATATGAAAGAGTCAAGTGACATGCAAAGTGGAAATAAAAAAGCCTAAACCCAAATGTGTATGCTAGGATACCGTGACACTTGCAGAAACCTATAAGTTTCCACACCATCTGATCGGCGAAGCGACAATGGTCGGATATCCAGCAGGTTTTGTACCTGCAGCGAGTAAGTTACTCAAGGCCAACCGTTTCATGAGATAAAACCTGACGACTGAAAACAAAAAGATGCTAGAATTGGTGTGGGCGATTATAGTAACGACATACTCGATCCAAAATCATCAAAGATGTCGAAAGATTTTAATGCGCCTGTCGGTAAGTAAAATATCATGCTCCTTGATGTAAAGGTTTTCTCGGGAGGGGTAAAGATGATGGGTCTCTAATGAGGAGTTGTAGGAGAAATAAAAGGGAGAAGAGTTGTTAGAGAAATAGAAGCAGATTGATTAACGTTTCCCTCTTCTCTAAAATAATAGGTGCCAGTTTGCAACGCAGAGCAGGTAATATGGTGTCCCATATATTATAGTTTGGAATACATATTTGCTAACATGTTCGCCGTTGTATTCGACGATAAAATATTAGCTGGAGATGCACATACCTCGACGGGCCCTACCGCGTCCGGATCGCCAAGTTTCCGTAAACGAGATCCAAACGCATCAGATAACTTTCTATGGATTCTGGGCGACGATCCCAGCATGTACACTGGTCCACTGTACAGGCTGGCCCTAATCAGTGGGATCGATAGTAAATCTTCGCCATTCTGGAAGGTGCCGCTGAAAGGATTGGCTCTACAAGAAAGCAAGAAGGAGCTCACGCTGTCCGGTGGATTCTATGGCACGGTTTCTTCCAGCACACCGTATATCATGGTACCCCCTTCTATGGCAAGCGCCCTCAACGATGCTATTGGTGCAAAGTACCAAGCAAAAACCCGAATGTACACAATTTCCTGTGCCTGGCGAAAGAAGCTCCCGTCTCTTGTGGTTGAGTTCTCTCAAGGCCTTGATGCACAAATACCAGCATCACAATATATTAACGAATATGAACATATACCCACTGGACAGTCGGAAGCATGCTTTTCGACGATTGTCAATGGCCCTGACGATCATACTGTGTATCTCGGTGGCCCCTTCTTTCGATCATATTATCTCGGTTTTGCTGTCACGGAAAAGGCATTGTATGTTGCACAAAGTGCTGCCAATACTGGCGCAACGCTTGCATCAAACGGTGCAGCAGATCAAGATTCTACAGCCCCAGCATTGACAAACACCAATAATCCACAGACACCACCCGCAATTGAAGCCCCACCAGCACAACCTCAGCAACCTAATGCAAACGCTCTTAAAAGTCCATCGGCAGCACCTCAAAATGGCGGTACAGCAGCACCAGTAGGTCAGAATGCGCCTAGCTCACAGCAGAATCCTGGATCTTCAATAGGCGGACAGGATCCTGGGTCTTCAACAGCAGCAGCAAATAACAATGTTGATAATGAAATGGCACCCAATGGTGGCATCAGTAACACGGATGCAAACCCTACACAACCCAGTGGCGGCAATCACCTAAAAGACGCATCGGTCGGGGCTAATCCTGATGCTGCTACAAGCGCAACTAGCAATGGCATTGATACTGGTGCTAACCCAGGATTGAGCACGGACGGCAGCGGTATTACTGCGTCACCGATGGGAGCTAATAATGCTCCATCAGGTAAACTGGCACCAACATCTCCAAACCAAATAGCGCCAGAAGGATCTACTGTAGCCAGTTCCATTGGCTCATCTCCTGGTCAAGCGGGCGATCAGCCCCTTAATTAAATCGCTATATACCAGCATTTCAAATATATTAAAAAATAAGAACACGTACATCTTCTCAGTAAAGTATACTTGACATGTGCTGATAGCATCAGCCTTTGTGTTTCTGCGTTACCTACTGCTGTTGCTGCTTTCCCTGATCACCATATAATTTACTTTCACTGTTTATGTAATCTGTTGACCCAATATGTATGCAAGGACTGCAAAAAAGGCGTTGGTGTTCTTTCAATTGGTTTCCAGCCCCTTATTACCCACTATGCACACCTTCAATAACATCTCAATGCGACAGCTTTTTTTGCTCTCCTTTTTCCTTCCCACTTACTTTTTTCTCCCTTTTATCCCAAATGAAAGTTGTTGAATACCATGAGGAGCAACGTGCCATCGGACTTGCTCGGCCAGTGCTTGGATCAGTTCTCTTGGACGACACCATCTACATTGTCAGCGACACCATGATCTGGTCACTTACCAATGATGCACTCAAGAACGAGCATCCACAACTCACAGCATTGGCACGAGTACCAACAATGACAGTGATAACGCTACCAGCGACGCTTTACACCGACAAAACCACCATCGAAGATGAAGGCTTCTTCATCATGGATGATACCTTTACAATATACAGTTACGCTATTAAAACTCGTCAGCTGATGTCAATACCGTCCGCGCACAATCATACAACGACGGCTCTGGTACCTGCTCCTCGTACTGGACATGCTAGCGTGTCTTCAGTTGATTATCAGCATTTGTTTCTTTACGGTGGAAAACCCATTGAAAAAAACGGCACCACCACCACCACAGCAACAACAACGTCTGCATTAGATACTACATTCTGGAAATATAATCTAGTTAAGCAGCAATGGTCACCTCTAGCGGATCATCCAAGCAAAGACGGTCGTGGATATTATGGTCATACCATGAGCATGCTTAGGTAAGTTTTGCTTGATCTGCAGCGTTTTTTTCTTGCAAATCAAATTTGGAATTTACTGATTTAAATCAAATAATAAGCAACGGCCAGTTGGTAGTCTTAGGTGGAGCAAAAGCGTGTGGTCAGAATGATGAGCTGGTTGACCTTGCGAATGCAATAGTATACGACACTCACAGTGGCCAATGGCATGAAAAAACTCTGGGTGGACGCGTTCCTGCATCACGAATGTACCACAGTGAAGTAACAAGTTTGGTATTCGCCCTTTATTGTTATACGAAACATTAAAATTAGATTCTTGTTGCATACTGATATCATTTCTTTTAAACACTTTAAGCTGTTTATGATAAGATTGTCATTTGTGGAGGTGAGAGAAAACCAACAAATTTATTAAGTCTCTCTCCCCCCTCGTTCTAATAATGTGTATTGTGTACGTACAGGTCAAGATAATGTTCCTCCACCTTTTCATACGTACTTGTCAGCAGATCAGCAGCACTTGGAAGAAATGACAGCTTTGTTAAACACCAAAACATGGGAATGGCAAGCAGTAATTCCTTCTACAAATAACCAGCCGCTACCACAGTCTATGGCGTCTGCCCTGCTTATCGATGGTACCAAAATGCTTTACGGTCTTGGTATGATCCTTACATATAGACATTACCATATCACATTAAAGAATTTATATGCTTATCAAGCGAAACCGACCGTATATTTTCGTAAATAGGTCAAAGCTATCAAACCATACATGATGGCTTATATATTTTGGATAGTGAAACATTAGAATGGTTACCACGTGGAGCACTTGGTTCTTCTTCGACTGCATGGCTCGGGTCTGGAGACGAACTTGCATCTTCAGCAGCCATGCTGAGCGCTGCCGTCATCATTGCATTGTGCTTTGCCGTAATAGCGGTGATTGTTCTTATTTGGTTGTTGTGGAGACTAGGGCGAAAAGCTATCCTTCAAGGTATCTCATCGATTAAGCATGAGTTGTGGGATCCCAGGTAGCTAAAGCGATTTTGTTTGTCAAGCTGTTGAAAAATCATAAGAGCTTAACACCTTGCCGTAATAGACCCGGTGAGCCTGGATGGACCGAGTTCGCTCGCTTGGCGTTAAAGTTTACTTTTGGCGCGTATATGGTCTACCTCGTACTATCTCTAACCAGACAGATCATCCATAGTCCCATCATCGATCAGCAGTACTATGATGAAACTACAGATGGATCAATCTACGTACCTGGTACGTTAAATAACAAGTATTATTTATTCATTTATGTGGGATTGAACGCATGAATGTTTGGAAAATATTGTATAGATGTCCGATTCTGCTTTGATGACTATCAGCAAACAGAACCGTATGTCCGGTGTGCTACAGATTATGGCATGCAATGTTCACAATACTTGCAAACCTTCTACCCGCCTACAGCGCGCGAACGAGTATGCATCTTATTTCGAGCGCCTGATACCGTACGGCTGGCTTCGCCCGTTCATCGACAAGCAGAAGGATCGTATCTAAAGTTCGACTATTACGGCAACGTAACCCAAGTTCAAATTAGTCTTTACCACCGAGACCATGATCCGAATCTCGAAATTTACAATTTAAAAAAAGAAAACGACGGCGATGATATGTTTGAATGGACGTCACCTTATGAAGAAAGCCACTTTCGTGCAGCTGAGTCAACAACATACCATCATTACCAGGAGCAACAGCACTTGGTGACAGCCAACCGGGTACACACAGGCAGCTATGCACTCGGCAAACGCATTGTATTAAAAGAAGACTCATGGTGGAACTATATTGGGTACGCCTCAGACACGGCTACATGGCACCAAATCACCAGCTCCAAACTGATATCAGAATCATCTCCACCTACATACGTGACGGGTGGCGGCGGTGGCAAGCAACCACTAGGCTCACTCCATTTGTTTCCAGAACGATATACAACCCAGATCACGGCAGAGCAGCGTGCCTTTACTGTCGTTCAAGCGATTGGCGTTTTGGGTGGTGTGTTTGGTTTGCTGGTAACAGCTCAACATTGGCTATTTGGTTACCGTCCACGATCACCTTGGGGCGTTATTCAACGGTGGTCGATAGGACAGATGCGTCTATCACTTCTTCAAGGCCTGCTCAGTAAATTCCAGCAAAAGCATGAAAACGTTCCTATTGTGCACCCGCTACTAAAGAGAACATCGTCATCAGCGACACACGTCGAACGAATGGCCCACTTGGAAGATCGGTTACATACGCTCGAGCAGTTGTTCCAGGCGTATTACATCGATGATGAAATATTTCAATCATTAGATCAAGCGTTTACTCGACCAACGTCTGCAAATAATAGCAAGGCGCCTAATGATAGCTTATTACGACTCCGTCTGCCATCTTTCAAAAAAGCAAAACATTCCACTTCGTTGTAACCTTCTTTCTGGAAAAGTCTTTTTTTAGAGCACTTTATAATATATTTACTGAGAAAAAAGTTGTTTGATAACAAAGAAAGAAAGGAAAAGAGGGGAGGGAGGGGAAGGGGGGATTGCTGAAGTTTGTGGGGAATTCTTTTCTTTTTCTACATCGGACCGCTTTGATCTACACTCATCTGCTCGTGTCCACCATTGTTATTACTGCTACTACTACTGCTTGCATCCGTGCCACTCGACGAAGCGGCGGCTGCAGCTGCCGCTGCAGCAGCTGCGGAAGATGCACCAGGCGCCTGATTCAAAACTTCGTCTAAACTGACGTGGCGCGAAAGTTCGTTGAATACCTAAAGAGAGAACAGAATATTAGTCTCAATGTCGAAACCACATAAATCCCCTCAACAAAATGAAAGGCTTATATCTTTTTACCGTTTCATCCACGGGTATAATCGATTTGCGTCTAAATTGCTGGTATTGCACTGGAGCGTTGTCAAATTGTTGCTATACATATCGGTAGATTTGATTCTACGTCAGTAATCTATTGACGAGAGAGGATCGAGCACAATAATTTAGACTTAAACATATACCATGTCTGGGTGGATCGCATCCGTATGCTCGGCCGCGTTTTCAGACTCGGCATCTGTTTCTTCGTCGGTCAGGATATCATCGTCTTCTTCTTCCTCTACTTCCATGGGCTCGTCCTCCACTGTCTGATGTGGAGTAGGGAATGCAAAGGCACCACCAGGAGATGCAGGTTTCGGTATATCGGGCGGATTTGCGGATATGACGGACACTTTTTGATGAAGTGCCTTCCAGCTGTCTTCGAGTTCCTTTTGTCGCTTACGTTCCCTACATCATTTTTATTGGGTGGTGAGATAAGCTAGGAAACGTGATTGCCAATTTGAAATTCACTTACAATTGACGTTGCAGCTTGTATTGGTTCGCACACTCATCAAACAAGACCGGGTTGATATCCATGCACAACTTGAGCGCAGTATAGACTAGTCCGAGAATCGTTCTAACAAACAACGGTCAGTGACTGCTGGTATGTATTATAACTATTCATCACATAATTTGCTTACTTGTTCCAATGTGCCTTGGATGTCTTGTACAACGCAGGAAAAACAATAGGCATAATGGCATCCATGTTTTCTGCCATCAGACTCACAACGTAGTCATTGTTCCAATAATACAGCGCGCGCTCAGCAACCTATTATGAATTATGCATCATTGCCCTTCCAGTTTAGTATACAGACACCTTCCGCCTTTTGCCGGATCCCCATCGACTAGTTATTACCTGGAAATGTGAGCTCGAGACGCACTGGGATAGTTTAGTGAACAAAGGGACCATGACCCGCTGGAATTCGTAGGCATCGATCACATCGAGGATTTCCTCTAACTCGTTCAAAAACATGACTTCCTTGGGACTGTTAACCTTGGGCCAATAGCGCAACAGACCTGTGACAACCTTTGTATATGTAAATTAATTAACTATCCTCTCCTTTGTGTTGACACCCTTTTTTACAGTCAATCACACACATATACTCTCCCTCCCTCTCCCTCTCTCTCTTTCTTTTACCTCATGTGTGAGCATCTGATCCTTTTCTAAAAATTGAACGACACAGTAGGCGAGCTGTGGATGATAAAGGACCAACGACTTGACCTTATGCAGAGGAACTAAAACCCGAGTCAAAAAGATCTTGTGCTCTTCCTTGAGTGGCAACGCAAATCCGTTAATGATACTGCCCAAAATCTCGAGCAGTTCGGCCACACCGTTGTGACGTTCGGTCTCGTAAATGAATTGGAAAAAGATATTGTTGATCGACCGACGGATGAATGCACGCAGGTTTAAGAATTTGCCGTATATTCGGTGAAGCGTTGTTTTTAAGAAATCGCGTTCTCGAGGATCTTCACTGTCGAATAGCTCGAGAAGCTGTTCCGTGAAATATAAGTGTATTAGCGCTCTCTCTCTCTCTCTCTCTATATATATATATATATGTAAATAACGGGAAGACAACAAAAAACGAACCAGTAAGATGAATTTGTGATCGATGTGCTTCTTTGCATAGTTGATGTTAAACTCGGGCGATTCCAGGAAGCGTAAGAAGAACTCGTATACGATCTGCAAGTGTGGCCATGCCAGTTCCAGCACAGGCTCGTCTTCCTCGGGGTCAAATGCATCCCCCACAGGATTCACTTGAGGTGGTATCGTACGAAAGAGGTTGATGGAAAACTATAGACAATGATGATAGGTTGGTTAATCTCCCTTACCGTGTACCTATCTTGCTCTATCTCCTCCTACCATATTGACGATTTCCGGGTACACCATTTCAGTAAGCACTCCGCGGTTCATGTTGACATATTCCAAAATTTCCTGCAGCGTTTGCCGCTTGATCTCCTTTTCGCGCAGCTCTGATGATGCATCGCTAAAATCAAAGCACACCATGCACTGACGGATCTTTTGGATGAACAGGTCCGGTCGCAAATGGGGTGGTGCCTCTAAAAACCAATAACCAATAACAAAGCCGCCACCGCCACCGCCGTTTATTACATACATAATCACTCCATCTTATCACCATCATTTCTATATTTGTCCACTAACTTACCATGAAAACCAGGTGTTTTTTCTAGTTGAACCTTTTCTTTAACGTAGAAGCGAGACGACTTTTGTCGACGAGGAGCCTTGCTGATCGGGATCTGATCCTTGGGAGCGTTCTTCAAACGGTTCAGTGCACCTGTCTTTGGGATATCGCGTTCACCTGACTTTGGATGGTGCATAAACGACACTTGCGGGTTCGCCCGCTTCTGCTGCTGCTGTTGTTGTTGTTGTTGTTGTTGTTGATGCTGTTGCTGATGTTGGGGCTGCAGCAGCAAGCGGGAATAAAAAGATGAGTATCACCCTACAAACAAAGACGATGGGGACAGCCATAACAGGACTACGAAGTATAACAGAAAATCAAATTACTTACAGAGTCAGATCCGTCTTCGGCGTTCACTACAACAATAGATGGTGTGTTGTTGCTACTGTTCTGAGGCGAGGAAGGGGTTGTTGCTGCTGTTGTTTCGATAGTGGCAACAGAAGGTGGCGGCGGAGGGGGTGTTGTAGTATAGTAAGGCTGTTGCGGAGATGACGGCTGTGCTTGTTGCGGTTGCTGTTGTTGCTCTGGACTCGGATGGCCATTGACTGGAGTAGCACCAGGTGCCTTGTTCCTAGAAAGCTATCAATCGAGTATAACAACATAGGTATAGAGTCAAGGAAGAAGATGCTTTTTTTTGACCAGCAGAAATCTGGTGAAATCGTTTTTCTTTTTGTAAAGTTAATGCATTATATCAAATAAAAAGGATACAACTCCTTTCCACCCTTTCATCATTGATGTTTCGACGAAGTGTTGCTTATGCTTTCTGGGTTGGAGTGGGCTGTTTCGGATGGGTTTGGTGTTTGACGGTTTATAGGAATTTAGCGTTTGTTCGAGATGTGGGTAAATTGCGCTGAGTCTACAAGTTTCGCAAACGCGGGGTTATCTTCTTTCTGGGGCAAATAGAATGTGGAAGCTTTTTGAAAAGACAATATGGGACTGGTGAAGGAGAGGCAAAGCGAGGGGAAGAGGTGGGATGGGGGGAAAGGGGAAGATGAGAAAGAGAAGAGAGAGAGAGAGAGTTCAACTAATAGAAAGTTGGACAAGTAAAAAAACAGAGAGCTGTTACTTCTGTGCGTAAAACTTCTGCTCCTGCACCTTGCTTTGTCGGAGGTCGCAAAGCCAAAATAGGGTTTTTTTTCTTGTTATTTTTTTCGCGTTAAAAAAAACGATGCTCAAGTCTGCGATTGGCAATGTAGTCAACTTAACTCGAAAAAAAGGGGGAAGTGTGAGTTTTCTCGAACAAATACGGCTCTAACGTTTTCATTTCACCACCCACTCTTTTGCGTCATAGGTGCTTGTGATTGGGGGTGTTGCACTCGACATGACAAGTACAGTTAGCAAAAGCGTCACACAGCTCACGTCGCTGCTGCATACTTCGAGTCCCGGGCATATCAAACAAACACTCGGGGTGTGGGTCGCAATGTGTGTGAAGCGGCTATGCGCACAGGCACACCCGCGTTCCTGGTCTCGGCTGTTGGGAATGATCTGGCTGCTCAGACGATTCGACAAGGCATGGAAATGATCGGCATGGTATTGTCACCACTATGATATCTTCAATATCTTTCTATCCCATCGCTATCTGATACCTTCGCTTTATTTTTCGTCATTCGTCCTGTAGTCTACACAGTATGTCCAATGCATACCTGATCATCCTACCGCTGTAATTAAATGAAATATAGTCATTTGTAACAACGATGCCATATATGAAACAAAGATCGACGCTAAAACTGGGTTTATCATTAGGTGTACAATGCGATTCATTCCAAGTCGGGGCAATTGATCGCCGCTGTGGCGGATATGGATATTTTTGATGCGCTAAATTCTGCCAAGGTATACACATACACACACACACACACACACACAATACACACTACGCATTGTCACTAGAGCTGTCTACTAGATAGACACAATCCTGCATACGGAAAAGCCAGCACTCGTATGTTTTGATGGTAACCTAGCAACTAATACGATGGCCCGTCTCGCAGCAACCAGTGCTCAACTTGGTATCCCAGGTAACAAACTGTATACCTTCAACGACAAATTTACTTTAGTGGTAATAACTGAGATTGTATATACAAGTGTTCTTTGAGCCGACATCAGTGCCAAAATCGCTCAAGATTTTCGAGCAAAACGGATCTGTCCTTTCGTCGGGTGCAATCAAGTTCGTATCACCCAATCATTTTGAGCTAGAAGCCATGAGTGAAACAGCCAGGTCGATAACATCTACTCTTGTTGACGATAAGCACACAACTCTGACGGTGAAAGGTAAGATGGAAATTCAAGCGCGGTAATAAATGACATGTAATAATTAATTCTTGTGGGGGTGTGTATATGATGTTTTAATAAATCAGGGCCAGCACTGGCACAACGCGTGCTTCCATATGCTCTTCATCTCTCTCACATGATTCCACACATTATTACCAAATTGGGCGAAGATGGTTGTCTGTACACTGGAAGATCAAGCAAGTCTGGCAAAGCCATCGTGCAATACTTTGAGCCGGAACAAGTCGACAGCAGCATTATTAGTGTCACAGGCGCAGGGGACTGGTAAAAAGAAATCCAAGGATAAGGAGAAGGGGTGGAAGAACTTTGAATTACTCATCTCAAAAAAAAAAACCATCATCATAATAGTTTTGTCGGGACATTGCTGGCCAATCTCCGAAAACACCTTGCTGATATCATCCAAGAACAAGAACCCGACAATGCAATAATGCTATGGAAACAAATAATTAGCCGAGCTCAGAAAGCGGCTGTGCTTACCTTACAATCTGACCTGGCTGTCAGTCCAAGCATCGATCACGATCTACTCTACTCCAAATAATTATATATAACAAAGATTGAATATCAATGATCAGGTTTTTTTTGCTGCTGTCAGAAAAAAGCTTAGTGCTCCTAGTCTACGGGAGACAGGACTGGAAACTTACTGCGGACGGCAGAACTGTTAGCCGCTGTGACTTCATCACCCCGCCTCGCACAAAAAAAGAGCTGGAATACAAAAAAAAAAACAAGTTGCAAGGGGCCTGAAATAGTGAATGGGTCAGAAATCTTTTTCTCTTTCTTTTTCTTTCTCAACAAAATAAAATAACCATGTTCGTTGTTTCGCGTATTGCCTCTGCTGCCTCCAAGCGTGCTTTCTCCACCTCCGCTGCTAACCTTTCCAAGGTTGCCGTCCTCGGTGCTGCCGGTGGTATCGGTCAACCTCTCTCGCTTCTCATGAAGCAGAACCCCCATGTCACTGAGCTCTCTCTCTACGATATTGTCAACACCCCCGGTGTTGCCGCTGATATCAGGTAAATACACGGTACCTTCATATCTACTAGGTCAATCTAGGTTTATCTGTGTTGTTACTAGTAGTGTGTGTGTGTGTGTGTATGTGTGCAATATAGATACTAAATATACGCGTCTCTTTGTTTAGCCACATCAACACCAAATCTGTTGTAAGTTTTTTCTTCGGACAGACGAGCAACACGGATGGAAAGTATGAAGGGTACTAAGAGTTTTTCTCTGGGATAATGCGAATTTCTCTTTGTAGGTCAAGGGCTTCACTGCCGAGAACGAAGGTTTGAAGGCTGCTCTTGAGGATGCTCACGTTGTCATCATGTAAGTTACTGCTTAAAATAAAGGCTTACCAGGAATGTGCATAATTTAAAAAGCTGAATCTAATTGTTATAATCTTGTTTATTTAGCCCTGCTGGTGTCCCCCGTAAGCCCGGTAAGCATCTCTCTATTTAAATGACAATGTGGATGGTTATCACTAAATGAAACTGTATGACTTACTGTAACGCTTCCTGTTTTAGGTATGACCCGTGATGACTTGTTCAACACCAACGCCTCCATCGTCCGTGACTTGGCCGAGGCTTCCGCCAAGTACTGCCCCAACGCTCACTTCTTGATCATCTCCAACCCCGTTAACTCCACCGTCCCCATTTTTGCCGAAACCTTGAAGAAGGCCGGTGTCTTTAACCCCAAACGTTTGTATGGTGTCACCACCCTCGACGTTGTCCGCGCCTCGCGTTTCGTTGCTGAAATCAAGAACAAGGACCCCAAGGACGTCAACTGCGTCGTGGTTGGAGGTCACTCCGGTATTACGATCGTCCCTCTTTTGTCGCAATTGGGTGAATCGTTCACCAAGGAAGAAATTGATGCTCTGACCCACCGTATTCAGTTTGGTGGTGACGAAGTTGTCCAGGCCAAGAACGGCACTGGTTCCGCCACTCTTTCCATGGCTTTCGCTGGTGCCCGTTTCGCCAGCTCCGTCCTCGACGCTACCGTTGGTGGCAAGAAGAATGTTATTGAGCCCTCGTTTGTCCAGTCCGACCTTTTCAAGGACCAGGGCGTCGAATACTTCTCCACCAACATCGAGCTTGGTAAGGACGGTGTTGAAAAGATCCACGGCTTGGGCGAAATCTCCGACTACGAAAAGGATTTGATCAGCAAGGCCGTTCCTGAACTCAAGAAGAACATCTCCAAGGGCAACAGCTTTGTCCAATAGATCCCATGTACATTAAAGTCTGTGTTAGTTCACACTCATTTCCAGCAAACACACTCAAAAAAATTTAATAAATGAATATAGTACGCTTGTTTTGGTTTGTCATGTAATTACTTTTTTTAGAACACAGCGTTACAGGAGGGTGGCAACCGCATACCTGCTAAAAAAAAGGAAGATATGGAAGGGCTGATACACAGGCAGATGTGGGTAAAAAAGATACTTTTCATGTTGGCGCTCAGCTAATGTGGCCTTCCATGATGCATGAGCTTGATCATGCTGTATCTGTTGTATGTGTATCATCGACTGGTCGGGTGGATCCCTTGGGCTACATGGTAGGTAAAAGCGTCAGGATGCTATAAAACACAGCACCTTAACTTATACTAAGTGACGACGGTGGAGGTGGGCCATACGTTGATGTCAGGCATGAGGGGGCTGTGAAGGCGCTCTTGTCAGACAGTCATTTTCAGCTTGCTCAATAGTTACAAAATTAAAAGATCTTCAACTTCAAATTCAGGGACGACAGGTGTGGAGTTACTTGAAGCCTTGACCATTGTGTTGCTGACTTCTGTGTCGTGCACCTTTTTACATCAGTTTGTCGCTTACTGGAAAGTAGAGTCACAAATCTATTAGCTGACTGATCATCTACTGTCTTCATAAAATTCGCAATGCTGCCATTAAACAGTTCTTGGAGACGCATTTGTTTTTTTGTTTTTTTTAGGCGCGCAACAAATTATTGCGTCGGTTTTTATTTCAAGTCACGTGCATATTAAATATGAGAGGTGAGGAGAAGAAGCTAAGTAGCGTTTGACTAGTTGGCGATATAAGGAAGAATTTCTTGGGTGCGGGTTAACAAAAGAGAATGGATTTGCGTTATAATGTTATCGGGAACGAAGGGAGAGTTGTTTAAAACAAAGCGCCAGTGGGCGTTCCAAAGACATTCTAATATACAGCTGATAATTATATCTGAAGGGAGACGGGGAGCATTTTGGGGAAAATACAGGTGAAAGATGGCATAGTGTACAGCAGATTCTGTAACAGATTGTAATAGTAGGTCGGGCCACACGGAGCACCAGATCGACCATTTGCGAGGGCATTGGTACAGGAAATGAGACAAATCATCTTCATCTTGGTTACAAATTGGGCATACAGCGGATGTGAATTCGGAGGGCATAATTGAATGTAGAGTTTTACGGCATGAAATCTTATTGTGAAGCGCTCGATACCAAACATTTCTTGCCGTTGGCGATATCTTCAATCGCCAGAAGGTATCCCATTGTCTAGGTGCTAAGATCGTGTTTTCCCGGGCTTTGACGTGTATAGACTTGTCGATGATTGCTTGTCTGAGTTCTTTTGCTGTGATCGTGGTCAATTGTTTATCTTGGACCTTGCACCATGCTCCCAGATCGACCGCCTTATGTTCACGGATAGCGGGATCAATAGAGTTGTGAAGAAGATGCCTCGGGATCAAAGTCTGAAACACCGCTGGTTGGAATCCCAACTCACCCAAGTCCAAGAAGCGAACCAGTAGACCCAAAAGGCGCGGGTAAATCAAGAATTCCGTGGCGAGCCGTCTCCATAAACAGCCATTCGCTAAATCAAAGATGAATAAATCATCCATTAGGATCCTGTGTTTGGCGATGCGTCGTAAGCATACGTCTAAGGTTTTGGTGAGCAAGCGCTGTGTCGGCGTCATGGCATCTAGGACGTGCAGTTGTAGAACTGTAGCGGGCGGTATGAGTTGGGATTGATAGTCAACCGTAAAATTGTCTAAGGCCTTGCATAGCTGATTTGAGAAGCTGACGGGTTTACTCATTGAAGCAGTCCGAAGTCGGGGAAATAGGAGACACATATGTGGGTCCAGGTTTGGAGTCCATGTTGCCTGAGTATTAATTATCCACGAATGTATGAACGATCGCTGCTTGGTGTCATTAGTAAACATGGTTGGATCCATCTGAGCTGGAGTGCTGATTGTTGTGCTTCCGGGACTAATATTGCAAGGCCCCCTTGTTTGCGAGGTGGTGCCAGTCGGTGAAATGCAACTTTGGGAAGCATCTTTTTAGTCAAGAAGTCATGGCAAATGCTGCGAACTTTCTTCTGGGATGCTTGAGGGACCGCGCAAACTCGTAAGACGGGCCAAAGTGATGATAATATCAGCACATTCAGAATTGTCGCTCGACCGCGAATCGAGAGTGACCGGTGCGCATGGATGTTGCAGGCTGATTTGATCTTGCCTAGGAGTTTGTCCAGGAAGCCATCCCGTTGCTGCGGCGATTGATACAAAGGATATCCGAGATATACCAAGGCTTGATGGGCTCGTCGATCGAACCATGATCTAATGCCCATTCCCTCCAAACACGAGCGCAATGTGGATGACGACTTGCCAGATAGCGATATGGCGTGCGTTTTGCCCATATTGACCTTGGCGTTTGATGCTCTGGAGTAGGTGTCTAAGTGGTGGCGGACTTGTTGCAAATCTGATTCATTATGAATGAAAACAAAGCAGTCATCGGCGTAGGCTAGAACCTATAGCTTAGTTGGAGACGGTGTGACTGGGGTAAGAGCTTTACTTGCTGCCATCAATATATCATATCCGTGTAATTGTTCATCGTTGAGGATGCGGACCAAGAAAGGCTCTAAGGCCAGATTGAACAAAATAGGCGAGAGAGGGTCTCCTTGTCGAACGCCACGTTGTTGTTTAGATGCTGGAGACAAGGACCCGTTAATGTTGATTCGTAGATTGCTGCCGAATAAAAGAGTCTTGATAGAAGAGATGATCTTTGCTGGGAATCCCCATTTGCTAGGACAACATTCGAGATATTCTGGATGAACGCGGTCGTACGCTTTTTCCATATCCAAAGATAAACCGACGTCATCGGCATTTACGCTGGCGGCATGGTCCATAGCAAGTCGTACAGCAAGCCCATTGTCTGCGATGTAGCGTCCGTGCACGAAACCCGTCTGATACTTGTTAATTAATGCATTACTAACACGGACTATTCTTGAGTTCATGATACGGGTAAATATTTTAGAGTCCGTGTTGATCAATGCAATTGGACGCCAGTTTCGTAGTTGGGAGAGCTCCCCTTTCTTCGGAATGAGATAAATACATGTGTCTGACCATGATGCTGGAATAGTGCCTGATGTAAAGCTGAGTTGTAAATATCAACAGCCATTCTGCCATATAACGGGTGTTTGAATATGGTAGACAACATGTAATAGGGCAGGCCGTCTAGTCCCGGACTGCTTCCTTTCGGTACACGTTTGGTTGCGTCAAGTAACTCGTCGAGAGTCATGTCTTCTGTTAAGATGTCGCAAGAGTCTTGTGAGAGCACGCATGATGGCGGTGAATGGTCCAACAGGTCTGATATAGCTGCTGCATCCGTCGGTTCCGGTGAGTATAATTGTGAATAAAATGAACAGACTGCTTGATGCATATGATCAATCGAAGAGTCTACGATGCCTGTTACTGGATGTTCTAGCTGGAGGATGTTCCTTTGTGCCATTCGTTGTTGTGCTGTGCGTTTTAGATAGCCGGCCGATATTTCGCTACGCTCTCTCCAGCGGACATTAGCTTTGATAGCTAAAATTCTAGCGTGATCTTCTTGAATCCTGTTGAGCTCGGCGGTAATATCAACAAGGCGCTGAGGTCGACTTCCTGTTGTCTTGAAATGGCGCATCATCTTATTACGTTGACGAAGTAGGTGTTTTTCGCGATGGTCTTTTTTCTTGGCTAGATAACGTCCATATTGACGGCATTCCTCTTTCGCAATCTTTTTGACTTCATCCCAGGCCTCTTGTGGCGAGGTTATGTTGGCAATTCATATATGTGCCGATGAGAGTGCTGAATTCAGTTCTTCTTCAAACTATACCGAGTTGACAATAAGTGGGTTGGCTCTCTATATGTCTTGACCCTGCCAGATATTACTGGCCCGCATGCTGATCACTATCAATGCATGATCTGTCCAGTTGCTATTCACATGGCGGACATCGGGTGCTGAGCACAGCAGGGAGAGTGATGATGACGCAAAGATATAATCAATTGACGATGTGCCTCGTCCGTTGTAGAATGTTGTCGTGAGGTTATTGGATCCGTCCGACGGCAGCATCATGTTGACAAAGTTTTCATTCAAGTGTGCGCACCACTCTTTTGGTGCTGCTTTCATGAATGATGAGTCGCGCTGCGCATATGAATAGTTGAAATCTCCAAGGATAAACAACCTATCACCATGCGGAATCATATTTGGCTGTTGCAGGATTGGAAGGAGTTCGAGACTATAAAAGTCTTTCCGATCCCTGTAGGCGGCAGGCGCGTAAAAATTGATAATGTTGAACGGTGGGAATTTATTATTGATGTGTGTAACCGTCACCAACAATATCCGGCCGCTTTGCGACGCAAAGACATGTTGGATGTTGACAACGGGAGAAAAGCTGATAATGGCACAGTGTTTACTCCATGAACTGTCGCGAGCACAGAACCCGTTGTTGTAAAGTTTTGTTGTGTTCATCATTATGAGTGCCCGTATCTTGAAGTGCCAGCAGGTGCAGGGCTTGACGGCGTAGATGACAGATGAAGTGTTTTGTTTTGTTGGGGTTGTGTGGGTCATGTTTGACAAGATGTCGCACGTTTAACGAACCAATAGTGAGTGTCATTTTTTTGTTTCTGTTTTTTTTTTTTGGTTTGCTTTTGTGTTTTCTCTGTTTCTGAACTTCTTTGCTCTCCTATCTTTTTTAAAATTTTAAATATAAAAAGGAGGGGTTGATCTAATCAGAGGCCATAGTCTCCGCGGACGATTGACCGGTTGATCAAATTGTTGGCGTGCTGTGGACCGCTGTCGGGGGACGTTGACTCAGTGGCGTCGAATTTGTTGTCGTCGCTTGAGTCTTCACTTTGCTGCTGCTGGGGATTGTGCTTCGAGGCCGAGGCACCCGATGGTGTGCTGATAGGCGACGTGTTCCGGTGCTCTTCAAGTGTGAAGGCGGAATCCACCAAACCTCCTGCTTCCGACGGAAGCGGTTGGGTAGCATCCTGGGTCAATGCATCCACTTCGTCCGAGCAGAGTATCATGTCTTCTGTTTCATCCTTATCAGTTTCATCGGAGGATGATTGAGATGATGATTCATCGTCTGTTGGGGGTGTGAATTCTTCGTCTGAGGTATCCATGTTGTCGCTGAGCGGTTCCTCGGTGACCATGGGTACATGTTTAGGCTGGGAACTTCGACGTTTTGAGTTCCCTTTGGGTTGTTGCTTTGGTGTGGCCTCGTTGACCTTCGAGTGTAGCTGAGCCTGGTTTTCACGCTCTTGTTCACAATTCGGGTTGGGAATGGTAATCGTCGTTTTGTCCAAAGCTGACTTCGAGTGAACATTATGAGAGCGATGATCAGATTGTGTATCACTTAAATGTTGAGCTGGTGGATGCGATTGTTGGGTTTTGGTCTTCTTTGGACCTTTGCTGGTTGTCGTCGACTTTATTGCTTGGCGATGCTGAACCAGTCGTCGTCTTTGGTTGTTTGCGCGGGAGTGCGTTGTGTGGATGATCGCATTCTCTCGCATAGTGACCGATCATTCCACAGTTGAAGCATTCTGGTTGAACGCGGCTTGGACATTGTTACAGAGTGTGGTCTTGGGAGTGACAGTATCGGCAGTAATCACCCATGGGTTGCCAAGTAGCGTAAAAAGACCGTTCTCGGCCTTGCACGAGACCGAAGTCGACCTTGTAGGTGAGGGGCTTGTACGACTCTGGGATGGTGTTCTTAGATTTCATGAGCACTGCGTATCTTTTACCCTGGAACCAACCACCCTCTACAGAGCGGTATAATCCAAGTTGCAACACGTGTCCGAATTGGGTAAGTGTTTGGCGCGACAAGACCTCCAGCTCATACATTTTGACGCCTGTAGGCAGTTTTTCGAGTTGTACTTTGGTGAGATCGTGTTCCGGAGGGAGCGATCTGACAGCCAGGAAGTGAACATCACCGACGGTAACGCCCTTTTCCAGTGCTAAGTTGCAGATGTCCTCGTCTGCAAAAGTCATCTCATACAGGACTTGTTTCTTTTCGCGATGGTGGATGAGACCTATGGCCTCATCCCAGTTTTCAAACGTTTCTCAAGCTGCTCGGAAAAACGCGTCCTCTTTGACTGAGCGTGTCGACATATCAAAGAAAACACTGTATTCTTCCGTTCCTCGACGAAGTAAATGGGATGCGATTGGTTGACTGTTGGCTGCCATGCTGCCAAGTGTCATTTTTACATCTTCAGGGATGTATTCGTTAAGCTGGGTTATCAGACGACCTCGACTGATTTCCGGACGTTTCTGGGTAACTGCTTGAGCATAGGTTCGTTTTGGATGTGTTGGTGGATTTTCCTTGGGTTGGTTGGAGTCACCATCAGGAGTGACCCCAGGCACTTTTTGAAGGGAATCGGGAAGAGCCATGAAGACGCATTTGTGTCCCTTTTTAGCGAATAGTTGAGTTTTATTTATAGATTGTTTAACCACTCGCTACATATGCGCATATTCTCACCTTTAAGCGCTCTTTGATATGGTTTCGCAACGTACGTTCGAGCCCATCTACGTCACGTTGGGCAAACCACCCAACGCGCCAATAAGCGTCGATGTGCCTAAATAGGTAAAATAGTGTAATCAAAATAAATTGGTAATCAATATTTTACTTTATATGCTAATGTACCAATGCGGCTGGGACCGCTATGTAAGTCGTGGAATATCTTCTGTAGCGTTCGTACGACTTTGGCGATTTCGTACAGGATTTTTCCTAGTGATTGTCAGAGCGCTTTTTTACATCATGGCGCCTAGGAATTCTTTCTAAAATATGATGGCAGCTGTAAATTGAAACTGTCGCTAAAACATCCCCTCTCTTTCCCTGCACTTCAAAACGCAAATACAACTTGTTTGTAGGATTGAATATTATTAAATTTCATTATTAGAATGCATTGGTGACTTATCAGAAATAAATATAGTTTGGTACACAATCCACAGGTATATGATTTGAGCATGACAAGCTGTTGTTACAAAAAGTATACACTGCAAAAGTAATTTTGCTCATAAGGATCATAAAAAGTAGAGTCCATAAAAAGTTACAACTTTGGAAATTGAGTTTAGCCATACAAGGTATGGTGCATACTGACTTTTTATCTGTATAGAGGATTTTACCCTCAGATTTTATTTGCTGATACCCGTTCAACAGAAGAGAGGTAACAGCGGCCTTGAAAGTGTAATAAGCAGAAGGAAGAAAAATAACAAGAAATTAGAAAACATATCGAAAGATTGCCTTGACTGCTATGGCAGCAGTCTTAGCAGGAAGAAAGGGTGTGTTGGCGAAAATAAAAGCCCAGTGGGCTCGCCAGATGGCCAAAAGAGTATAAGTGATAATGAGGAGAAGTTGCGTGTGAGTGAAAGAGGAGTACGGTGGATCCCCAGTGGAGATGAAATGAAGAAAGGCAGATGGGCGCAGGTCATGGTGGCAGATGCGGTTCCAGACTCGTTGCCATATATCAAATTTGCGTGGACATAGAACGAAGAAGTGAGCCAGTGTTTCGTTGGGACAACCACAAAGCCGGCATTCCAGAGAGGGAAGGAAGGTGGTGTTCATACTAAACAGTCGTTCTGCATTAGGTATGGCTGTATGACAGATGCGAAAGAGGACATTTCTAGCAGCATGGTCCATGGGGGTGGCCCAAAAGACACGCTAGTTTTTGGTGGAACATGGGAATATGGGTGTTCCTGGAGTGAGTTTGCGTCGGTACGCCTTGGTTTGCCACAAGGTGAATGCTGGGTCATTTTTGATGGCGTTGGTTAGTGGTTGAAAGTTGATAGAGTCAGGTTGATGTGAACACCTATCTTGTGCATTAGCGCTGTGAATGCGAAGTCATGCAAAGAAAGGGCGAATGATATAGTGGAAATGGATCACGTCGTGTCTGAGTTGATTGAGAAGCGTTGGGTGTCTGACGTCGTCGTCAAGCTGGCGCTGGCGCAGGCGAATATACCTAAGGGACTGATCAAAAATGAAAAATCCTTCACCTGTTACTTGGAGAAACCTGGTCGTCTAGGTGCTGGGTTGTCGGATGATGGCTGAATGATGACAGAGAGTGGTGATTCTAATGCTGTTGCAGGTGTTAAGTTGTCGAGTGTATCCTAGGACAAACCAGCCACATCAATGGCATGAAGGACCAAGGCAACTGGCGATGCTGATTCATACGCTCGTTGTTTACGACTAGCTGGAGAGAACAAGACCAGCCAGTGGTCTGCGGATTACTTTTTGATGACAAGTAGTCGATGGATCAGATATAGAATATGTTGTGGGAGCATACCGCTTTCATCCAGCATCAGTTGAATCCACCTTAGCTGGAGCGCATTTTGTTGTAAAATGGGGTCCAATAAGCCAATCCCACCCTGGTGTCGTGGTGCACATAGTTTCTGATAGGACACGTGTGGGAACATTCGATGCATCAGGAAGCTGCTGATGGTGCTTCTCAGTTTTTGGTGGAAGCCTGACAGTGGTGCGCCAATGATACACAGAACATGCCATAGTTTTGACAAAATCAAGGTGTTTAGCACGGTGGCACGGCCGCGGATAGACAAGTTGCGGCTCAAGTGAATGTTGCATTGGTTCTTGACCGCTTCCAGCAACCGGTTCATGAATGTATTCAGTTGGGTTGTTGAGAAGGTCAGTGGATAGCCCAAATATGTGACGGGGTCGGCCTGCGTACGATCGTGACAAGGCAGAATTCCATGTTGGTGTAGCAAAGCATTCGATCGAAGTTGTGGTGCCCCTCCTAGAGAGATTGCTTGGGTCTTTTCTTAATTGAACTTGGCATTTGAAGCGCGTTGATAGACATCCATGTGGTACAAAACCCGGCGCAAATCCTCGGGAGATTGCAGGAAAACAAGAATCTCATCCGCGTAGACGAGTGTTTTAATTGGCTCGGGGGTGGGCATGGTGGCTGGTGCAATGTCATTGTTCGGTGGTGTGAAGATATATCCTTGATATGATACGTCTCTTTGTAACGAGCGCAGCAAAGGCTCCAGAGTCAGGTTGAAAAGATCGGCGACAGTGGATCTCCTTGTCGTAATCCGCGTTATTGTGCAAATGGTGTGCTAAGATGACCGTTAATGTTGATACGTATACGCGTGTTGAAAAACAGTGAGTTGATGCTATTAATAATTTGATCGGGAAAACCAAAGTGTTGCAAAGTTTGAACTAAGTACTGTGGATGGATCCTATCATACGCTTTTTCCTGGTCGAGTAGGAGGCTAATGGCTGACGACGTATTGCTTGAGGCGTGTTCTATGACAAGGCATGCTACTAGGCCATTTTCTGCAATAAAGCGACCCAGCATGAATCCCATTTGCTGTGGGTTAATCAGGGGTGCAGCAGCCAGCACGACGCGCTTATTTAGCAGCTGTGTGTATATCTTGGCATCACAGTTGATGAGACTGATCGGCCACCAATTCTTGAGTGTAGTCAGATCGCCCTTTTTTGGGAGGAGACGGATACAGGTTTCGGTCTAAGAATCAGGAAAAAGACCATTTTTCAATGCATCTTCATATACTTGACATGTAAGTGTTTTGGCTGCCGGGTATTTGAATACGAGCCTCTAAATAATGCCATATGGTAAACCGTCGGTTCTAGGGCTACTTTGGTGTGGGGCTCGTTTAGCTCTGTCTTGGAGATCTTCAATGCTGAAGGGATCGATTAAGCTTTCTTTGCTGTTGGTTCTGAGGTGTGCTGAGGATGGTATGTTGTGCTGCAGTTGTTGGATAGCTGAGTCGTCAACGTCGTCAGGGGTATACAACTGTTCATAGAAAGCTGTTACGGCTGAATGCATCGATTCCACTGTGTTACATATGTCGCCAGTGTGAGGATGTTGTAGAGTGACAATGTTGGCCTGTGACGTGCGTTGTTGTATGGTTCATTTGAGGTAACCAGCAGATTTCGCACCTTGCTCCCGCCAGTGCTCTCCTGCACGTAAAGTGAGGGTGTCGCAAACTTCATGTTGTGCTGCTAATATTTGTTGTTCAATTATCTTTAAGAGCCATATGCGTGTAGTGATGGGTGGATTTGACCATAAAAACCAGTTGCATTTCGATTGTAGTTGTTTGGGGTAAGCTGTTGTTTTATTGATGCGTTGCCAGCAATACTCTTGCATCTGCCGCTTTAGTAGACGCTTCGGTTCCTCCCATTGCTGTTGCGGTATTGAAGTGCTGTCGCTGCGTGCGAAGAAAGCTGTGAGTTGAGTTGCAAGTTGATGTCGGAAGTCCTTGGAAGCCAAAATCAGAGGATTGCCCCGCCAATAGCCTTTGCCGGTGGGAGAGGGACCCAAATTAAAGGTTGCAGACAATAATGCATGATCGGACCATGAACTGGCAACGTACAATACTTCCCTGGTCTTTAACATATTTTGGACAACTGGTGAAGCGGCATAGATGTAGTCAATGGTGAAAATCGTATATCACCTCGACGAAACGTCGGCTGCAGTGTCTCTTGCGGATCATGGTTGATGCAGTTGATGACGTGTTGGTGTAGCATAGTGAACCAGGCTGACAGTGCGTTGAGATGGTACCCTGAGCATTGGTGGCTAAAGTTGAAATCCCCAGAGAGAATCAATCGTTCGGGATAGGGATGTTGTTGATTAAAGATGGTTGAGTTGTAGAGGGATGTGAAAAATTGCCGTTGTTGGGTCGGCGACGTTGCTGGTGCATAGATGGTAACTATATAAAAAGGCTGAAAAAGTCGTTGGTGGTGTTCGACTTTAACGAGAAGATGTCGAGGGTTATCGAACACTGAAATTTGTGTGAGATTGAGGTCGGCGCTAAGTGATACGATGCTGCAATGATGTGTCTATAATGATTGCGTTGCGTTGAAATAACGGTGGAATTTGTTCTTCTGTGAGGGTGTTGATATATGTGTTTCTTGCATAGTAATGATATGTGATTGATGTTGTTTGATATGTCGAATGAGTTGTGTTTTGTTGGGTGTAAGTAATCCATTGCAATTAATGGACGCGAGTGAGATATCGTTGGTTTTTACTATCATAAAAATTATTGAGAGAGGAGTGAGGGTTGATCATCACTGGGATTGCATTCGAGCTGCGATTTTGTAGGTATGCGTGTGCTTAGGTCGGAAGGGGAGCCTGAGCTGTTGTCTGAGAGTAAACTTTGTTCATATTCTTGCAGGCTGATGTCTCGTTGGCGTGAGAGTCGGACATACAGGACTTGTTTCAGGTCTGCAGGGAAGTGTGCATCTTGTAGGATCTCCTTGGCAGTGTCCGAGAGTTCCATGCTATCTATCCAGTCCTTAGGAGGGTTGACTTCCAAAACTAGATCTTGTTCTTCAGCTGGGATCATCAGTCTATCAGTCTGATAGTCCGTAAATTCTATGACGATGTCGTCAAGTGCTTGTTCAAGGTACTCTCATCGCATGAAAGTGGGGGAGCAATCGACCACCTCTTCTTAGGTGGTTTCCGCGTCGGTTGCTAATTTGTCGTCATTGGTATCCAAGTTTTCCAGATGAGCAAACCGGTTGGTCGGTTCCACGGGCTTGCCTTTTACAGTCGCGTGTTTAGACTTCAGGAGCTCCTTCGAGGGGTTTTGATCACGCGTGTGACCAGTCTTGCGGCGGCTTATTTTGTTGGCACCAGGGGTCCAGTCCTCACTGTTTCACACAGTGGGGCAGCTTGCAGCATAGTGGCTCTGAGCACCCCACTTAAAGCATCCTTTCTGGTTACGTCAGGCGCGTAGGCAGTCAGCAACGGCATGCCCTGGCTCATGGCAGCGCGAGCAGTGGAGCAGCATCTGATCAAAATTGGCATAGATCAACTCTTCCTGGTTGCCGCACCAAAGAATATGATGACTAAGGGCGTGGAGTTGTTGATTATGTAGTGGCTGTATATCTAGGACGGCGAATCCTTGGCCCATGTAAGCTTTCGTTCTTAGATTGCAATGGATACCGACATCGAGGATGTCACCGTAGGGACGAAACGTTTCTTGCAAGCCGCGTTCCAGATCTTAAGGGTGGAGTAGCAGGAGATGGGTGAGGCGAAGCTTCTTGATCGTGGCATTCTTTGCCAAGGCAGGAGTGGTACAGATCGTTATGGTTGGTGTGAACTCGATGCCCTGCTTGATGGCACTGGTCCTTTGTTCTTCAGTTCTGAGGTTGATTTCAGCGACTACACATTGTCCTTCGCGGTGTGTAAGGACACCATTGCTAAGAGGATATTCTTTCATCAGTATTTCGACGGCGTTGTCAAAAGAGCCTGGCACAGGGCTGATGTCAAGCATGACACTGCCTGGAGAACGGCCTACACGCCAAACACAAGAGAAGTAGCACAATTTTTTTCATCACTAGTGCTTAGTTGACGCTGAGCATGAACAAGCGACACTCATTCTAGTCGGGCTATGCGAGCCCGTGTCACCACAGTTGGTTGAAAGGTGTAGATGGAGTGTTCTTGGTTGGTGCCCGTATCATGCACAGGCGGTTCATAAGTAAAATCGGGAAGAGCCATGTGTATACTGACTTAAACCATCACTGTCAAAAATCGAGAAATTTTGAAATTCCGCTGGTAAATAGTATAGCCGCCAGGGTGCAGGAGCCATCATTGAGTGAGATGAATATTATATGTAGTATAAAAGAATTATTAGGCGTCTTGGCTCATTTATTTAGTGTGATATACAAATTAATCATTTTTTCTAAGTGTTCTGTTCTTTTCGAGGTAAACTACTTTTCAACAAGCTTAAAAGCATCGTTTCCAGCTTTCATATCATAGTATGTGCGAATATAACGCCAGCAGCAATTGTAATAATGGCGGATTTCTAGAGACTTAGCATCAGGTGAAGAGACTTGATCTAGAAAGCTATCAAGGTTATCTCTTAGTGACGAAAATGTATAATCGCATTCACTTCTTGCAATACACTTAGCAGCACTCCAGTATCTCTCTATCTAATTTGTTTCACTATGGTACTTGGGATAAGAGGCGAACAAATGACCAGCCTTGAGAATTTGTAGCTATTTGTTCTTTCAGCAAATAAGTCGAAGCACGTGCCTTACAAGTGGCAAATGCAGCAGAAGTTTCTCTGTTTGTTTACGAATGTGTCATTACTATACATGGCTGCCCACGTGTTTTGTGCTCAGACAATGGCTTACCTATCCAAAACAACCTTGTAAATGCCGTCTGCAAGCAATACGGCATCGAACATCGACTCACATCACCATATCATCCACAAGCGAACGGACTAGTCGAACGATATAATCGAACGGTCGGAGTCATGTTGAAAAGACTCAATAAAGAAGAAAAGAAGAACTGGCTAATGTATCTACCTGCATTACTATTCGCATACCGCAGTATTCGACAAGAAACGACGAAGAGATCTCCATTTTACTTGATCTATAGACGAGAACCACATACACCTTTCGACCGACACGTGCAACCACAAACAAACATTGCAGATCTCCTGGAAGAGGATGATGAGTGCGACGAAGATACGATCATACCTGACTTATTTGAGGAACATATCACAAGACTCAATACAATAAGAGAAGAAGCGATTGATACAATCAAAAGTGCACAAGCGGCACAGAAACAGAGAATCAAACGGAAATTACTACAACAAGGCAAGGAACTGAAACGCCCTTTCCGAATAGGAGATACTGTTCAAGTATATTAAAATTACTTAGAAGGAAATTGGGCAGGATGCCTAGAAGATCTATGGGAAGGACCATTCTTGATTCACAAGGTCAACAAATGCGGTACCTATCGATTAAAAACGATGCAAGGAAGATTCCTACTGAACCCCTACCATTGAAACCGATTGCGCTCTTATACTTTACCTGATACCGAGTACCGAGCCCAATATCTCAGGCATAGCTGCACCTCATTACCGACGAGTTCGATGCAGTACCACCACAAGAAGATGTATCAGAATCAGACCAAGACGAAACAACACAGACGATGCCGCAGCAAGGAAAATCGAGAAGGACTAAAAATGCAGGAAATCAGAGAAAAACAAAGAAAAAGAAGAAAAGAGATAGTAGCTATCGACCTACCAGAGGACGTTCATCATAGATCAATAACTTTGAAAAATAAACGTGCAAATGCATAAAGAAAAAAAATATACACTTCTAAGATGAACATATTATAAAATACATAGAGAAAAGACTGTAAAAAAAAAGAAAAGAAAAGAAAAATATATAAAAAGAAGACAAAAGGGGATACCCCCTACAACAATATTCCAATCTCCAACTAAAACACATAACCAAACTCTATACAATGAACATGAACAACCACAACATCAAGAATAACACAACCGACGGGGTCTACTTTCCAGCTCCATGGAGCACCAATTACAACAACAACCCTACTGAGGCCGTCCACGATCTGGATGAAGGATGGGCGTCCTGCTATTAGTTGTCTAACCAATTATAATCTACTAGCTGTAATATAGATAATAAAGTTGCTATGACTGGTATAACCATCAGTGGCCGAATTAATTATTGATTTACAATAAAAATAATAAAAATTGAATTTTTTTATTTATATTGGTAGCCTCCCATGAGAAAAAAAAAGAGCGGTTGTTTAAAGTACATAACAACAAATAAAAATGAACACAACACAACATACTGAACAACTCGATATTGAAATTAAAAATTTAATTGATAATAAATGGACTTTTCTTGATAAATCTTGGCCTGAAATGCAACATAGATTTAATCATAGAACAGCTATTAAAGATATGAAGAATAATACAATAAATGATATAAAGGATGTATTACTTAATAGATTAATTTATACCTGTATTTTATTTTCTTACAGTTTTATATGGAAATATTGAATATCCAGGGCCATACTGCGAGATTGAAAAGGACTTGCATTATTATATCATATGGTATCAGGTGTATCAGGAAAGGATATGCATACTGTTATGCCATATGCAACATTTTACGATTTATATAAGCGGTTCTGGATTACTAACTATAATGAATTGAATAAAAAGGTAAAACAAGATCTAGATAGTATGTTCTCATCACCACGTATTCGCATTCTATCAGCAATAATAAACAATCCGGATGGTTTTAAGAATGTTACACTATTTATTGATGGACATGAGAGTAAAATTAAGTATTATAAACCAAATGAGTCACATTCACAGTTATATTCATATAAATTAAAAGGGCTAGCTGTACGTACACAAGTTATACAGGATATGAATGAAATAATTACACATGTTTCAGTATCTGAGAAATGTGCTATCGGAAATGATGGTACTATGTTTATTAATATGAAACTATATAAAAAAATAAGTGAGGCAGATTGTTTAGGAATAGATGGTGGATATAACTTATTTATACAAAAGTTTAAAGATAATGCGACAGATGCTGGATATAGTTTTTATGATCGTAATTTTTTACATCCCATAAGAAAAGAACGAGGACAAAATTTAATAATCAATGAGACATACTCTAATAACAAGTTTAGATCATTTCGTTCAGCAATAGAAGCACAGTTCTCTATGTTAGGCTCTAAATTTGAACGAATTAATAATAATCGTGCAGCATTGCAAATAACCAATATAAGATATCATAATATTCAGTTTCGTGTTGCTTGTATTCTTACTAATATATGGCGATTTGTGAATAAGTATAATATAGAGGTACAACCACATCATAAATTATGGTATAGAAAAGATTTTGAATTCCCAAGTAAGAAAAACAAACTTGACTTGGTATTTTCAAATGAGCAAAAAGTAAATATTGAATATAACGAAATGGCTGACATGCAGCAGAAATTTCTACAGCTTAACATTAATCAATCAATAGATATGGGCTTATACTTGTACTTATATTAGTATCTGTTGATTTATTTTTGACGTCAGTTTCTTTTGTTATATCTATATCATCTATTATAGCCTTTTTTATATCCTTATGCTTTTTAAAATATTCTTTTGGCTGTATTTCTTCTACTATTTGCTTGTTTCTCCGTTTATTTTTAATGTGTCTTTTTTTCTTTTTACGTTTTGGTATATTATTTGGTATGTTGCAGTCACTGCTTTTCTCTGATTCAGATGTACTTACATCTATGTATTTATGTTTCTCTATATCTTCTGGTGGGGTTTCCCAATCAGTAGTATCATTTACAACATCATCACATTTTATATATTATTAAACACATCTTCCCAATGCCTACAATCTACTGATGATGGTACCTTTATAGTTGACCATCCTCTATTATTTTGTTGAGGCGGATTATGTTGTTTATTGTTCTGTGTATTATTACTATTATGTTTTTCTTCTTGTTCCTTCATATATTCTTCTGTGTCAGCTAATTCTTGTAGTTCCTCTACTGTTTTATCCATCGGTGTATATTTTTTAATATCATCCTAACCACTATTATGTGCATAACGGATAAATGTATGCTGATCTTGGTATTAGTTTTCGAATTCACCTTTGTATAAGTCCTCATACATATCCATGTTTTCATAATACATGAATTTATTTTCATAATCCTTCACCTTCATTGTGTATAGATTCCATATTATATGACCTTTACGGTTCTTATCAACATAGATAATATATAAACGATTGAGCGTTGGCTCTAACTCATATACTGATTTGTTTTTGTATAACATGTGCGGCATATAGTTACTATTCAGTATTATTGGCATATTTTTCTTTTTAGTTATTGACTTTGTGAATTTGCCATTAAGTTTTAACTGTGTTCCTTCTAACATTTGGTTTAAAAATGTTAATTTGAAATCAGAACCTGTTTCTTCATTATACATAAAATCATAATCATCATCCTTATAATCTGACCAATCATTTTCTTTATCCATTAGATATGCTCGATGGCCACCTTGTTCTAATACATCAATGTTATATGTCTTACCTACATTTGATGGACCTACAATCCAGTATTGTGGTATCTTATTTTTACCACCAAACATTGTTTCAATCCTAAACATAGACCACATATGTAATTTATTTCCAGGGTTATTTTTCCATATCTGCATCATGAAAGTAAGAATTTAAATTTGATTTTACAGTATCATATTTCCATAGTAATTCTGGATATATTTCAGTTGCCTTCTGCATATTAAGCTGCTTCGTAATTAATTGATATCCAAGTAACTGTTGGTGCATTTTTCTGGTCTTAACTTCATAATTTGGATCCATATTATAGCAAATATAATCTTTTCCTTTCATACAGTAGCTAATGGACTTTTGTGGATTACCACCTGGTTTAATATTTGGAGTAACACCATCGATAGTAAAGAATTTACGTGCTGTTTTTGTGTCGAACCGCTCATTCATTTGTATCCATATATGAACATGTTTCTCACCAGTTTCTGGTGCAATTTCGTCACATGCAATTGCCTTTTCAATTCGATAACCAATACGTTCATGTTTTATAAACCATTCCATGATTTGTTCTTTTGTTAAATGGAAGTCCTTACAAATATATGTGAACAGCCCTTTAGTGTTTTGGAATCGGAATTCTTTGCCGCCCTGCGAGGAATCTGCACCAGAGGTGTTACCCTCTAACATTGCATCGGAAAATTGAGGATTTGAGGATTTGAGGAATTTTGCAAAAGCCCTAATCCATCCCATTATTGCAGTATGGTTCTCGTCCCTTACTTCCTTTGTTATGTTAGCCTTTTTGAGGTCCTTTTCGAGTTCGACCCTTAGTTGGTCAGCAATTGTTTTTTCACTAACATCTTGATGATGTTCAGTAAGATGCTTTGCTCTTTCTATTAAGAGCGTCAATGTTATTCCTAAAATAGGAATAAATTCAGCCATAATGGCAATAAATGTGAGGAGGTTCATTTGGTCCATGTTGTGTTTTTGTTGGGGTAGTTTTGTTAGAGTGCTAAAAAAATATAACAAATATATTTTGCTTTATATTCTGTGGTATTATTTTTATATTAAAAAAAAAATTCAATTTTTATTTTTTTTCAAAAATTTAAATGTATGCATGCCAAGACATTCGTGCATGAATTATTTCAATAAAAATTAGTTTGGCTATCCTGACATATTTTAGCTAATTAGTCATCTAGGGTTACTAGACTGCATTAAAATCATCATAACCATGGCCGGTCCCCATGGGGCCCTGAACCAATATATACCCCAATAACTCAAGAAGGCGGATGGCGCTGCGAGCCAATGGAATTAGATGATGTTCACGAAGGCAACGAAAGATCGTCAACACCACCAATTATGAAGGGAAACGTTGAAAATACCTACGGAAGGATAGCAAGTCTCGTCCAAGAGGACTTGAATACGCACATCGAACTTATCTGCAAGTTCTCTGAAGCCACTACACTATTGGCTATGAGGGAATACGCCAACGAACAGCTAATGCAATTAGTAGGTCACACAAACAGGCTTGTAGCGAGATGCTGCGTCCGGCCTCAAGCTTATTTTACAGAGGATCAAGTGAGACCCATCATCCTAAACATTATCCTGCAAAACACATTCACTTGGATACCCACCAATACATACTGTCAAGATTGTTGCCGCCTCATGTTTGGCAATCGCCAAGAAGGCATGAATAGACGACTCCAGAATAGTAACCCTGCTGTAAACCACAAAAATGTAGAAAAAAAAAGAAAAAAAATCATATAATAAAAAAAACCCCCCCACAAAACATTCTTATTACATTGCATATATCTATCTATCAATTGTATCACACTCATACACACATATACAGTACATCTTATACACACATAAATAAATATTCAAATTGGGTACAGCATTTAAAGGGAAAACTAGTCATACACATACGTAAAGTGTAGCTTCCAATCAACACAGACAAATGAAATAAAAGGACAAAGCGCCAACACACAGAGTGACTCTACGATCCGTAACCGAATCCACAACAATACAAGGGAGCGCCAACACATACGCAAAGCGACTCTACGATTCATACAGAAATTACCAATACAATCGAACAGATGGAGCACCGAAACATACAGAGCGACTTTATGATCAACACAATCAACACAGCAAATCAAAAGGATGGAGCACCAACACATACACAGCGTGACTTTACGATCCAAGGAACATCACAAAGAATTACTACAAAAATACGAATAGATGGAGCGCCGACACACATACAGAGCGACTTTACGATCCATTATACAGCATTTAAACGATGTGGGACCATCTTTTTCCGGGCCCGAGGAGGTGTGTTACCCCGAGAACCACCCATAACAAATAAACCAAAGATACAAAAGAACCACACACCAAGCGGCAATCAGAATACAATATGTAACTACCACAGCAACTGCAGCAACTCTACAACTCTCTTGCACCCCCAAATTATCAAAAGGAACAACTACAAATAGAACGAACCCTTTACCTTGTAAAGATTCGATGAACAGCTTGTTGAATAAGAGCATTACCGCAGCATCCGCAGTAACAACAACTACCGCAGCATGAATTATCTTAGACATTATTAAATAACCAGAAAGATATAAATACCCCATCATTTTTATTTGAATAAAGACATTGAAATTTTACCTCCTACTTTTGACTTAACTTTTCAAGTGTTGTTTTCAATCACTTAAGACCTAAACACAGCTTGTTTTATCTTACATATTGTTTATTGCTCGTAACTGAAGCTAAATAAACTCTTCTATTAAGACCAGACGTAACATTCCTGCTCTTATTTCTCATTTACTTGGACAGACGTAGCATTCCTGATCCTTATTTCTCATTCATTTTGGACAGACGTAACATCCCTAATCCTCATTTCTACTCACTGAGCTTAATCAAGACATCAGCTCACTACCATTTCCACCCTTGGACATAAACCATACACATTTCTACTTTAATGACAGACATAACATCCCTGATCCTCATTTCTACTCACTGAGCTTAATCAAGACATCAGCTCACTATCATTTCCACCCTTGGACATAAACTATACACATTTCTACTTTATTTTACACTCATATCACTTCACAACCCGTCTGTAATAAACGATATTATTACTGGTGCTCACAACAAAACATACACTTAAACCGTTACGCAACTACCTGGAATACCCCAAATTCACCGTAACAATAGTATGTCCAAGGTGTGTGTGCGGCATTTACAAGCATGTGCAGAGGATACGTCTCTGATGGATGTCAGCCACCTGCTTAGATTTCTCGGTGGCAGTAAGCGTTTCTAGTTTCAGGTCCCTAATAACGGAGGCACAGTCAGGTCGAACTCAACAGTGCTAATGCCGCCCTTACGGAGACATCTGGTTAGTTCTTGTTTGAAAGACCGGTGGATCATAAGACCCATGATTCCTTTGGTAGGGAAGTGCACGTCATAGATGCGGGCCTATGTCATACCGAGGATGCGGAGTCATTTGCGCACTTTGCTTTGTGGTTGGCAGTACGGGCTATTGAGATATACAAATGTATATCTCAGAACAGCTTCATTATTTATGGGATGGAAACCACGGCCAGCCCAAGTGACCATAGCTGCTGTTGGGGTCTTGATGGTGTTGCGAACAGAGCGGCGCTGTTTGGTGTTTTTGTGGGCAACGGCGGCCCAGGACAGATTGTTGCTTTTTTTGCTGGCTGGCTGGGGCTGTGGTTGAGCGCCCTGGCTAGGAAGATATAATCATAGTTACAGTTTTTTTTCTAACAATAAAATTGTTAACTATTTATATATCTGTCAAGCGTGTACTAATTTCTGTATATCATCAAAGATTATGTCACTAGTAGCCTTCGTCCAAGTATTCCTCAGCTAGAGGAGGAGATGCTCATTACCATTCTGCTTACCATAACCTTGGTTCTAAAAATATTGAGGTTATGGTGGAACCTAGAAAAACTTAATTTTTTTAAGAATTCTTGGAAAGCCTAAGGGTTTGAATCACTCTCCTAGGTGCATGGGCTGATTTAGCCAGGCCTTCGTGTTTGTCTCAGAAGTCCATGTCGTCATTGGTGCTGTCGGCAACACTACTAGTAGTTGCTGATTGTTGCGAGTGAGTTGCTGTGGCAGCTTTCTCGTCCTGCAGGGTTCGAATCAATGCTTGTGCGTCTACAAGTTCTTTCTTGACAGCTGTGTTTTTGTTCAAAATTTCTTGCAGCTATGCGAGCAACTTGCCGTTTTCGGCACGTACCACCTGGCTTTCAACCAGTACCTCCTCGTTCTGTGCTTGCAACTTAAAAAGTTGGGCATGTTGAGCATGGAACCGTTCGCTGGTTTCTTGTACTTGTTCTTCAAGCTTTTTGTAAATGGCCTGTATGTGGTCCACTGGTGGTGGTGGTGGTGTGCTGTGGCGCGTGCTCCTACCTAGGTGACGGTCGCTTGTGGGGGGTCTGGATCGTTCATGTTCATGGTCCTCTTGGGCGCGTCGAGTAGAGCGCGAGGTTGCTGGTATAGTAGTAATTGATGTTGTTTCGTGCTCCATGTGATCCTCATGGTCTAGAGTTACTTTTTCTAGAACGGGAATATTGTAGCATCGCGACACAGTGTGACTTGTGTCCCTGGGCCGAATAGCATTGAGATTCATGCACCTCTCACACAGATAGTAACATTATAAATTCTATGCCCGTATGTTAAAATAAACAATGCTCTCTTACACCGCTACTCTTCTTTTGTCTCCGTTAAGACAACCGTTTCGTGTACGAACGAGCGCAAAATGTAATAGTTAAAGAAGCCACACCGATCGTTATAAGGATGCTCTGATATTGACGGATATCATGGATGTTATTATAGTCACATATACTCTCTATCATTTGTATCCTGCCTTAAGTTGTAAAAGCTTGTATTGAAATTATCTTGATACGTTCACGGTATAGACTCTTTCCTCTCATTTGTCTCATCCCCATTGTTCAGTATTATATGTTATATGTCCCTCACACGTCATCTGTATATTGGCAGACCGTATCGCCTGTCTTAAATTTTTACTATACAATAAAACTGGTGGAGAAGCTGAGCACAGGCACTACTCACGCTGCCTCTACACCGTCAGCACCGAAAAACCAAAAAAACCAAAATCGACTGCAATACCACCTCTCTGTCTGCAATCACCATCCCAAATATGTCCGACATCCAAGGGGATACATCATCAGCTGAACAAACAAAGCAAATGATTGTGCATGTGGAGGCATCACGCGTGGACGCCCCCAAGTTTGCAGGAGACCCAAATCGGGATGACCCTCTTAAGTTTCTCCAAAGCTTTAAGGAAGCTGCCGTAGCAAATAACTGGCAAACCGATAAAAGACGCATTGAGATGGCCGGGCTATCACTGCAAGTGCACGCGAAAGATTGGTTCGAGCACGATCTTCAACTAGAAGCAACAACCGCATTCGATGATGATACCAACGATTGCTTCGTCATGCAGTTCAAAAACGAATTCCTAACAGCACGATGGCAGGAGAGGTACCGGTGGGAGTACCGCCAGCGTGTGCAGTTGCAGCAGGAATCAGGATTACAATACACAATAAACAAGCTTGCGATGGCGAGCCGATACAAAAAAGGGTGCGGCACAAGGCTGGAAATAAGCGATAAAATTGCAGACGTCATTGAAGGCCTACGAATGGAATATCGCGAGCTATTGCATGGAACACGTCCACAAACCATAGCTGCGTTGAAAGAAGCAGTGCGTTCAGCTGAGAGGCACATGGAAGCGATACGCTATACCGTCGGCATAGGCAATCTTTCACATGTCGCATCAACACAACAGTTGGGAACAACCTCGCAGCATCAACCGTACACTCAGCTTGCTGTAAACCAAGCAGTAGTGCAGCCCTCGTCAAAATCACAACGATCAGAACGTGCGGTCGCTGCTGATCTGCAGGAGCAATTCGATAACAGCCTCGCAAATGCAATTGACAAGATGGAGGCATTGATGAAAAACTATATTACAGCACCGGCTCAGAAGGAGATCCTGAGGCGACCAGAGACCAACGTGACAGGCCTTCCTGCTAACCAATACAGACATTCACGCTGCTATAACTGCAATAAGAATGGTCATATCGCCAGACAATGCCGAACTGCTTGCCTAACTTGTCCGTACTCAGATCACAGTGCCATGCATTGTCTAAGGCGCCAAAACAGCGGGCGACGAGATGATGCAGCGGTCTTGACCACTCGAGAGGATGATCCGCCGGAGCAGATCTCGGATTTTCGCATAGGCCGTCTGTAAAGACAGGTGCAACGGCCCAGCCCACAGCAAATCCTGTTAACCTAATACAAGGTGTATGCAGCTGGCGACGGCGATGCACCCGCAGCCAACACTCGCAGTCGCAAAAGGGAGCATGAAAGCCATATGGAAGTGGATACCACAAACCAGCAACCCGCTCATAACACTGATAAAACCACACCGCAACAACACGTCAACGACGAAAGATACAAGAAATTGTTAGCAAACCTAGAAAAGGCCAGACACGCCAAAGCGGATTATAAGCGTGCTGATGATGAGGCCAAGGCCAGAGGCAAACCGCCACCGTCACTACAGCACAAAGCCACACAACAGTTTCCTCTGATTATGAACGAGCATAGAGATATCCGTCAATTTGATATCGCAAAAACATTGTGGGAGACCAACATACAGATACCCTTGCCTCAGTTGTTATATTACGCTCCAGTACTGCGACAAGAAGCCCTTAGCTCTATGGGAGCGACTCCTCAGAGTCAGCCACGACGCAAGACCGACTCTACAACGTCGTTGGTGAACGACACAACTATGTCTCCAAAGTACGACACAACATCGAACAAAGAAGTACGTGCACTTCAAGCCATCTGTGCCATCGTCAGCAGCGAACAAATAGAAGCACTCATCGACTATGGTGCGAATGTGTCAATTCTACCACTGGCTTTAGTACAACAAATACGGGTCACCAGCTAAATTCGCCCCACTGATCGGGTTATTCGTTTTGGCAGAGGAAGTCTGGAGTTGCCTGTAGGCACGATCGACATTGACATCACTCTAGAAGAAGGCTTCGTGGTGCATCATCGCTTTGTGATCGTCGACAATCCCAGCACGCCATTGATCTTGGGACATGACTTCTTGTACCACACGCGTGCTAGCTTCACACCGTATCAGCATCACATCACTTTCCCCAAGTACGAAGCGGGACAGTCAGCTGAACAAGAAGCATGGGTCATACCAACTCACTGGGGTTTTGGTCCAGGCCCTTGTTGCAATGTAACGGAAGAAGCTGATGCAAGCTCGACAGATGCGGTATATGCATATATGGCACTCGAGAACAATGGAAACAACGGCTGCAAAGACCGAATTGTCACCTTGAACAGCGACTTGGTTCTCGACAAAGGCGAAGTTATGGCGATAAGGATAAACTTGCATGGCGATACAGCGGCTACAGGCGAACACTTGGTCCTGGAGACAGCTCCCAATGGTCAGCATAATATCGTTCTCTGGCCCTCAAAAAATTGGTCCAGATCACACGGCGACCCTATTCATTGCCAACAGGGGACAAGAACGATTGGCGTAAAATCTGGCGATGTTATAGGCGTTGCCCGACAAATGATGCAGTTACCTAAACAACCGACGACCAATGATCTCGATGAAGTGATGCGACAGCTACATGAGCTGACCTGGTACCCTGATAAGGCATTGCCGCAGACCAAAGATGTATCAGTCTATTTCAATATCGCCGACGACAACTTGATACAAATGAACATGGCAAGAGCCGAGCCAGCTACCAAGACCGAAAAACCCTTCGACATCAATCCAAATCTTCCAGGGATATTCCACGCCAATCGATTAAAACTGTACAAGAGCCGAACCCCGTCGAGAGCGAGCAAACGTGCAGAACGAAGTCGAACTGTGGTATGGGTTTTGAAGAACGTCGAACCATACTATTTATATTACGTTGTCTCCCCATACATTATTATTCTTTTGCTATCCAATTATGCACTGTCAATTATACTGAACCTTGGCACCCTTTTCAAGCTTATATTTTATGTACCCCTCTATTATATATCGTGCAACTTTTACTTCTATCCCGAAAATTTCATGTTCAATATCATATAGTGTTACTATATGTACCTTTCCTTTCAATTTTGTATAAGCTTCCTCATCATGTTCTATTCACTCGTTTCATATGTTCATGATCTCCTTGCTAATGGAAACGCAATTGTAATGAATGTTAGCACGGGGGACCGTAGCTAGCATTCAAGGCCCTCTTTGTAGCATCGCGACACAGTGTGACTTGTGTCCCTGGGCCGAATAGCATTGAGATTCATGCACCTCTCACACAGATAGTAACATTATAAATTCTATGCCCGTATGTTAAAATAAACAATGCTCTCTTACACCGCTACTCTTCTTTTGTCTCCGTTAAGACAACCGTTTCGTGTACGAACGAGCGCAAAATGTAATAGTTAAAGAAGCCACACCGATCGTTATAAGGATGCTCTGATATTGACGGATATCATGGATGTTATTATAGTCACATATACTCTCTATCATTTGTATCCTGCCTTAAGTCGTAAAAGCTTGTATTGAAATTATCTTGATACGTTCACGGTATAGACTCTTTCCTCTCATTTGTCTCATCCCCATTGTTCAGTATTATATGTTATATGTCCCTCACACGTCATCTGTATATTGGCAGACCGTATCGCCTGTCTTCAATTTTTACTATACAATAATATGAGATGCTCGTAGAACGAGGTCAGGTGCACGACGTTTACTGCTGTAACAGGAAGGTGACTCAGGTGGCACGGCTGATTTCAATGTGATAGGGGGGGATGGTACGCGTCAGCGTTAAATTGGTTTTACTGCTTTTGTCGATTTTGAAGGGGGGCGAGATCGGATTAAAAGGGGTGATAAGAGGATGGAAAAGTATATAAAGAGGTCAATAACGCTGTGCGCGATGCTCAACAGAAGTCTCCCCTGTTTTTTGCACCTCTGCTTTTTACAGATCCTCAGTTTTTGTAGCTTTTTTTGGAGGAATTCCGCTCATCACTAAATATAATTGCAGTTTCCTCATATTTTGCATTTCGCAGCCCAAAACACAGAACCTGCAATTTCCCGCTAGTGGTTTCCATTCTCCTGAAGAGCGGCGATGCTGAGAATTGAACCAATGATACTTTCCAGTTTTCTATATAAAGGTCTATATTTATTACATAAATGATTTATCACTAAAAATAATTAGTGATTGTAAATTGTTTGTTCTGGCTTTTTTGCAGAGATCATCCTAGATTTTTCTGAGCTCATTCCAGATATTTTGTTGTTCTGGGGCATCTAAAATACTAATTGTTTTTTCTAGCATTCTTGTTTATTCTTGCAAACTATATACTCATGTAACAGGTTCAGATGAAACAGTCATGCTAGCATCTTCATTGCCGTTGTCAACAACATCATCATCAGCTATTTTTGAACGTTCTATACGGAGTATGAAATCGCCTTCTGAAATCACTTGGGCTGTCTGGTTCAAACTTTATAAATCTTTATTAAACGGCTATATAAGCGCTTCGCCAATCGCATACTTGCTAAAGCCCAGTCGCCATGACTGGTGAACAAAAACCCCATGAGCCAGAGGGGGAAAATGTAGAGCAAAATGATAAAGAACTTGAGAGAAAACAAAAAGGGGAGTATCTAGGGTTACAAGAGTGCACAAAGGTTAAGAGAGATAAAAAGTGGGGCGGGAGCTTGCAGCTACAAAGCGGCAAGGGACAGGGAATCTTTTTTCTTTTTTTTTTATTTGTGTTTTGAAAAACTAGTACAGGGAATTAGGGTGTGAGGGAGGGCGAAGGGGAAAGAGATAGGCGTGAATCAGCATTGGTTTGATCAAGCCACAACAAAAAGTCATTGCATGGGGTAGTGGCAATACCAGTGTCTTCAGTGAATAGGTTGTCTTCGTGGCATAAACGATCGATGTCTCGGAGTAAGCTGGTGAGTCGGGGCCAACAAGAGCGCCAATAACGTTTGGTGGTGGTGCTGCGAGGGCGAGTTCTTGGTAACGATTTGAGTATGAAGGAGATAGGATTCAGGATTACAAGAGGAACCTGTAAACGCACATGTGCTTGCAGACAGATGATGACATGGTCCTGAGATAGGTGATGGCGATCTGAACAATTGTGGCAGATAGCCTCCGGACGACCATTCGGCATCCAGCCAAGACGCCAACGTATGAGACAACTTCAATGGTGGTATTGCATCGGGAGCCAAACGATTGGTTCGACACCCAGTGTAGGACGACAAGCAGAGAGCAATTTAGCGCGTGGGCCAAGAAGAGTAGATTCAAAATCGGTAGTATACAGGTTGTGAATAGCATGTGATAAGGCTTTCTTGTCAAATGGCGCCTCTGTAGCAGGGAGACGTTGCCACAATGTGGTGTGTTGCAGGTGACGGTATCGGCTTGTAGAGACGACCGAAAGTCGCTGGACGAGCTTGGATAATAAAGCATCATCAGGTAACCAATGACTTCGCTTGAGAAATTTCGCTTGAAGAACAGCCACTCTGAGTTTCATAGGAGGGATATTGACCAGATGCTGCATGACCTTGGTTGATGAGGTGCTATTCGAGCTGCCATAGAAGCGCCGAAGGCAAACTTGGGCTGTCTGTCTGCCGTCCGTCTCTCTGTCACGCTTTTCGTTGCCATGACAACACTATAGTATATGGTTGAATTTTACCACAAGAGATAAAGTCCTCATAGCTTTATAAATTGTTGTACTTGTGATGGATTCTAGTTAAAGAAGAGTGGACTTCAAGACCAAAACAAAATTCATTAAGAGCGATTCTGGTACTCATTATTGCAATAGGGATGTAGTGAAAAAAACGAAAGGAACGATGCAAAAAGTGCTGCAGGAGAGAGAAGCACATATGCTACCATCGCACTGATATCTGGAGCGCAGCGTGGGGGCTCATTCAGCTGAGCGAAGCGAGGCACGTGACATTGATGATAAAGACAGTGATACTGAGTTCAATTACACACAATGGAGTATCAAGTATAGAACGCCTTGCCAAGGGTCGCCACAGGCGACTTTTTCATTAAGAACAGCACTAACAATTTCTTCATCGGACAATAGTGAATGAACAGCTGCAGTTTCCTCAGTGGGATCTGCATCAAAAGTGAAGTTCACAAGGTTGTCGGCACCATAAATGAGGCTTAGATGATCATTGATCTGGCCAAGTGCAACTTCGTCTGCATTTTCTAATCCAGTGTCAGTACTGTTAGTCATGACTGTGTCTACTACCCTCGTGTTTCTGGAGCAGTTTGCAATTGTTGACACTGGAATACTTTACCATGCCTCGTGGCACCATTGTATTGCTATCAAAACATCAATACGAAATGTATTTCCGTCATTAATGGTCAGGCCTTTTTCCAAGCGCTCCTGAATTCTGCTATATGCATGCTCATCACTGTAGGAAAATTCTTGTAATTTTTGTGGATTTCTTGTGAATTTGGACCCCCCCGCTGGCCTCGTTCTTGTGGTTCTTATGGATTTCTTAGAAATTTGTGATGTCTGTCACTGCCTGCTCTGGGTCGCCAATTTTTTTTTGTGATTCTTGTGGATTCTTGTGATTGAACAGTACTCTCTTGATGTGAGCTTAAGTTTAATAACCAGTGGTTGTGTTGAAATGCTCTGCATACATTTATTATTCATTTGACTGCTGCCATGTTCTCTTTGCACACAACTACTAAGGAAACAAACAGCCGATCTTGCGTTTGCCGTGAACAAGTTTTGGACGTGAATAGGATTTTGCGTCAACATTACAACAGGAAGCGCTTATTGTATGTGCAAAGAAGAACGTTGTCATAGTCCCTTCTTTATTTAACTTTCAGGATCCAAATAGAATAAAAGCATTGCTCGAGGCTACGCGTGGCGTTCCGCGCCAAAACTTGGCAGAACACTGCAATGACGTTTTGGACGCCATAAACAAAGAATATGAGAGAGGTGATTATGATTCTAATTTGGATCTTTCGCGTTTTATATGCGACCAAAGGTAAGTAAATAGCGATCCCACGCTGTCATTCGTTGCCACTGTAGTAAATAAGTTTTGTAGCTGTATATATAGAGAACCGCCATCAAATACCTGCAGCAATGGATCTGGCTCCACTCAAGTATACTCACCCTCCTTCCCATATTTGTATGGAGCAAACTCTCCTGTCGACGATTCCTCAGTGCCAGAAACAATACCTTCGACTGGTACTAACGATTTCGAAAAACATAGCATCTCTGCTGAGGAAACAATATGAAAACTCCAGACCACAGATGAACTGTTCGACGAGCTAGGTCTTTGATAATGAAAATTTAAACTATATAAGAGACACGAGTCAGATAATACGTTTTGTGGTGGGAAGGCGTGCAAGTTGAAAAAGAAAAGGGGTGTGGTTAAAGGTAATAATAAAGAGAGTAACACATGTGAATAATGGGAATCGAGCAAACCTTTGTTATGCTTTTGTGGGCAAATGGATAGATACAGTAGACGTGTAGTCAGTTGTAGATTTCAGAGTTCTCTAATGTCTCCGAGGCTCACATAACAAGAGACTAATCCAGGATATACATAATATAGACCGTTTTCTGAAATGGATGATTTGATCGTACCTGCAAAACTTCGAATGTTTTGGGCTTCTATGACATACCATTTTGTATTTGATCGTGATGAGCCTATGGGGTAACCCCATTGAGAAAGCTTCACGTCGCGCTTCAGTTCCACCAAGCAAAGAATGCGGGTTATTCCTGAAACACCATAATCTTTGTTAAAAAACTGCCTACCCTATAACACTCCAAAAGTGATTAGTATCCTTTCAGTGTAAGTTCCTAACCTCGATATGTGTGCGCGAATGAAAGATGAAGGTCGCCGAAGAAATCACCCTAAATGGTCTCTTGCTCCCTGTTTGCGAAACGGTAGTGTTTGGCTATTGGAAGTTCGAGCCAGATAAAGTGTGCCATCCTATTGCACACATTTCCAGTACCTAGACTCTCGTAGACAGTGCCGTCTACAAAAAGGTTTGGTGCGACAACTATGCTTTCTTCAAGAGCGTTTCCAACTTCGTCGAGCCCCATTACATCATCTTCGCCATCTATCATCATCCTATCTCCCTCATTCCACTCTGTGCCAGCTTGCAGTCTCTTGTAATACTGTTTAAGATGAGCCTTAAGTCTCAGATGACTATAATCTGTCAACCTGGCGTCCCTTTTCAGTCGAGGCCCTCTCAATTCTGGTGCATCCTCATCATCGCAGTCATTCACCACGTTTTCATCGCAACCAGCATAAAACACGTCATTCGCCTTAATGTCGTCACTAATTGTCGAGTGCTCAAAATCAGGGACTCTGCCCAAGAGCCTGATAATGGCAGTCTTGACATTTGCATTTTGGGCATTAACTCCTGGAAGCTTCCTTGATTGTATTTGTCTTTTGGCTTCACCTGCAAGTTTCTATTAAAAATGAAGTAGACAGCTACATGTAAACATCACTTACCAACGGCTCTTTCTATGGGACGTGCACTAATCGACCTGAGAGATCCGAGCATGCGAATGATATCTGGCGCATGTCACAGAAGGTGGTGGCAGATGGTGTACATGTTATTGGGCATATGGGGACCAGAGATGAACATATGCCAAGAATTGATGCGGCTAAAAAGAAATGTTGGTTAAGTTAAGTAGTTAATCAAATGAGTGTAATTTACTTATCCATGTCAATAAGCTGCTCGTCGGTTATATCCCAAGAAAGAGCCAAGGCACACGCAATAACCAGATTATTAAGTTGCTCGATGTGCTGACATCCAACAGTATTCAACTGCTCAAACACTAGCGATGGCAGAGCGAGTGACAGGAAATCAATCCAGTTAACCGCACGTGCACTTGCAGGACGGGTAAAGATATCTAAAAGGAGTACATATATCAATATGTTATGCAAAAGGAAAACACGCACACATTCGTATATCTGTTCCCTGATAATGCACCATCTAATCCTATAGGAAGACTCATCACAGATTCCGATATAGCTATACCCATCTGTCTGATAGCGGTATCACTGAGGGCAAACAGTAATTGTGCATTGGCATAGGCTTCCGTGATCCATCTGTACAATTGGTGTGCAATGTTCTGGCCAATTAAATGCATCTCATCAAGTCCAAAAAATGATGCACCATGGAATGTCGGTAAGGCTGCTAATAGTGTCCCATACAAACCGCGTTGCTAGTATACTTTTTGTTGAGTAACGCATGTATCTCTATATCATAGTCAATATGTTCAGATATTTACCGTATCTCCGTTAAGATACTCGTCGTTGCTTCTGCTTTGGTCCAGCTGAGCTCCACTGACGAAATATCTGGCTTAGCCATTGCCACTGGGACTGATGCAACTTGTAGCAAGGATAACATATACTCTGCAGCTGTAGTAAGAAGTGTGTCCAGAGTGACATGCAAGATCCATGACAGCAGGTATGTCTCCAGATGCAAGCATGAGATGTGCTTTTACTGGTATCGGCGCAGGAATGCCAGGACAATGCACACGCATTCCAATTGTTCCTAAAACCTGAAGATCATCCATCAAAGGCTTTAAAAAGCTATGAATGTCTTTGGGCTTGTATGGTCCAGGGATGATGGCGACTTGGAGCATATTCTTCAGTTTGTATCTAAGTAGTATCCAGTTTATATCAGTACCAAATTAAACCTTTATACGTTGCTAGAATACCTTTCGGATTGAGGAAGCGTGAAGACTATAAGGTGGACAATCGTCATTGATATTGTATTATTACGGCCTTGACGGAATGGCACGAAACCGTCCACAAACAAGCCAAGCGTAATGTCATACTCTCCATCAAAAAAATGGTGGCAGATCTCGAAGGCACGCCCATCAACAACATCAGTCGTGACGCCTTCTTCTCCTCCACTCTTGCTGCCAAATCTTAAAGTATCGCAACTCGTAGCGGTGACAAACAAACTTGCAAGAAGGTGTGAGATAGGGATATATCCCATGACCTATGCAGACTTCCTACTTTCCAAATAACAAGGCTTCTCGCACTTTGGGCACTTGTCTTGACTGCCAGTGAAAAAAACACTATTGTTCGCGCACATATCCAGATTCCTCGGCTTGATAGGGCAAATATCTCCAGCCCTTTTGCTGGCCAAGTATGGGCTACACAAGTTTTCAAAGCTGCGATTTTCCCCTACGAAAAATGTTTAACATATATATACATTGATCATTACTCATTTACTTACTGAAGCTGTCGATAGAGTGCTTCGTAAAGTGATTGCAAAAGCTAATCAGATTGTCATGACAATCCCTCGGAAGATTGTAGTTAAGAACAATCGTCAATAGTTCGAGATCCCATCTGTTATCTTGGGCTTGCTGCTCAATATTTGAAACATTGATTTCGTCGACATCCCCTCATTAATGCGAGTTGGCGCGTCCTCAAGTGGAAGCATAGCTTCGACGTCGCTACCTTCGTCATTATTTTCGCCACAGCTTTCGTTGTCACTGGTCTTGTGGTCTATGCTGTCACTTTCGCGATTAGCCGCAATGATCTCAGGAGGGACCCCGAGATTAGTGGTTCCCATCAAGGTACCGGGATTGGCATTCGTTAGGTCGGGTGCTAACACCAATGCAGTAACTAGTGGAGGCGAACTGTTGCTGCTATGGCACTGTTCCCGCTTATGCTCTTTGACGTGGTTTTTGTACTTTCTTGTAGACCTAAAGGTCTCATCGGGAACTAATCTTTATAATATAAAATAAAAAAGGTTTCATTAATAAAACAGATATAATAGTTTAAGAAAAATTTATAAATTGAAATGTATTTATTTTAATTTTTATTAGGTTTTATTTTTTCAAAAAAGTTTTAAATCTATAAATTTTTTTTTGATTCTTAGGATTAATATTAATTCTTAAAATATATTATGCTTTATAATGATTATTTCAAAGCTTATAGTAGCAGAATAGTAATGAGCATATCCCTCCTCTAACCTAGACCTACTGGATCGACGGTTAGCTTGACAGAGTAATAATAATGACATAATTAATTTACTGTTTATAGTAAAATTAATTGTTATTGATTACTCTCTATCGCAGTTATCGCAACAATATATGGGCATGGTTGGATAGTGGACGATGAGTATGAAATGATAGGTAAGTCTCAATTGAACGATATGTTATAGCCACTTAGTTAATTAAGGTGACAAATACTTTTAAATTACCGCGAAAGTTTCCCAAAAAAAATTTTCTTTCTTCTCTTCTTCCCAAAAACTTTTTTTTAAAGAAAATAAACACTAACCAAACACCTTCCAACACTAACCTCAATCTCCTCCAAGTCTTCACTCATGTGGAGCATTGTCTTATCAATGTAGAGACAAATCAAGCAATCATTCTGGACAAGCTCAACTAGATCCTAATAGCGCAATCCCTAGTCGAGGTGCCAGTTGTCGATGAAGCAGAACTTGCTGAGACGGTTGCCCTCATTCCCCACCCTGTGGCTCTAAATACCAAGGGGAAGATGGCGAAGAAAGCTAATAAGGATGATGTCGAGCGCCTTCTCCTTGAAGGCTACCACCAGTTTGAAGGTGGTGCTTTGATCAAAGCCTAGACAGACATTAAGCACATCTGGGAGCGTGTTGTGGTCGTTCTGGAGAAGAGATTGCGGGATCGTGCTGACAACAGCACGACCTGCTACTTTGCTAAGCTGCAAAGCAAGGATAGTAACTGGGCTATCAGCCTTTTCATGAACCTGGCAAAGAAGCAGGGAATTGATTTTGCTGTCTGCTAGGACCAGTGGGTAGCTCGCCACATCGTCCAAGAATGCTGGAATAACTACAGCAGATCCAATAAGTCGAGAGCAGTTTCTAGGTATGATAACTACTACACTAGAGCAACTACAATCAAATATATATTAAGTATCACGTGGACAACAAGAACTGGCTTCTGCTTCTGCTGCTCTTCCTGCTTCTGCTTCTCTTCCTGCTTCTGCTGCTCCTTCTCTTCCTGCTTCTGCTTCTCTTCCTACTTCTCTTCCTGCTTCTGCTGCTCCTTCGTTTCCTGTCTCTGCTGCTCCTTCTTTTCCTGTCTCTGCTGCTCTTCCTGTCTCTGCTTCTGCTGCTCCTTCTCTTCCTGTTTCTGCTTCTGCTTTTCTTCCTGCCCCTGCCCCTACCCAGTCCACACAGTCTACCAAACGACGCCATACGACAAAGCGGCTTGGAGCTGCTGCTCCCCCCCACAAAAATAAAAATAATTAAAAGGTAAGTTAAAGTATCATAAAGTTTGATTATTATATAAACACACACATACACGAGACGATTCCTACCGATTCTTTGAGGGAATTGAATCAGTATCATCCAAGTGAGGAATCGAATCGAATCGGATATATTATATGAAAGAGAAAAAAAATCTGTATCTTCGATTATAGTCAACATGTAGCTAAATATAATAATAGATATGAACGCTATTTGTAATGAATGAAGATTTCAATGCTTGGTACAAATAGTAAGCTCAAAAAGCAATATATAAACTACTTCCAAAGAGCTGTAACATTCCACTATCAAAAAAAAAAAACTGCATTTCAAAATTATAGGGAAGGATAGTATTTAGAGTAAGATATCGTTTTTTAAGTGTAGGAAACCCATCTTATATATGGCTGCACATGCGTGTGCATTTCATGTCTGATAGAAGGCAAGGGAGGAAGCAAATGACAGAAATGCACGATGCTCGAATTGTGCAAACTTAATCGATAGGTCAATTGAAAATGGCAACATAAATCTCATAGTAGTACGTCATGAATGAGCAGTGTAACGAGTGGCAAGGCATAGTACGCTATGAAATAAAGCACTGTGAGCGGTGACGAACCGTGAAGCAATGATATCATATCATATTATATTAGAGAAACTGAACCACAACCGGTAATACACACAGCTACTATGTCTTCACGCGTGTATAGTGTCTCATGAAAGGCAAAGGGTGAATGAGTAAGATAATTCTCTTAATGGCCCCTAATTGCGCAATCTCAGATGGAATGGACAATCTTGATCCAACTGGTCGAGAAACCATGTTAAATCTAGTAAAGTAGTAGGTCATAGAGAAAAATGCATTGTGAGTATCATTGTACGGGAAGAAGTAATGATGCGCGTCACAGTTACTTCAATACCATCTAAACGCTGCTTCTCACAGAACCGCCTCTTGCTCCCCTATACCCATAGTCTATTGAAGCCAGAGTCAATTCAAAGGCTAATGCTTCTGCATTCATGGCTCTCTTTCGATTTCGGCGTTTAGAATAGCATTTTGTCTCTTCTTTTCCTCTCTTCCCCTGTTATCCTTTTTCTTTTTATACCGTTTTCTCTTTGTTTCTCGTCCCCTTCCTTTCATATTTTATTTGGTATAAATGAAAACACGACTTAAGTTTGGAGGTCGCCTTTAAAGAAAGGAACTAGTTTTAGCTGTATTTTAGCGATATATAAGTAAATGTTCTACATTATACAAATTACTAAAATCATAGAATATAGAAAAGAACTGATTCTTCGATTCTATGCAACCAAAGCTGAGACGATTCCGAGACTATTCTTGATCGGAATCGTCTCGGGTTTTAACGACTCCGATTCGATTCGATTCCGATTCTTCCATTCTGATGCGGATCCCTACATACACGTACTGTATATATATCGCGAGAGTGTATGTGATATATATAGAGAGAGAAAGAGGTGGTTTTCATTTGTATATGATCGACCAGATTCCATCAATCAATAAACCTTAGCTAGTATTATGTAATTGAATAAAGCTATTTTTTAAAATCTATATAATGAATATTCCACAAAAATGTTTTGTGATTTTCTTGTGAACATGTGACCACTTTGGTAGTCCACAAAGCGTTTTGTGATTTTCTTATGAACATGTGACCGCTTTGGTATTCCACAAAACGTTTTGTGATTTTTTGTGAACGTGAGACTGCTTTATCGCTACTTTAATTCACAAGAATCCACAAGAATTTTTGTTACTTTACTTCGTGTTTACAAGAATTTAAAATCCACAAGAATTTTCCTATAGTGCATATTACAAGTTCCTAATACAACAGAGAGAAAATGGTTATTTTCAAATTTCCTCTTACATATAATAAAAGCCTATTTAATAATTATTACAACAACGTACTTGAAATGCACCTTTTAATAATTATTACAACAACGTACACCCTCGTAAAAATATATTCAATAAAAATTTAGAAATATGCAAGTATATACATATTCATTTTGCAGCTGTATAGAACATTTTTCAAATATTTTTCGCATATGGATTCTGAACATTTTTAAATACTTTTTAAACATTTGAGATAATGTAGAATATTTACGGCTATAGATATAAGATCTCATTGAATAGCTTTCAAAAATTATTCATATGCATGGATCATAAAAGCGATAATATATTGGTTTTTTACGCTCGATGTTTAAATGGGAGATAGAACAAAATTACTTTATTAGTGAGCTTTTAATGGGTTGGATGGGGCAACGTGAATATTGCAAGACTATTTATTATATGCTCATATTTTTGACGCAACTGTACGCATGACGCGAGTACGTTTTGTGGGGACTGGATCGACCGGGGTTGGGCTTTTTGTACGAACATTTCTTTTAAGGCGCTCCTGTTTTTCTGAAATGACGGGAGAGCGTTCTACAGAACGGGTAGTGATATGAATTTCTTTTAACTTTTATGCCTTATATTATAATGTAAGGATAGCAACTTATTGTACCTTTACCTTTTTTTCTGGGGATGCTTGCTTTGTTGACAAGCTGCTTTATTCGCTGCGCTGGCTGCTTCTGCGCTGGCGACTTTCCTTTCGTTCTTGCTTGTTTGCCACTAGTAGTTGGCAGGTGTGTGACCTGTTCATCCTCCTCGCTTGATGTCAGTTGTGCCTCCAGAGACAGTGGGCCTTCGTCTTCATCAATATCACTTATGATAGGTAATGATGCAATACAGGAAATCTATATTAATGATTATAGTCGATTGCAGTCGATCACATGTATCATATCTTACATGGTTTCATACCTTTCGTGATCACAATCTTCCTGAGTGTCATAGTCAGCGTTAAAGAAATTTTCTTCATCATCGTCACTAGTGCTGCTTTGATCATCGATTTCTTCTTCATTTGCTTGGCAGGTCTGCTCATCTTCTTCCGTGATGCTTTTCTGATCAATTGAGCTTTAACAAAAAAAAAGGTGTTATTAAAAGTTACAATTGCATCTATAAACAAGTATAAGCATCATCAATACCCTTGGGTCAGCTGCTGATTAAGGAGCTCGGGCTCCAGACAAACATTGCATTGCTCTAAGTTTTCCAGCAAACTTCTGTGTATACTTGTCCTCTCTAGAGGTATTGGTGTTGTTGGACCTACTGTATGTACAAGACACAACATAAGTGTGGACACGAATTCAAAAAAAGTAGCTTATTCCGTACCTCCTGCTTGGCTAGGGATCTTCTTGATAAAAAAAGCTCTGACAAGGATGAGCCATGCGCCACAGTATCCAGCACAGGCTTTCAATGGGTATTCGTTGACTACACCATCCTCGAGCAATGCAATCGCCTTGTGCTGCTAGGTGTCCATCAAGTCAGACCATGTCGCTGTTACTGCTACGTTTTCCGTTTGTCGCATATAATCGACCAGCCCGTCAGCAAAAGGCATGACATTCTGCTTAAATGTGGTAAGATACGAGTGGTCCCATGTATTATTGCCCAAAACGTGCTGTCCAAGGATGTCGTATAGCTCCCAAGAGAACTGCCTCAATCTTCCGTCGTTATCTGCTGGATGCAACACGACACGGCGCAACTGGATACCGTTAAATGGACTAGCTTCTATACCAATAGCCGTGCTTTGTGGGTATGTTGGAAGCTGTGCAGAGGCAGCGCCAAGATTCAGATGCTCGACGGTTTACTCGAGATCGACAATTCTATTGCTCATGGTTGCTAGTGCTCCCTGAAGCTCTGTGATCTCGGTTTGCATTCCAAGGAAACCTTCATTCAGTCGCCGTTTGATATCCCTGGCCGTGTTCAAAAAGCTCGAAATTAGACCTAGCACGCCTGTAGGTATTTCGTCACTTTCTGCTGCTAGACTCGCCATTTCATGGGAGTAGGAGAAAAAGAGATATTTCTGCTTTTAAAGGCTGTGTCAAAGTGAAAAGTACACGTAAGGAACCCTTAACTGTCGCGAGTTAGGTTTATGGTTGTCGGCGTAATGACGGGTCGGTCCCTAAGTGTTTCATGCATTGTGCGCTTGGAAAAAAAAAGTTTTTATTTTGAATTCACTTTCTCACTAGCCTCAGAGTCATGAGCAAAAATCCCCAAAAAGCAGCAATAGCAAGAGAGTCTAACTTCAAATGTCCATTTTGCGGCATCGAAAGAAAGGCTACCGCTGCCGATCACAATGCTCATCGCGCAATTTGTATTCAAAAGACGATTAAAAAAGTGGAGCATGAATTTACTGCTTTTATTGAAAGCCAGGTAATTTGTTTTACTATCGGTAAGACACCTATTAACTCTGCTTTCAGCCTGCAGGAAGTAGTAGTCAACCATCCACCAGCAATTCTTTGCATGAAGAGCAAACACAAGCTGCCAGACGAGCGCTGCACAAATTTTCGGATGACAATGTTTCGGTACCTGAGCCGCTATCCCGTGTAAGCAGCCTCGAAACAACAACTGCCAGCACCTCAAGTCAAAGAGGCGGCAGTAAAATAGCACGCTCACTTCAGTAGCGTCAGACGTCGGTTCCAATCAGTTTTCAGTATCAATACGCCTCCTCAAAATCATTATGAAAATACAAGTAGTAGCAAAGTCGCTTTTAATCAACGATTCAACAGCAACGACGCTGAACTCGATCAAGAAGAAAACGTAGAAGCAAGCATTGACATGTTTGGTTTTCATGTTCGACATGGAGGAACACGGGCACTATTTGACAAGTTTATAAAACGAACCAACAAGTATATCAAGGGCGTCCTCCCACCACTTCTCAGCTACCATTCAGCACGTGCTGTCTTACGCAAAAGTTATCCACTTGAGCCGTCTGAGTATGATGTATGCGAGAATGGTTGTAAGATGTACACCAAGAGCGATAGAAGCACGTCATGTTCAGCATGCCATACCCCACGATTCAAAGCTGATGGAAAAACAGCACGCAAGACGATGATCCAGTTATCGTTGAAAGAACAGCTTCGGCTGTTAATCCGGGATGAAGCCACCCGCGAACTGCTCAAGTATCGCGCTGAATATGTATCCGAGGAAGGCTTGATGAAGGATTTTTGGGACAGTGCCGTTTATAAAATTCTAAAGCCTACCTTCTTTACCGGTGAAATGGATCTGGGGATTGCGATTTTTACTGACGACTTCAACCCATTTCGTCGCTCACAGCATTCCATGACCATTGTGCATGTCATCGTATATAATTTTCCACCAAGTGTCCGAACTCAAGACAAATACATGCTTCAAGTTTGCATCTGCCCCGGTCCAGCAAAACCAGTTGATCTTTTCAGCTTCCTGGAGCCAACCATACAAGAGCTTCATGAACTCTGCAATTATGGCATGGATGTAACCGTGGATCAGGCTACTATTAATGTCAAGGCACACCTTCTTTTCGTTGGAGGCGACTACCCGGCATCAACCCGTATGGCGTGTATGTCTTCTCATCACCATTACTACGGCTGCAGATTTTGTACAATCGGAGGCAAATACATCAACAACACCATGACATTTCCGCCATATGAAAAATTAGTATCCACATCCACCCAAGAAGCAGCACTAAAAGAAGCAGACGAAAAGCCTACTGTACGGTCGATCCAATCATTCAAGCAAAAAAGAGCCCCAAACCCTTCAAAGAAAGCAATCAATGATGCAAAAGGACACAAGAAAGCCACGCCATTTTCAAAACTCCCAGTTTTTCCTGGTGCCACCTATTTTCCCATGGATCCTATGCACAATATGGCAGGTGTAGCCAAACAAGTATGGCAGATAATCTGTGGAAAATATAGGCAAGAAGGAAATCCATTGTACTTACCACGAGCCACATGGAACGAGACCGGCATGTTGATTGGAGCATCAAGGGCGTCTACCCCATCGTCGTTTAGTGTAGATTGTGGCGACATTGCATTTCAAAGTGGTTTCTACCGTGCAATTGACTGGATTCATGTTGGCTTGTATTTGTTTTCTACTACGATCTGGGATTTCTATGATGATGCTAGTACAAGATAAGCCCTGGCAGATTTGGCAACCGTTTTTCGCTATACATTCTGTCGAGTAATTGGTGTAGATCAAATCAGTGAACTCAAACATGCGGCAAACTCTTGGACCAAGTGGCTGTATGAACAGTCAAAGTCCGGTCATATCTCTCCAAATGTGCATACAATTAACATGCATCTGTTGGCGCACCATTACAAGACGATCGAACGACTTGGGCCATTACCATTTTTAGCAGCTTCTGCCATGAAAAGAGCAATTGGCGAAATAAAGCGTCGCATCCATTCAAAGCGAGATGCTGGTACCAATGCCGGTAATGTTCTGATCGACCTGTTGGCTATCAGGCGCCAACAAAGAATCAACAACAAGGAAGAAGTCAAAGAAAAGCAGCAAGAAGTCATTACTGCATCTGATGATCCTGAGGCACCTGAACTTTGGGGTCCATTCGAGGAGATGACAGTGGCAGACCTTGGATGCAAACAACCTCTCCGACGTTTTTGGGCATGGGAAAAAGGCTCCTACAATGACATGTACATTGATACAACAGAAAAGGTTACGGCCGGCAGGAGGCTCTGGAAGAGCAGTGGTGATGTATTCGGTGGAGCCAATGCGTCGTTCGTTCGCCTTCATCTTTGGGTGAATATTGATCAAAGGCTGGGACGAAACATGGAATTCCAACGAAAGCTATATTTCGGTGATATAAAGTACTTTTTTACCCATACTTTTGGGGATGATAACAATAGGCTGCTCGCATTGGTACAGCTATCGACATTTGCCAACCCCGAAAGAAGCGACGATTCTTGGCCACGTAAAATCAATGGAACGAAGCTCAAGGTCGTAGATGTTGAAGACATAGTCAGCTTTGCCGGAGTGACAAAGGCGCGGAACGAACGAGAATACGTTTTTGGTCAAGATCGTCGATGGATCACGAAGATCCCGAGCTTGATTATAATTTGCGCTTTATTCTGTAAACCATTCACTTAAGCATGTTTCATTCTCTAAATATAATATCTGAATATATGTTCATAAGAAACGAATATTTTTTAAACCAAGTCAATCATCGAATAGTTTGTGAATATTTCTGTGAATATGAGCATATCTTTTAAATATAAGTTTTCCAGGGTGGTACTTGAAATGCACCTTAAAGCTGCGGATAATACCAGCATCCAAAGGCTGCATAAGCGATGTTTTATTTGGCGACAAATATACTAATTCGACATTCTTTGGCTCGTAATCGCAGAAATGGCCCGAAAAGTTGTCTAAGAGCAATGCAATTTTTCTTTGCTGATACACCATCGATTTATCCAACATAGTAAGGTACTTTTTGAAGATATCGCGCGTCATCCAAGCATTGGCATTTGCACGGTACTTCGAGATGTCAACCTTTCTCTGCTGTGCCTGTTGTTATATAGAAAATATAATAAGCAGTTGATCATCATCTTTTACTTTATTGTATAGCATACTTTGTTGAAACAGGTTAGGTTCTGTGCCTTGCCAATGAACCACGGGTGCCACTTGTCAGACCTGTCAGCATTGGTCGTCAATACAAGTGTCAATCGCGACTTTTCCTGCTAGACCCCTTTAAATGGTCCAGGTGCAATTGTAGACACAGGAGCACTGGAGTAGAAGACAGCTGTCTCGTCTATGTTGTAAATGTCCTTTAAGGCATATTTTTCTAGCGTTTGTTGGATTTCAGGCAACTTCACTTCTGCAAGTGTAACATCAGCAGAGCTGGCTTCACCACTTATTTTTTGGATCTTGAGGTTATATCGGTTCTTGAAGCGGGTTTGCCAGCCATTGGAGAATGTCAACTCTTCAGTTGAGACTTGCAGTTTAGTTGCAAAGTTTTCACCGCCTTTTTTAATGATATCCCAGTTGATTAGGATCTTCTCATAGAATCTTTGCTCTATCCATGTATATAAAGCGTATTCCAGTTCCTATTGTATTATTTGTTTTCTTATCAATAAAATGAATAGTAAGTAGTACTCAATAAGCTTAAACATACGGGAACTTTGCTCGAGCTTTATGTCTTTTATTTCTATCAATGCCGTTTTCTTCTTCATGTTTTCTTTTTGCAATCATTAGTGAGATTGTTGTTGTATTAGGGACACTCTCGAGGTTGTATGTTGTTTTTATCCAATCGAGTAAATCCTTGTATGTAAATTTGCGCATCGCTTTCTCTTTGGCGACATAGTACTGATAGGCTGCTTCATTAATATTGTAACGTCTTAGTTTGTGTAAGAGTTACGAAACCTGTTTAATAGGATGGATAGTATAAGAAAAGCTGATAAATGTGGATGAAATGCTAAGTAATAAGCAAAAGAGATGAAATAGAAGTGTGGGAGTTCAACAACTAGGAGTTATTACGTCTGGAGCCACAAAAGACAATCCTTTTGATAGGAAAGGGAAAAGCTAAAGTTAAGAGAAAGAGAAGCTAAAGAACTGAGCTGTTTATTATTCAATACAAAAGATTGGTCTATTTATACTGATCCTAATACACTATCTATATTTAATCTAATAAACTGGTCCCTCCGCTTCGCTTCCAGACGATGTGAGCCCCTCCGCTTCGCTGCGTGTCAGCATCTGTCCTCCAGGGACCAGTTTACTGGGGCTCTGCCCCAGATTCCGGGTGGGGGCAATGCCCCCTACCACCTACCTTTTACCTTCAAACAATGCTGAAAATTTGTTCTGCTTGACAGGAGTGAGAATGGTGTTTTTTATAATTTTGGTCTTGAAGTCATTGTCGTCACTGCACTAAAAATGCTTAAAGGCAATACCTCTTTCAGATTGAGACTGTGTAGCTGATTACTGTGTCAGTTACTCGAGCTAATGCACTCCGAGCTCTCAGACGATTCATGTCCAATACCCGGGCAATCCTCGCAACTGAACAGATCGTGTTCAGTTTCTTCGTAAAATTTACAGGTCAGAATCTTAGAGGTGGAATTATCTTGCTCTTGAAACGTATATTGGGCAATTGTTGAGGTGGAAATTCTGGGACATCATGAAAGGTGTGATTGTTGCACCCTAAACCTAGGCCGTTGTGTTCGCTCTATCATACTTACTAAAAATGTGATTGTTACACCCTAAAATAAGCACGCTTTGTTCGCTCTACCTACTAAAGATGTGACCGTACACCCTAAACAAAGCTCGCTTTGCTCGCCCTACTTACTTACCAAAGCAAAGACCCGAAGTTCTATTATTTGTTACGATCTAGAGATGCTTTTGCTAATATGACATTGATAATTATATTTGTAGGACGTTCCCTCCCGCTGACCCTCCTGTTAGGGCGCTGCCCACTCTAAACCCGAAGCCCTAAAAGGTGGGGCAGCGACAGCAGGAGAAGTTGGTGGAGGCGAACTGTTGATCATAGGCACAGGTGATCGTGGCAAGGTAGTAGCTATAGCGAGTATTGGAGGAGGTTTGTTTGTAATCTTTTCAGCAAAATTGCATTATCACCAAAAAATCAGTAAGTACACAGTACTGCAGTTGATAGGGTTAAGTGTGCATTCTCTATGATAACGCCTACTGCCTACGATGGGTGCTCGAGCCACAGATACAAAACGTAGGCGCAAAAGTTTTTACAAAAACGAACTATCTGTAGCTTTGTAAGCAAACAGCTGCAGCAGTAATATTCAAATACACATGGTTAAAATTTGCGTTGCCTATTCTACTGAAACACTGCGAGAATGCACTCGACATGGCTCATTGCGATCCGAGTGACAGTGACAGGCATGATCGGTCAACTGCTTTGTCGAGAAATGTGCAGAAAAAAAATAGTTAGTAAATTTGTAGCTCATTTAGAGCAGTCTGTCAGAATCCCGGCTAACGGTGGAAAATGCTCAACGATTTTTACAGAAAGACCTCAAATGTCGTTGATGGCAGATGAAATCAAGTAGCACACCTCTTCAGAGCGCATATTGAGAAATGCAATGTGGTAGTAGTCTAGGAAGACGGCACAAAGTTGAAGTTTACCCAGGTCTCCTAGGAACGTGCAACGTTAAAAAAGCATGGTCATTACAAAGTGAAATTTCCAAATCTGGATTTTACGCTGGGATTGAAATCGTAAATACCATGCTCTATTTAATAGAAGATTGGTGCTTGGTCCAATGGGTACCGCAGTAGTGCGAAATGGTTTTGCACCTGGTGTGAGTTGTTTTTGCACTCGCAGTAAGAGTGGTATTGCGCAGTAAGAGCATCTCCAACAGTCGTTCCAAATTCTATTTTAGGATTCCGAAATAGAAAATTTTGAGTTCCAACGGTCGTCCTATTTCTATTCTATTTTAGAAAAGGGTCAAATTTTTTAGAATAGGCGTCCCAAAATTAGGGCAAGTTTTCTAAAGTAAAATCGCGTTGTTGTACGCAGTAAAATAAAGCTCTCTCTTCTTTATAAATCACTTCCTTTTCCAACAACAATGTCTTCCAGTTCTTCTGCCCCGATTCCCATCACTAATGTCGAATCTCGTGTCGAATCGACCACCGTTCCCGAAGTTGTCGCAGAATCGTCGACAGCAGCAGCAGCAAAAGCTGGTAATCGCGGTCCGAGCTGGAGCAATGAAGAGGATGTGTGGTTGTGTCAATCCTGGCTTGCCACCTCCACTCGTTCGTCAAAGGGCACCGATGTTCCCCTCCAAATATTGTGGGAGACTATCTACAAAGATTTTCTTCAAAGAGGGGGAGATATGGATGTACGAACTAGCAGGGAGCCCTCTCGAGCTGCTAGGGTACCATCCAAAGAGAGGTGTCTAGATACTGCGGTTGTCTTGCAAAAGCTCTTGCGCGAAATAAAAGCAGAAACAACGAAGAAAATGAGGTTAGGGGATGCTAGTTTTCATAAACGATACGATACCAGTACTGATGAATATATGGGAGTGAAGAAGGACTACGCAGTAACGCTGTATAAGAAAGCTGCAAAATCTGCTTGGAAGTTTCAACACTGTTACAATGAGCTTCATGAGCAACCAAAGTTCAGTAACAAGTATGTCAATGTGACAAATCAAAGCGCACCTGAGTATGTGAAGCGCCCAATCGGTCGCAAGAAAGCCAAGGAGCAAGAGAAGGAGGATGGAACGTGCAAGCGTAAATTGGACGATGATCGCGCTCGATTGGCGAAGGCTGAAGAGGAGCATGTCTAGAACAGCTGCAGGCGCATCGAGCTCCAGGAGAAAATGAACGACGATGAAGTGATGCGAGAACAGCTCGACAGATACTCAGGAGCTGAACTCGAGTATTGGACGCTGAGAAAAGGCGAGGCTTTGGCCAATGCAAAGGCCAGAATCGCAAAAGCCATTGTCCAGGACGTAGAAGTTCAACAGACTACCGACGACGAAGTTGACGAGTAATAAAAAACAATAAATAAAAAATATCTTTTGTGTTTTACTAGATCATATTGCCTTGGTGCTGCCACAAATGCTCAACGAGGTCGTTCTTCAGTTGATCGTGGACCGCAACATCCTTGATCTCATCATAGCGATTTAAGTATTCGCTCATGTTGTTTGGATCCCTGCGAACTGTCAAAATGGGCGCCGATCCAACACTTCGCAATACTTCGGCTTCGTTGTCATCAGCAACATCCTCTCCTGGATTGCAGCGCTGATCTTCAACAATCATGTTATGCAAGATTATGCATGCGCGCATAACCATTGACAGATCGTCGGGTTGCCATAGTCTTGCTGGGTGTCGAATCACAGCAAATCTACTTTGCAAGATCTCAAAGGCACGTTCGACATCCTTACGATACGCTTCTTGCATACAGGCAAACAACTATATAAGTAGTTAGAGTTGCTGCTCTCCATATGCATTGTTAAAATTTACCTTTTTTTTCTTCTCAATCGGATGCGTGATTGAATCTATAAACGTAGCCCACGGCGGGTAAATACCATCAACTAAATAATAGCCTTTGGTGTAGTTGTGGCCATTGACAGAAAAGTTGACGGGCGACGTAACATCAGACGCCAGATCATCGAAGATGGGGGAACGCTGCAAGACATTGATGTCATTCAGCGTACCCGGGAGACCGAAGAACGCGTGCCAGATCTATGTTTCGAAGTCTGCTACAGCCTCAAGGATTACTGTAGCTTTCTTCTCCTTGCCTTGATATTGTCCTTTCCATCTGGCAGGACAGTTCTTCCATTCCCAATGCATGCAGTCCAAGGAACCGAGCATGCCAGGGAATCCGCGTTTTTCCGCCATATCAAGAAGCTGCTTGATATCATCCTCGTTTGGTGAGCACAGGTATTCGTCACCAAAGATGCGGCTGATTGCCAAGCAGAAGCGCTTTAAGCACTCAAGAACAGTGCTTGCACCTAGGCGAACATATTCGTCGGTCGCATCGGCAGATACGCCATATGCCAGTTGGCGAATTGCTGCCGTCGCTTTCTGCAGCGGTGTCAATCCAGGCGTATGAGCCGCGTCGTACTTCTGTGGAAAGAAGGCATCTTTCTGCTCCAATTCGCTTACGATCCGTTTGAAAAGCCGACGACTCATGCGAAAACGAGTACGGAACTTGTATTCCGGGTAAATAGGATTGTCGCCAAAATAGTCATTGTATAAACGCCAATGACTTCCAACGCGATCGCGGTTAATGACGAGATGACCAGGAACAGAGCCTTTTCTGGGTTTTCTCACTTGATCGTCGTCTTGGTCATCAGCTGCAAAGATTCTCTGAAGACGCTCAACTCTGCGCTGACGTTGGCGTTCTTCCTTGATGTTTTCATCGAACATTTGTTTTAGGTTGCGAATATTTTGGCTTGACATTGTGAAATGAGTGGTTGAAGTAGAAAGAGCAGAGCAGTAAATTCAAATAGCCAGTTTTAGAATAGCGCGACCGTTGGAAAAACCATGCCAATTCTATGGTCCTGCTAGGATAGCGGCGTTCCATTTTAGGAAAATTTTAGAACGAGCGTTGGAGATGCTCTAAGTGTATTGTTACAGGTGTGAGATAAATTTTCACTCATAGTTACACCAAGTCTGTGATGAAAATGATAGAGAGTAAACTGACAGATAGTGATACAAGTAGATTACAAAGCCAATACTAAGGGGAAGAGCCCATTTATTGATACGAATGTATTGAGGACAATAAGGTAGGTTACATATCCTGGGCCCGTTAAGGACGCACGTCCCGGGCGAAAGGAAACGTATTTGTAGATGACAAGGTATTGTAGTAACTATGTATAAGAGCGTGGAGCTTGGAATCACCGGTAATGTAGGTGTCATGTATGTGTTGTTTAAGATACACGCGGATGGCTCCTTGGCATTCTAGGTTGCTCGGAATTCTTGACAGTACTGTGGCTAGACGGTGTGCGATACGATTTGCTAGTAAGCAGCAGTTGGCGTCGAGATCCTCCTTTAGCTGTTGCTGCCAGAGGTGTAGTGACACGCAATCATATATGAGATCGTAGTAAAGGCCCATCTCGGCTCGGCGGTTCTGAGCTTCTGGACCCAATGTGGGTAGTACAAATTCCAGGTCAACTGAACGATACTCGACTTATCCATTGTTGTTTAGGACCAAGCGAGGACCAGGTGCATCGGTATTGCCTCCCCAGGGCGAGGGATATTGCTGCAGAGCCGGTTGTTGGGTGTTGTTTGTTGTATCTAGTGTCGTGTCGAGTGAGTGTGGTGTAGGTTCGCCATGAACCCAGGCAGGGGTGCTGTTAACCAAGATCGCATCCGGGAACATGCCTGAAAAGTCCGGAGTTATAGGTTTGTAGGGTGACGACAAGAGGGACATGTTAAGGCTGTTTAGTGTGGTCTAGGTATTGTATTCTCTTTGGTTTCATTCATAGATTCCGGGGTATTTATACTTTAGATTAATAGTGACTCGAATGAAGTGTGAAGTGATTTTGCACCTTCATGGTAGTGATGTGTGAAATGTTTTTACACTTGTCGGGTTATCGAGGTTTGAAAGGATTGTGCACCTTCATGCACTTGCGGGGTTGGAGTAGCTCGATGAATTTGTGCCACCAGCTTCAAATAAGCTTTGTGGGGCACTTTGACAGGTTGTTATAGCTTGATAACTTGTTGATCAAGTGACGAGTTTGAAAGTGTATATGATGTTAATTTTATTTTATTTTATTTTTTATTTTTTTTGTTTTGTCTTATTTTGTTTTGTGTTATTGATTATCTTCTATTATATGTATAGTGATGTTGACGACTATGATATAAAGAGGTGGGGCGATGGCTCGTTGTTGAGTTTATGTCGTTTGTAGGGATTTGTGTCATCTTCTGGAAAATGCTTATTCAGTAGATTACGAAAACTCTTGCCTGATGCCAGTTGTGTTGTTGTTAAGTCATTGAGTTGGTAAATGTCACGTAAGTTTTTATAGCGGTTTTGTGCATTAGCGCATTTATTGCGTAAATGCAGACTATTCTGGATTACTTAATATAGTGTTTCAGCCGTCTTGATTCTATGTGCAGGTAGTCGAATTCTGGCCTCTTCCCATTCTGCTAATTGTCGAATCATCTGTACCAGATCTGCTGGCAAGATGTCATCTAGGGGGGCTCCCAAAAACGCCAGCACCTGCTGGATGTCGAAGGTGGTCGCAGCAGAAGAGTCTTCCATACAATCGTCAGGTGTGTTTACAGCGAGAGGCGTGGTATTGGCCATGTCGCTGGCTTGTTGCGCTGTGTTATAGTCTATGAGGGTCAGAGACTGGTTGACTAGTGGAGAGGCAGTGAGTGTAGGTCTAAAGTGGACATCTGGCAACTTAGATATACACAATCTGTTGCCGTGAAATACTCCGCGTAGCATGTCTCCTTGTAAGGTTTAAAGCTGATAACCATTTTTGTTATTAACTTGATGGACAATATAAGGTCCCAGCCATTTGAGTTCGAGTTTTCCACTCCAAGATGTTTCTATTGCATTGTTATATACAAGGACAACGTCGCCGACACTAAATGGTGGTTGCAATAGGTGGTTGCGTTTAGCTAGCACCTTCTTGTCAATGGTTTTCTTCTGATTTTCCTGAGATATCTTAATCGTGGCCGCGGCTTGTTGTCTAATTTGACGTAACTTGTGAAGTTGTATCTTCATGCATTGTGCAATCTGTTCAGGTGTCCAGTCAAGATCGACATTGGTGCACATAGATTCGTCCATTAGTCTATCGAAAGGTGTATTGGGATCTACTCCATATAATATGGCGAATGGACTTTTTTGTGTGGAAGCCTGATGGATCGTGTTGTATGAGAATAAAGCTGCAGGTAAATATGTGCACTAGTCATCACGTTCTTTCAGTGGAAGTTTTCGCAGGATTAAACCAATTGTTTTGTTCAGACGTTCGACCTCTCCATTAACTAATGCGACAAAAGGACTAATCTTTTTGACTATAAATCCCCAAACCTTTTGTACTTCTTCCATGAGTCCATTTACTAGAGGTTTTCATCTATCATGGATCAATGACGAAGGGATTCCAAATTTGCAAATAATATCCTCGTATAAAAAGGCTGCAACTTCTGTGGCGTTGGTATAGCATACTGCCTTTGCTACTGCCCATTTAGTAAAGTAGTCGATACACACAATAATATACTGAGACCCATGTCACGAAGTCTTTAGGTGTTTAATGTTTAGGCCCCAACATCGAACTTGTAGGTGACTGTAAGAATTTACCCGGTGTGACTGCTTTCCCTCGAAAAGTGACTGTTTTTCCTCGACTACCATATATAGAAAGGTAGGTGCGAAAGTGGTTAAGGCATCAGCTTTAGACCCAGAAGATCAATAGTTCCAATCCCTCAGCAACCAATAAGTATAAACCTCATTTCTAGCTTACCTAAATGTTTCTAGAGTGTGGGAAAAAAAATTACATATAGAGTCATATATAAGCAATAATCTCAGCTAGAGAGGAGGCCAGATTTGTAAAAAAATTTGTTACTTATTTTTATGTTACTATGAATATATGTAAGATAGAAATAATAGAGTGATATTTATATAAGAGTAAAATATAGAATAGATAAGATAGAAAAGGGTTTGCAAGGTAGCATAAGTAGAGAGAGAATGAAAAGGAGGAAGGAATAAAAGTAGAGAAAAAGAGTGAAGAAGGGAAGGAAAATAAGGCTAATCTTCTATATTAACTTCCTCATTACTACTATTTTCATCCTCATCACTAATAATAGTAATAATATTATTATTACTTATTTGTTGTACTTGTTGTACTTATTATGCTTGTTGCTGATGCTGTTGTATATACAGCTGATTTAGCTGAGAAATCAAGAAAACCGGAGTGAACAGACCTTTATCAAAGAACAGTACTGTACTGTCCTCTCCCCCCTGAAACGAATCTAAATGAGCAATTCTGATCAAGTGTCAATTTTATAGTTAAATGAAATAAGTGTTGGAACAAGAATCGTTGATAGCGATATTTAGTATTTTTTTAACCGCTTCTTTTGGTACAACGTGAGGGTAATACATATGAGGAAATGTTCAAGCTTCTTCGTCAAATAGATGGCGATCCACGATGATACCAGTATGAACGTTAATAAATGAGTCATTATCCATGGAGACCCAACCATATTCGTCGGGCTCTGAGTTGAGGTCCAGGTCGGTGCGGCGAGGGGAAGACGGCACAGATGGTAGGGAGGTTGTGTTTGTAGCGTCAAACAAGCCAGCAGGAAGAACAGCTAATGATGCACTGCCATTGCTGCTGTAAGAGCTGTTGCTGTTGTTGGACCTATTGGTCTTTTTGCTCTAATTTAGATTGCAGCTGTGTTATTTGCTGTTGTTGTTGCTGTAAAAGCTGCTGTATCTGTAAGTGTTATTGCTGTTGCCTTTGCTCTTACTGCTCAGACTGCTGTTGTGACTGGCGTTGTTGCTGTCTATGACGTTGTTGTTGTTGCTCACGTTCTTATTATTGTTGCTGCTCTTGCTGCCGTCTCCTTTCATCTCGACGCTCTATATGCTGTAGGACCCTTTGTCTTTGCAGATTAAGAAGGGCCCTATTTTGCTGTTCTTATTGCTGTTGATCTTCTTCTTCTTCTTCTCTTTCCTCTTCAAGGTTAAGAGGGTCTATATTACCCTCCTCTTGAGAGACGTCTTCATTTCTTTGAAATTATTAATTTCTAGAAATTAGGTAGTTAAACTTTAGAAATTAACTAGTTGATTTCTGGAAATTAATAATTTCTAAGGAATGAAGACATCTCTCCTTGGTCCAGATCTTCTCCTTCTTCTACTGGTACTTCAGAGAAAGGTTCAAAAGGTAGCTGCTGATCACTAGGATCTATGAAATATGAATCCCTTATAACATAGAGAAAATGATTCCATAGATCATCAGCAAACTGCCTTTGCCAAATAAACCAAAAAAGCTGCTTTTTGACTAGCTTTTTAGTTCTATAGTTCCGGGTAATGAGCTGCTTTATCCCACCCCAATTGCCTAAAAGAGAGTATTAGATATTATATAAAAGGAGAATATTTTTTCAAGAGTTACCTTCAATAGTGTTGGTATGGATCTGTGTACCAGGAATAACAAAATATAGCTCATGGTTCACCATATGATGGGTATAACCCATCCTCTCTAATCGTTGGGTATTATAGGCTGCCTATCCATCAGAGTAAATGATTGATCCAGGAAGGATATACTTTTGGATCAAGTGCTCTAATGTAGGGTGGTTGCACCAGTCTACATTCACCATTATGATACATCTTTCTTATGTACGTTCTACTGCCCCCCAAACCTAAACACCTTCAACGTGGCTACTAATACCATTGGCAGATGGCTTTCTTTTGCCAAACTTCGATTCGTCGATCTCCACAATAATTCCTGGGCCACCAATTGGTTCACCTATATTATTATTAGTGATAAAATACAATAATTAAAGTAGAAAGAGAAATATACATACCTGCAAATATACTCTCCATATCTTCAATGATTAGTTGAAAGTAATCATATCTTATCTGGCGAACAGGCGAACTGTCTCCCAAGTTAGTTTAGTCTTATTAATAGTATTAGTAGCACTAGTATTGATTAATAACTCTGAACCAATTTATAAGACAACATGTGGAGGTACATTCTGGTGTTGAAAAAAGGAATGAGTCTGGATAGTCCGCTCCAAATTACAGCTAGTACATTGGAAAGTGCCATTTGCTCCTCTAGACCAAGAAAGAGGCATATCTCGGTCACAGTTAAGGCACTTCATACTACGGTAAAGACTGTCTTCTTCATAGAGATACTGAATACAAGCCTCAGTATTTAAGAAGTAAGGCTCAGTAGGTGTAGGGATATTATTGTAGATTGGCATACTATTATAAACTAGTTAGTATCTTAACTTTTATACTTAACTCTCCTTTAAAAGAATACCTAATAATAGTTTGTTTTATGTATAGAGATGTAGTTGTATATGTGTATAAGTGTTTGAATAAAGGGTATTTAGATATAGGTAGGAGAAAGAGTAGATGTAGTAGATGTAAATAGTGTAAAGGGTCCAGTTTGTTTTTAAAGCACAGATACTTTATACACTCAAGGTAAACAAT